CTGCGGTTAAATGTCAGTGGTTCTGGTCATGTCGCGATCCCAGCTACTGCAATTTGGTGGAAACTAAAGCTCGGACTGGGGTATTGCCAGTTGGTTGGTTGCTTGGTATAAGCTGCCCATTTCATGGTCAAGGATAAAGCCAACTTTTGCTCTCCATTGGCCAACTGAACTGGTTCGTTTGGCCAGGAAGGTGAGTCGGGCGAACTAGAGCAGATAGCATAATATTATGAATCACCCACCTGGCCTTTAGCTAACGCTATGCTAATCCGTCTGGGTATCTGATGAGCGTTGGGCTCAGCTTTATTAATGTGATTTATGCAAATTGACAGAGATCTTAAATGGCAGAGGGATCGATCTGCAGCACGTGGGCGTCGTTGATTACACTAGGCTGGCTCATGGCTAATTAATGCAAATCGCGGCCAAGACATTTGATTTGATGCGGGGAGTGGATCTTCGGAACTCCCCCTATATATGAATTTGTTACGCCAATGTTCTGACATCAAACTAAACTCCGCTATTTACCTTCATTGCCAAGCAATTACTTACCTCTCTCAGTTAAGTTCCCATAGTTTAACTTATGTATAGGACAGCTTAAATATTTCATTCATTTTATTTATTTCATATTAACCCCATTTTAGGTGCACAAATTGAAAAACTATTCGCAATATTATATCCGCTACACCACAAACAATGCCTAGAGTTATGATATCTTTGTAATTTAGAACCCTGGATCGTTTCAATTGCAAACTTTCGGTTGTTGTTGGGCCAAAATACGTAGCGCATATTGTGTAGAAAACAATATACTTGCTGAGAAAAATGGAAAATCGTTTGGCTCGTGTCAAGTGCGGGAAATAAGGGGATTCCCTCCAGCTTCCGTTTATCGGTTGCCATAGTGACCAATTGACCCAAGACATTTCAAAGAAACGCTTAAAACGATTCCACTTATTGTCTAGTAAACGCACCTCTCCTTTCCTGTAGATCAAATCTGATGCACATAAAACCTTATTCTTTGTCACCCATCCATCGGTCAGAAAGACCTGCGTTTCACCGGTTTGCATGTCGGTCACCTCGATGCGGCGCAGATACCAATTTGGATAACGTCCAGCGTTGTCGTGAGAGACCATTATCTTTGTCGGTATACGAATATCGCAAGTACGTATCCAAATGAAATATGTAGAATTCTGTTTAAGCTGAATATTTTCCGGATCCTGTGCAATTATAATCTTCTGTTTAGTATTTTCTGGTCCGTAGAGTACCAATGTTACGGAGGCTGTGGTACCAGCATTAAATCTACCACTGGTTCTCAATGAGATTATTATATCGTGTACATCTCTGTTTGATTCATCATCCAATTCACATTTAGGTATGAAAATCGTCTTGGCGGGCAATTTATTTCGGTATAAATATAACAAAGCTATCCATACCAATAAAGCTATCATGGCAGCGTAATAGAGGCCAGCAATTATAAGTTTGGCACGTGCCTCTGCGTAAGGAGAAACTGGCACTTTAATAACAGGAATATAATACCAATAGTTGGTATATGTTCCAAGAACATTGCAAACGCAACGAATGCCCTGTTTTACCGTGAGATCCATAGATGGGTAGCATCCGTATTGTAACCACTTTTGACCTTCTGGAGGATCTTTATAAGACCACGTGTCACAGCTACGAATTTGAAAAACGAATGCAAAAGACGCCGGTCCATTTTTTATAGGTATGTTCGAGCTAAGTTTTATGGGATGTTCAGAGAAAATTCTCAATGCAATATAAGCTCGTTGTGGCTTATGACAATTATTTCGCAAGAGAAGAATTTTATGTTTAACGCCAGCGGGCACTATGCATTTTGATTTGGAAATTTCGCGAAACAAAGGCCTTTTTGTTTTTAGAACAATCTGAAGTTTATGAGTGGCTTTGACAAAGTGAACAGCTAACAATGTATGCTCCATTAGCATTATCCGGAACATACGTACTTCCTGAAGGGAGGCAAGGGTACCTTCTCTCATACAGTTGGCGTATATTCCGGCCTTGATCTTTGACTCTTTACGGATTAAAATTGCCTTGAATTTTTCAGGATAGTATGAAATATTCGTCCTGTAGCTAAATTTACTATAATTAAGAGGTATCTGCGTAGTGAAATTATCGTAATGTCGATAAATCCGCACAAAAAGTACAAGGGAACTGGGTTGCCTTTCAAGCGGATACCACCATTTAAGTTTTTGCCTTAACGACACGATCTTAATGCAAACTCTGCCTTTTTTCGTTTTCAGAACCTCTTGAATAAGTTCTGGCGTAAACATTACTTTATGAATATTATCGCTAGTTGTGAATCGGAATGGCTTCCTTGGAATCTTTTCAGCACACCAAATCACCAATGAAACCTTTTGTTTCGTCTTTCTTTCATCAATTAGGTCTGTTCGGAAAAGTCCATTGGAGTGATAATTTAAATGGCGATGTAAACGTTCCGTTTCCCAAGTAGAATTCAGCCAAATAATCCAGGGATAAATGAATTCTTCATTTTCCAATGCTTGAATCTTGGCTAGTAACTTATCAATAAGGGACTGCTTTACTTGCCCCATTAAGAAAGCCTGGTAATACTCGTTATAAATCGGCCATGGTGGGCGGGAAGTTCTTTGGGTTAACCTCTTCATTATTTCATAGACCTCTCCACAAGCTAGTCGAGTATCGATGAAAGGCTCCCTCGTAAGAAAGGACACATCATCGTTTTGGTATATTTCCTCAAAGTTACTATTGATCCTGTTAACAACCTTGATTAACAAAGTATCCTTTTTTGTTCTTCGGAATATAAACGGTGTGCTAATGTTATAGTCAGGTTAGCCAATCTTGCAAGTGAACTTTCAGACTGAGGTTGGATTGCCGAAAAAAGTTCTTAACATATTTATTCCAGATTCCGCACTAGTTATATGCGATGCTATAGATTGTATGCTTTGCAAATACCTATGCAGGAATGCTTTCTCTGGAAGGCTATTCATATTTTTGGGAATCGTTTTCAGGGCGGTGACCTTAACCTTTATGAAACTTGTGTGACATGTCCAGAGAACATCACATGCAAGCACTTTTATGACATTAGTTATAGGTAAATATATCTCACAATTGCAGTCAACACAACTGCCGAGTAGTACCGAACCGGCATAATACCAAAACTCTATTGGTTTGTTCATAGAAACAAAGTGTCTACAACAAGGATAAAAAGGGGTGGTAGCCTCGATGCCTTCCTTAGGATAAACCGAACATGATCCACCAGTGGGACCTATGTTCGCAATGAGGGTTCTATCCGTCCTACCATATCGCCCATCTTCTGATAAAATCATAAGCCTAACACGAATCTCATTCGATACTGTTTGCACATCAAATATCAACTCACGGATTGCAACCATTGGCTGATCATCAATATACCATTTGTATCTCACAGCTTGACTTCCACAGTTGCTGCATCTTGAAGTAAGGTGAACCTTCGATTTCGGATTAAAGTAATCCCCTTCACAGTTTCTTTCACATTCTATTGCTACTTGTAGGGCATTATTGCTGATCATTGTAACAACTTGATCGTTTCGCGATGAAATATTGGGATCATCATCTCTGGTCACTTTCAAACTGAAAACATATCTGCAGCCACTTTTGAAAGACTTGGCGGGAATAGAAAACACAGCAGCTATTAGGAGAGAATAGAATAAAGGTATATATTACGCTTTTCATAAATTATCTCACCCGACGATATGTTGCGATGGCAGGAGGGATTAAGATTGTCGTCGAAAGACTTACAACTCCAACTATATTTGGAAAACTGTAAACCTCTTCTCCTCTTAGAAAAATCGTAACTCAGGGAGCCATTCAGCCAAAGAACTTCATTAGCATTAGCCATTCTACTTTTTCCACCAAGAATTACTGCTTCCACCTGACCCATTAACACTTTAAGGTAACAACGAGCTCCGAAATACAAACCATTAAACTTTCCCTCGACTTGTAGGACATAAAAATTCCGCCACAGATCATAGGTATTGGAAAACCTTAAGGAATACGGTCGAAAATTAACGTAGGGATTATCTGAGTTATATGATGCAAACTGTGCTGTGGAAATGATGGATAGAAAACGTGATTTAGTATACGGGGCTACTCACTCAACCCAACTGGATCACTTAGACTCCAGTTGTAGATGGTACTAAATGTTAGGTTGCAGGTTTCTAGGAACAAAGCATTGATAGTAATGCCCCGAGAGATCAGCAGTTGTCTGGGAGTTTGAGGATCTGAGCACCTTGGTATGGTCAGTTGTGGAGAACACTGCCGGGGAAGACTTACTTCAATGGGAATGATTTTTCTTATTTCATATATTCGTTTTAACTTTATGCGACCGAGTAGCCTTAAAACTTTGTCGCTGTTAGACCAAAAAGTGGCGGTTGTAAGGGCAAAGTATCCTTCTTCATAGTCGGCTTTCATTTTAGTCTTGATTCCGTAAAACAAAAGTTCTTTGCTTATTGATGAGGTTCTTCTAAACTTCGGAGGCATCTCAGTTGCAAGCTTTCCAACTTCGAAATAGGCCACCAAATAGCTGGGTGTACTGAGGGTTATTGTAATCCTGGACTTAACTGGGAGTTTTTCCATGGTCATAACGATATGAGTTTGTAATCCGTAGGGCAAATATTCATTGCAATAAATCCTCATATTGGCTTCTTCCAGTTCATTTGCTTTAGCAGACTGCATACTTAGGTAAAGTAATAAATAAATCAGTACTTTTTGATTTCTAGACATAAATTCATTTTTACTAAAGAAAATGATTGATATCTCAAGGATAAAGAATCTTATTTTTCCTAAACTTTCCGAGAAATCGTTTTCTTTTGAAGATATGTATAGGAAAAGCTTGAATCAAAAGACTAATGGTTATCTATCTTGAAAGTATTTGCTCTTTAAAGTTTATAAATATTTATTTAGGGACAATGCTTTAAGTCCATACAGTAAGATAAATATTATTCCCTTCACAAATTACTTTACTTTTCCACAGTTTGACGTAAAACCGCAAAGAATCGGTATGTGATGGTCATCAACTATAAAACAAACAAAGTTTACCTATTAATTAGTAATTAATAATTAAAAAACTCACTATCTTAAAGGTATCCAGAGAAATAATAATAATACCCCTGGCTGATATTTCCACTGGACGTTGGGCCTGGGTCATAAGAATAAGCATATCCTTTTTGTATCGCAAGGTTCCTTCATACCATCTATGTTCATATACAGCATCAGCTATATTGGTACTCTGAGAAGGAAAATTAGCAACTATATTATTTAATATATAAGTAAGTAAATAACCCACCCAGTCAATAAGCATTTGGCCATGTGAGCTGACCATGTAGAACTGGGCTGCCACACTAACAAATAACATCATATAGGATATGCCTTCCATATTGAAACCCTGGGAGACGGTATAGTAAGCCATACAGCAGAGTAGGCTAGCAGTGGTGAACAAATTTGAGGCCAATAGAAGTCCAAATACAATATTCACATCCTTGTGGTAGCTAGAAAGGACTTTAATAGCTACAATTAATTAAAAAAGTTAAAGTTACTTACCTAAGCAATAGTTGATGTCTCTTAACTAGACTTGCCAAGAAACAGCAATCTTGTTTTTCTGATTCTCGACTTGGGCAATACGACGATAGCACCTTGGCCAGATAGGCAAAGTGCATTGAAATCTGACTCGAAATGCACATCATCCAAAGATCTGCCCCTAAACTCACATTTACTATGAATTGGCTATAGGTTAAGTCTATTATATAGGCCACTACATAGCCCAAAGGTTTTTCTGAATCAAAGCTAAAGCGTGTGGGGAAAATGCGTTTATAGGGAAACTCAGCGTTTCCAAAACCTATCAGGTACATAATGCACGACTGTATTAGAGGTCCTAGAGCCATAACAATCATCACAAAGTAATAGAAATACAAAACATTTCGAGTGGTTCGTGAGAGATAAAATCTATTCAAGTCGTACTTTTTCTGCCTTTCCTCATCATGCGGATATAGATCTTTCAATTTATCACTCAGCAATCGTAGGCGTTTTCGATATGTCATAAAGGTAACGAATTTCAACTGGGCACTGAACATATAGAAGAAATGAAGACCCTGTCGCATAATCTTTGATGGACTTCCTGCCAAGGATTCCCACTGAATGATCCTCAAAGTCAACATGGAGGCCCCGTAGGAGTTGCTGACCAAACACAAAACAAAGTAACTAGTTAAGAGGAGATTCTGCCATCTAGGTCTGGGTGAGTCGAATAGATCGTATCCCAGGGTCTTGAACATCATGCTTGCCATGTAGGTGTAATCATCGTAGGAACGAGGTTTTCCCATTTTCCGCGGCACTGTGTCTGCTGACATTTTCACTCGTCACCTTAACTGAGCTCTGGCATTCAAAGTCTATTAGTTTTATAACGGCTAAAGGACGAGGGTTGGCCTACTGCCATTGAATAATTTATGTTCTAATTGTTTTGTCAGTCAGGTGTTAAGCAATTTGTTCTTTAAATTTGTGATTAATAATTTAGAATGCGGTTGCATTTCACCTTCCGGTTGACATCGGTTGACCAGTACCAAAGTGAATATAGGAGATACAAATATTATATTTAAATTATCTTGCCACGAGACAACGGAACTCCTTCAATGGTCTCGATTACATGTTAAGTGTGCTGTTTAACAATTTATAAAACCACAGACAACAAGTTTAGGCACACCAAGATAAGGCGAACTCAAAGCTAACACAGCTAATTCTCAATGAATATTTAAATACAAAAGTTAAATAAATTCGAGCCAATTAATTAGAAGACAAATATTCAGCGGCTCGTTTATGGAAATGAGCTAATAAAGATCTTTTGTCCGATCCATAGACAGATCTTATTTAACGCATTCCGCGGAGTCGAGACTTCAAAATCGGAACCATAAAATATACGAATTGCCAACATTTGGACATTTATAGACCGCAGATGTGAGCAAAGGCGGGTTCTGTTTTGACTAGAAATCAAATTTGTTTTGTGGTAGACTCCGATTGCCTATTGATCTCAATTTGTTTTGTTCTCAGCTATCTCAGCCATATGAATGCTAATTCAGGTCGTTAAATAAATAATATTCTTGTTTTAAAGGTCCACATAAAAGAGTCCAATTAATAAAAACGAAAACTTGTCTTGGCTGGCACGTGACTTTTGCTGACTAGTGTAGACACAATTACATAGCTATTGTTGCACTCGTTGACTGCTGTCAAATCGCACGCGAAATGTGAAGGCCGGCGATGCAATCGAGATGACTTCCCCCCCAATCCTCCAAAGCCACAGCCAACTCCAACTTCATTCATATTTATTCATGTGCCCGAGTCTCGGGTCTCGGGTCTCAGTCGACCCATTCATGCTTTATTCACCTCAATTTCTGATGGAAACAATAAATTATAATCGACACAATCGAAATATAAATATATATATGTATAGGTGCAAAAGTTAGTTGCCTTATTGATTACTTAAAATATTTTTAATTTAAATAAATGGTATTCGTGCTGCAAAATATCTATAGAAAGTTAATTAATACTTAATTTTGTACTAGTGATGTAAGCCTAAGTGGGTGGATAATAATGGAAAATGTAAATCTCATTCAATTTATTCGCTGGCTTCTCGAATTTCACTACTGAATACAAAACTTATGTCCATAATCTGAATTAGCATTTATATCTTCATATAGTTAAACACGAATAAACACTTAACGCCCCCCAGCTGGGTTATTTAGCCTGTTTAGCCAATCGTTTTGTCGGCTTCTCTCTGGTTTATCTCAATGTTGCTCTTAATTTAAATTATACAAACAAAAGATACGCGAATTATAATAAAAACCAATCTAAATTCTAAACGGAAACTGTCAAACTCTCTGGTCTGAAAGTTTTTTTCGCTGGCCATTGGCCGAATACAATGAATTTTATGGACCGAAATTTGAGTCTTATGCAAAATGAGCTGGTTGGGACTCAAAGTTGGTTATAAAACGATCCGTTTGCCGAGGAAGCTGTTACAGTTCTGTCGGACAGATCATCGTTAAAAGTTGCTAAAAAAAAATAAAGTCTAAAATGTCGTTAAAGCTGGTAATACTAAGTAAATTTCCAAGAAAGTGATGTGATCTAATACTGCAAGTGATTTCAGTTTTCCTGCCTTTTTGTGCTCACCCTGGCTCTTATTGCCTGTGAAGGACAACCCCAATACAATCCTTATTTGAGGAACCCTTACTACAGGGATCTGTACTACAGAAATCGTGATCTTTACAATCTGCGTCGCTTCTATGATGGCTTCTATAAGAAATACAATCCCTATATAGCCGCTGCTCAGGCCAGAATTGTGGAGCAGAAGAATGATGTGAACTATGGTGCTGGTTCGTATGCCTATAACTATGAGACGGAGAATGGCATCCATGGCGAGGAGCGTGGAGTGCCAGTGAACATTGGTAACCAACAGCAGGAGGAGCAAGTGGAGGGTGCCTACTCCTTTATCACACCCGAGGGTCTGCGAGTGGGAGTCAAGTATCTAGCTGATGCTAATGGTTTCCGTCCTGTAATCACTTGTAAGTATTTATTTATTAAGAAATCTTTATAGAAATCCTGATTTAATGGGTTGTTATTTTAGATGACGGAGCTAACTCTGCTTTCTATGCCAGTCAGCCAGCTCCAGCCAATGTGGTCTTAACTAAGCATTGAGATTGAGTTTAGTTCGCCTCCTATCCCTAATTCAAAATGTGTCTTCAGCCTTCTTTAAATAAAAATAAAATATTTAAACTATTTAAGAGAATGGTTTTTGCTAGAATTTTGGTTATTTGAAGGCAGCCATTTTATCTTTTAGTTATTGATAAAAGATTATTAAGCTCATGGCTTATGTCAACGCCTTAAAAGCTCTTTCTATTAACTTCTCAGCTAAAAAGTGTGCTATGAAAAATATTTTAATAACAATTTTCCATATTTTTTGATGAATTTTGTATATAATTTACAACTTAAACTTTCTTTGTATTTTATTACGTTAAACTTGTTTTGAATTTGCAGTATATTTTTAAATCACAAAAAATACTGCAAACAAATGACTAAACAAATTCCTAATCTTTTCCCAAAAATGTATACAAAAATATTTTTATATTAGTAATTATTTTAGCGGGTCCAAGGTCAGACTTAAAAGCTTCACAAAAATTGGGTCAATTCCCGCTTATCGGAAATGTGTATACCAAATTCATTCGGCGCCTATAGAGAACACGTACTTAGATTGAGACTTGTTTTTGGTCTCGCCTTAGTGGGTTCAAGAAACCCATTAATTTCTGTTAAACACTGCCCGTATATTGTGTATTGAAAATGATCAATATATAAACTTAACAAAATGTCAGGCACTTTTTAATACCAGATATGCCATTCAACTCAAGGGCCTTTTCATGATCTTCAAGCTCACTTGGCTCAAATCAAAATTCTTGGTAATTTATAACAAATATTTAGTAGTTTTTATTTCGATATACCATAATAACAAATTAATTATCTTATGCATAGCAACATCGTCAAAATTCGACAAGTTCGACAGATAAATAAATACGAAATAACATAGGATCATCGGACTATATGTACGAATCTTTTCCGGTTTGCAATTCGATGCTGACAATCTTCAACTTCCTTTTCCTTTTTTTTGTGGATTTTTTTCTCGGTATTGCGATGGCTTGTTATAGGGTTTGCCCGTTGATCACTCGGCAAATGCATGGGGAATGGATTTGGATGTTGGATTTTGGATGGACTAGGACTGTTTCTGGGGGCTTGGGGATAGCTTGGGAACATATGGCTGTGGATGAGGCGAGCTCAAGGCTGTCACTTAATGACCACCTTTGGCTTTGGCCTTGCGCAGGCGCTCCAGTTCGGCCTGCTCCTTACGTTCTTCCTCCTCGGCAAGCTCCACCTCGTGCTCAAGCTCGTGAAGTTGATCGCTCAGCTCCTTGGGCATTTTGTCAAAATGAATTGCCTTGATCTGTGCCTTAATTTCCTTGGTCATGTGATTGATGCGGAAGCCGCGATGATCGAACTGAGCACCTCCATTGATCTTGTGCTGCTCCTCGACGTATTTAAGGGCACGGGCAATGGCTTCGGGAATTGGATGGATATGGTCTCCCTGAGGCATGAAGCCACCGTCGTTGGAGGCATAGTTCACGCGGTAAAGCTTGCCATCATCACCGGTGTACTCATAGAAGCCCTTGGCATGGGTTCCTCCAGTGTGGTGAAGCTTGGCCTGTTCCTCGCCATAGATTCCATTCTCGGTCAGGTAACTGTTTTTTGGAAGATAAAGTAAGTAGGTTTTAGGTTGAATAATGACTTGAGAATTATAAGAATTTTAAGACACAAACTTACGAATGATCGTATTTGTCCTGCTTGCGGATCTCTTCCTTGTGCAGAATCTTGTGGCGACCCTCATCATCGTAGTTGAACAGGATACTCCTGGGAGTGGTAGTGGTCGTGGTGGTTGTAGTCGTCGTCCTTTTCGTGGTGGTGGTGGGTTTCTTTGTCGTAGTGGTCTGCGAGTGTTGTTGTGGGTGTTGTGATCATTGGTCTTGAATTCTGATCTGGCGTGTGTGCATGCGAGTGTGTGGCATGGTATTTTTTGTGGTAAAGGATTTTTTGAAGGGGTCATGCAGGATACCGTATGTGTGGAAGTGTCATGTAGCACGGAATGTTTAGCTTGATTGCAGTGCCGAAAAACGTTCGCTGGGATTGGTTATGAAAGCAGGGGGATTTGATTTTTGGGAGTAGGTTTCGCTGTGTGTGTTGGCTGGATGTTGGAGTTCGGGGGGATCTTGTGGGATCTTAGTACTGTGTGCTCGGTTGGTGATGGGGTTCATGATCGGGGAAGCCGTACTCCAAGGGGATTTCTGGTACATTAAACTCGGCGTTACTTACTGTGTACTCGACGTGTCTGCAAAACAATATTAAAACATGAAATTAACCACAATTCTTAAAGAATATTCAGATAAGTTACTCACTTGTAGGGCCTGTCGTCATGGACATAGGGAATATTCAAGCCGGCATAAGGTCCATAACCGCCATCATAGGGATTGGGAATGTGGTGGTAGATTCCAAGCTCACGCTGATCGCTCACATGCCTATAGGGCTGTGGCATGTGGTGATAGCGACCTTTGGGATAGTAAAAAGAAATCACAGGTTAGTGGAATGCCCAAGAGATATATCTTCTCTAAGTGTTTGGGTGAGTGACTTGCGTTTAAATTCTGAAACTATTCAAGTTTATACATATCTAACATTAGATATTTACACAATTAATTAGTTTCTCATTAGGTTTTTGTACAAAGTAGGCAGTTGAATCAAAAAGTTTGGTAATTTTGGGTTAACCTACAGTCGTTTAACTACAGTTAAGACGATATACACAGGAACCATATCTTTCAGAAGTAATTTTTAACTGCTTTTTGTGTGAAATGATTATGTCTGATACTGTGATCGTGAGTTCAATGTAACTTTCTTCCACTTTTTCAATTGTTTACCTAAACTTTCTTGCGAACCACGTCGGTCTATATTACAAATATAAAAAATATTAAATGTTTTAATATCAGAGTGCTCAAGTAATAAGTGTTCTTTGGTTAGTGATCGAAGCTCAACTCAAGGCTGGAAATTTTCAAAATTTTGTTTACAATATCGCTAATTTTAGCCTTGAGCTTGAACTTATTTGAGAGTCAGCAGATTATTCGTTATAAGTAAGTGTGCGTTATCGAAATCTTTGGCTATACAAATATACATGTGAGATGTAGTATAGTATGTATGTTAGTAACTGGGCAAGTCGGTCTTGCTTTTCGATCGTTTCTCTGTTGTTGGGTTAGTTAGTGGGCGGCGGCAGCGGCATGCAGTCAGTGGGCGTGGCAGTAGGCACTGATATTCTTATGTTTTTCTCACGAAAATACCTTCGTTCTGCGTATTCCCATGGTACTTTCCATCGTCGCTGGGGCGATACTTGCCATCGCTAGAGGATTGCTGTGAAACCGTATACTTGCCATTATTATCCGGAACGGGACTGGAGTGGCAGACAGCAATGAAGGCCTGCGGAAGAAGAGGATGTGGTTTCATTATGAGATTTGTATAATGCCATGACAGGAAGTGGCCCCCACATTTGGCCACAAGTTGAATGTACTCGTAACTCTAAGCAGTTGAGTTTAGAATTTATCTGCGGATGCTAGTAATGATTAAACGCTTGACAAAAAGGTGCAGCCACCGAAAATTTAATTGTGTTAAAACTTGTTGGGAGACCAAAAATCACGAGGTAATTAAATTAATTTAAATTTTACTTATTTGTTTTCTTTTAGACACATGAGTAACACTTTGGGGCACACAACACTTTTTTGTTTCACTAATCAGGATCCATATCCTTTATTCCTACTCACCACGACCACGGAGAAGCTCAGCATAGACTTGGTGAACATGATTATTGTTATCCTTCGTTGGAATGAATATCCTTTGACTTTGCTGTCTGTCTGACTGACTAACTGGGTAATCCTGCTCGAAAGGTGACTGCAACAGGAATGTTTGGTTTCCCTTCCAGTACACCGGATTTATATAGAAATATGCCAGGTTCGCAGTCGCAGCGCTGCTCTCAACGCATCGTCGCGCCTAAAGTTCTCTGAGAGAAGATTCGTCGTCAGTTCATTTCGGTTCATCAGCTAATATTTCTTGAAGAGCTGCTCCCTTTTGGTTTTTTAGACAGTTGATGAGCCAACCGAATTCTTCTGGTCTCACCTTTTGTTATGGGTTTTCTCTCCCTCTCTCTCTCTGCCTCTCCAACTTTAATCGCTCTTCGAAACGATAATTTATATAGCGTATCAATGTCACAAGCAAATGTAATTACATATATTACCAATTAGCAATTTGTATTATTTGGCAAATGCCGTTTGATCAAGTTCATCGCCCACAGTATTAATCTCTTTAGAACTAAGGATATTGGGCTGAATCATCATCAAGTTGTTTACTCTAGTTGTGATGAAGAAATTCCCAGGTTTTCTCATCGCAAATTCGCCTGAACATTAAGAGCGATTCATTTTTTGGCAACAATTTTATTAAGCTGATAATTGAAGGTGAAGTTCAGGTCATTGAAGACGTCACTGATTAAAATTTAAAACATTTGGGTTACATTTTTTTAGCATTTTGTTTTTCTGTGTCATTGATGAGGAAAAAACTGTTTGTTTTGATTGTCAAGGATATAGGAGAAACCCAACTAGACATGTTTACAGACAGTATTAACTAAAAGTTCTTCTTTAAGTTAAAGATGAATATATACAACTTTCCTAAAACCCACTGGTCGTATACTTAACATATTCTATTTTTAAACCATCTTGATAATGCTTATCAAGGAAGCAATATACAAAGTAAACACCATCTATAACTTCCCCAATCCCTAAACGACGTCTGTTAACTTCACAGCTGGAGTCTGAAGTTAACTAGTTATGGCAACCGATGACAACATCGCATCTCTGGCAACGCAGACTCGAATCCGAAACTACCTGGAGGCACTCGGAAGCGCCATAAAAGTGCCGTAATGAAATCATAAATTACGCACCAGCGGAAATACAGCAAAAACTGTACAAGTAAAATAAATAAAATAAGAAACAATTCAGACAATGCGCACGCCACTCGCAATGCGAAATGCATTAATATTGAAGCTGAAGATCGAGATGGAGATGAGGATGAGGCTGGGTTGGGTTGCTTTCGGGGCATACATATAACCGGAATCGGATGGAACCGGCAAAAGAAAAATGTTGTCAAAAAAAAACAAAACAAAACAATTTTAATTGTTTGTAGCAAACGTTGACACCGAGGCGCTGACAGTGACAGCTTGGGGATCGGCTTGGAATGTGTCCTTAACGGTTTAGCGTCCGAAGATGCTGTCAAGATTATAGTTGCTGCCTAGCAAAAATAACATATGATATGAGACTTAACCTGATATTATTGTACTTAAAGAAAAAAAACTAGATTTTACAGTCCAAAGTACAGGCTTTTTCCATATTGATTTGAACCTTTGGATTACTTCTTTATGTGCATACTTCCCTGATAGCCTGCAATCAGGTTAAACAAATATTATAATACTGGAAAGTTTTTGATATAGAAATCAAATTTATAAATAGACGATATAGATTGTTTCTGCCTTTGAATCTACCACTTGAAAAAGTTATATTAGTTATGTTAACATAGCCTGAACATATTCAATACAAAAACTTTTGGGATTCCCACAAATAACAAGATTATTTTGAATATCAATAATTTCCGCATAAATTAGTAAGCTTCATTCAATATAAAATAAGTTAAAAATTGTTTTCTGTGTATGCCCACATAGAGAATGATTGCCAGTGCACATTGCCCGGCATATACCGATTAATAATAGCAATCCACATAAACTGTGATTAAAACGCCGCATCTTGCGACTGCCGAGTATCCAAGCACCGGGCTTTGGATGCTGGATACCGAGTGCCGAGTATGCCGAGTATCGATGATACTGCGTCACAGTCACTGCACTCCAAAGGTCGTACGCTGAACCCAGATCTGGAGACCCAAGACGAGAAACGCGCATTGCAGATCGGCAGGGAGATGATCCACCATCACCACCACCACGACCACTTGGAGCAGTTTGTTGTGTGAATCACGGCGCGCGTGCTGTTATTGTTACTTTCCGAGGGTCTCGAGATATTCGAATTTTTGGCGATATCTATATGGGGGCATTCATAAAAGTCACAAATACTTAATAAATATTTAAATAAGATGACTTTTTAATCAATTACAAGCTCGATTTGTGATGCTGCGACGGTTGTCACTTGATTTGCATGCTATTCGAATTCTGATATCAGATCTTCACACCGCAGGAGTGCTGCTGGTGTTATTTTATTAGTCCAGATCCAAACCCACATCCATAACATATAGTACATTTGACATTGACCTTGGATCAGAAAAATGCTGACCAAATCTGGCACTTTCTTCGATGCGTCACATATGCATAGCCATATCTCACGGTCCAGGTAGGATCGGTTAGATGTTAATCTGGCCGGCCGGTCAAGTATTTACGATCCATATCCAATGTCAGAACGAGTTTGTTTGGGTTTATTTGGTATCAGTGACTTTATTGACAAGGTTTCACCTTTAAAAAGTGTCGCACATAAATCATTAATCTGCTTACAACTATTTTTATGGCCTAGAGAGTTCTAGGAAGTGTCAAGTTGTTGTCACAAAACCCGAGAAACGAGAACACACACCCTAAAAAGTGTCGACGGCGACTAGACGGGAAAAAGGATTTTCCTATAGATGAGGGCCAAGAAGATCAACAGCACTGGCATCCGGAAGTTTGCTGAGGAAAAGCTAGCTGAATTGCAGAGTGATCCAAGGCAGTTGCAGTAGATTACTCCATTTTCTGTCTTACAGCCTTCGGGTAAATCCTTAACTTTATACTTTGGCTCCCAGTGTTTTCCGATATATTCGTAATATGAATCAACCTGCTTGGCACAGCCTCTCCTTGTCCTGGTCCACTCCTTTCCAAAGACCATAGAAGTCATCATTTCAGTGCTGCACATCGTTGAGTTCGGACATTCTCGCACTTTTCCGGGAAAACTCTTAGAAGAACCGCACGTTCGGTCATCATCTACACACTCGTAGCATTGAAGTACTTCGCCGGACGCTAGACCAACTAGCCAGACCATCCAGACTATATAAATCCATACTGGGAGCTTAGTTCCGCTGCCCATGATAACTGGAGGCACACTACCCACTCAGCTTCCGAAGTTGGAGGAGCGCGATAAATCCGATTCTCGTAGAAGAGTTTCGTATGTTGTTTTGTTTTGTTTTTTTGTATTAAAGTGATTAAGCCGAGGAAGTAAACATGTGTCTCTCACTCAAACCCTTGTGGTACAAAAAAGCAACTGATATGAATGCAAAATTTCGAGTTTATCTTAACCGTCATTGTTTTTCTCTTTGGTTTTGGAGGGCGTATTCATATCTTTCAGGGCTGTGAATTAGAGCATTATGCTAGTGGAACATATTTCTCCACTCACCCGCTCTCAATCCTTAGTTAATGCTTGCTAGATACTGTTTATCACTAGAAAGACATGCTGAAAAGAAACTCATTTAAGAATGAGTGACCCATGCTATATGAAGAGATAAAACTAATGGTTGAATGCAGGCAAAGATCTTTAAAAACTATTTTTAGTTCCATTTTACTTATGGAGAGAGTTAAGAAACTCTTATAAAGGACAACAATCTAACAAAACTTCATTTGTTTTTCAAATTTGAACGAATAAAGTCATAGATTTTCTTGATTGTATTTAAAATCTTCAATATTTGCTTAGGAATTTAATATTCTAGGTAAGTAAATACTTACTGAAGTACTTATATCTGGTTTTAAAGAGGATTTCGTTTCGATAACTTGGGATAAAACAATTCTTTCAGCAGTCAAAATATATTTAACTTTTTAAGACAACCATAAATGCAAAAGTCCCTAACCGTTTAAGTTCTTATTATATCCTAAAATAGTTACTAATAATATAAAAAAATCCTTCATATTGTAGAAAGAATATAAGCACAGCCAGTGTACCCCAACTTAAGCCCAAAAAGATGTTCACCGACAGATTACAATAAGAAATTACGTTATTTTCTTAACATTCCTGTTTGGGATCAAGAGACCTTTCCTCATATGATTTACTGGAATATTAACCTCCTAATTCTTCTGGCTGTCCTTAGTATTTAGCGCAAAACAAATGAAATCTTTATAGGCTGAGCATTCTGACAATGCCTATAAATTAGTCTCATTTTCGCGTGGGCTTTCGCACACATTTCGCTGTCAATGCTTCGAGTATCATTTTTCTCCGCTCAATTTTTTGGTTTTTATTTTTTGAGAACTTTGTTGTTAATATTGTTCACCCTGCTAAGCTGTCAGAGATTTGTTTAATTATCATTTGCTCTCCTTTTGGTTTAATTAGTACACTCAGAGACTGTGCCGTGTCAGCTGCTGTGTGAGCGAATAAATCAGAATTGCACGTCTATAAATATTGGTAACTGCTGAAGCCAGTTTAGCCACCGAATGCCAAAATAGATGGATCGCTTTTTTGGTAGCAAACGGAGCATTCACATTTTAATCGGCACCATTAAATACAAGCGATTTATGCCACAAAATTACAGGCATTTGTTTTGTTTTGCCCAATGAATTAATTTACAAAACGAAATTTTGCTGTAAGGCCAGGAAAGTAACTTGGCAATTGGTGCTGTTGGCCCAAACAATGAAACAAATTACCAATCACAATGAGTCGTAATTAGATTCGGGTTGGCTTGAATGATATCAGAATTCCGAATAAAACCTGGAATATCAGCAGACACCTGGATTTTGGAGTTATGGGGGGGACCCTAAACAACCAGAGTGTAAGCAAGGTCAAAGCTCTCAAATTATTGATCAATCCCTCTCTTGGAGGTGCTAAATAAAATAAATTTCAAAGCAATTTCATTTCGGCTCTTGTAAGGAGAACATAAAATAAATTTTAATAAAAAGGAAAAGTTGCATATCAATAAATTTCCAGCCTGACAAGTGTGAAAAAGAGAAATGTCATTCATTTTTTTCCTTTTTTTTTTTTTTTGTATTTCACCAGTCACCGCCGGATGATGAGATCAGAGCAATGGAATTTCTGATATTATGCAAAACGAACTTCCCCACAGAACACCATAGGGCCATTATTTCGAGATAAATCCAGTTGGCCTGACCACGGAATTATCGTTAAATATTTTACTGTAGGCGCCGTCTGCTGGCAACAAAGTATGCGGCTAAAATCAATTTATATATACCCGTATATAGCCATATATATAGTGGCCAATTGTCACTTGTAAGTGGTGATAATTTGCGCACTCGCATAAATTCCAAACCGAAGGACGATTTGTAAAAAAAATATATGCCTGGGTGGTTAGTGTTTAAAAAAAAGATTAATTAATTGCCCGCAAAACACCAAATTACGCACCCACTGCCAGGGGCAGTCTCTCTTTATTTATTTCAGATGAATAATTTAAAGTCGCGAAACAATTCGAGAATTAACAAAACAAGTTAACAGAAGAGAGAGAGAGTGGGGGGATGCGAACCTGTTGGCTTATCAACAAGTTGCAATTTTAATAGAATTTTTAATTCCCCCATCGATGATCCATCCGATTGTCTGGAATCGATTAGGTGATCACTCAGGGTTTCTTAACCCCATGAATCATGGAGCATCATCTATTTTCGTTAAGTCACTTCCTTACCATGATCGAATAATCCAAATATGCACAAGGTTCGAGTCAAGAGTTCAAGCCCCAGAACCTTGTTTGTCGGAGGCGTGGCTGCTTTCGATTTCTCACATCTTTTTGAATACTACCATATAGTAGATCTTCCTCGATGTTGTGATTACCAAAATCATCGGCACTGACAAGTTTGATTAATGGTTAACGTATCGGATGAGTTGACCGTTTTGCCAGCTTGATTGATTGACAGCTATTATTGTTATTAATGCTCATTAAAACAAAACGGGCGTTTCATTGTTTATGATGCGTTTTAAATTTGATTTAAACGACACTAATTACCTTTGATCCTATTGGATTTGCTGAAATGTAAACAAATTGAAACTCGTCTGGCCCATCGATCTTCGATGAATGGAGCAGCTGAATGTCTTTTTTTTCGGGGATTATCTCTTCTGGGTTTCTGGATGTTGTCGATTCATACTATATATCATTCAATTAAAAAGGTTAATGACTGCCATTAACTGATTAAATGTTGAATACAGAAAGAACAAGATGATTCCTATTTGGTTACTTTAACTACGCACATAACATTTTCATTTTGTTTTTAACGATGTGCTAACATTAAACCAACAACTTTGATAAAAGTTGTAATTGACCATTTCAATAAACAAGTTTTGTCTTTATAATAAAGATATAATTATGGTATTTGGACATCTATTTAAAGACGTTAGATGTCTCCTGCAGTTGCAGTTGTCGCCCCCAATTTTGATCCGGCTTGCTCCGACTTGCATCTCAGAAAGGTTAAAAGCGATCCGCTATTGCCAATGCAAACGAGTTGCCAACTAAGTGGTTTCTGAATGGCTTGTTAGTATGCAAAGAATTCTAGGCGGATGAGCCTGATATCGATTCACCAGCCACTGAATCAGCTCGCATCCCGCCCATATTTAAGCAAATTAAACGATGTCATCTTGGACATAAAACATGCGATTTATTAACCGAACAACAATTGTCCGTGTGGGGTTGAGAGGGGGCCAAAACTAAAATGGCCAGCGGGTGCATTGGGGTCGAATCAGACGTAATCAAGAAGTCGACATGAACACACGTTTGCTGATTGCACTATTGCTGATCACCGTTTGTAGGTCTGATGATCAGGATCTAGTTCGGGATCAGACCAAGCGAATAAAGCCTGGACGATATCTACCCCATCTGCATGGGGCAACGGGCTGGTATATGCCGGATAACAGTGGAAAGTACAGACACGATCACAGGCCCTATGACGGTGGCTACGGGGATCGCGGTCAGCCGTATGCCACCGATCTTCGTGGAATTTTCCGCAATGTCCAGGAACAACTAGAGGCCAAGGTACAAGAAGCTGGCGATAGCTTATCGCTTGGTCCTCGGGATCATCTACGCTTCATGATCGACTTCAACTTCAATGGCACTGGTTGGCAGACAATACAGTTCCAATGGGTCCGAGATGGCGATGAATCCAATCAAGATACCAAGCAATATAGCTATTTGAATGAGAACAAATTGTGGGAGTCGGATCAGGCGTATGATTACCAACAGCCTGACGATAGTCAGATGGATACTGCAGAATACCAGGAAACGCAGGAACCTCAGGAGCCTGTTCAGGAGCCAGAAGAACAGCAGCCGAGTCAGGAACAGAGGCAGACAGGAACGAACATTAATTCCGAACAGGATGTAAGTATTTCTGAAAATCGAGTGATTAGAGCTTTAAAGTAACTTCAACCTTCTCTTTAGCCCGCCAAGATACATGACACTATCAACGATGTCCTGGAGTACATACAACGCAATATCCTGCCTAATTTGCGATGAAAATTCTATCAAAATTGACAAAAAAAAGGAATTCTAAGTGCCTGAGAAATGTATTTGAAAAACTCTAATAAATTATGAAAAATATAAGTTGCGTTTTTTCAATGTCAAATGGAGTACCTTCAGGACTTAATTAAATTTTGATTCCAGGACACAAAAACCTTTAAGGTTGAAGACCATTTCATTGATTGATTTAATAAAAAAAAAGTAGTTTGAAAAACAATATTTTAAAAACAAATAAAACCCTTAATAAAACTTTTCAAATCCCTCAACGCACATAACTACAAACTTTTAATGGCACAACATTTTATTCACTTTAAACTTCAGGCGATTTCAAATTCCAAAATTTATTTCGTCGTCTTTGCATTTGCTTCGAGATAGGCCAACAATTTTTCCACATACGGCGGCGGAGGTGGTGCCGTGGGCAAGTGAGCGCCACTCGGAACAAAGCCATTGTCATCCGCCACATAATCCACGCGGTAGAGGATGCCATCTGGTCCAGTGTATTCGTAGAAGCCCTTGGAGCGCAGGCCATCCTCCTCAGTCAACTTTTCAATGCGTCCACTTTCCTCACCCAAAATTCCATTCTCGGTTTCCCAACTAAGAGAGAATACGCAATAAAAGTAAATATATATTATTTGAAGGATAATACTCACAGATAATGATAGCCATCCACGTCCACTTCGTCCTCCTGACGGATGATGGCCCAGCCATTGCCACCTTCGCCTGTACCTTTTCCCTTGGGCAAATTGGCCGTTGGATCGATAATCGCTGCCGGCGCTGCGGTAGTGGGCCGTGGCGGCGGTCTAGCTGTGGCAATCGTTGCACCACCACCACCACCACCTCCTGCTCCAGATCCACCGCCACCACCACCTCCTCCACCCTTGTTCTTGTCCCCTACATAGCGTCCACTATCACCGGAGTACGCCCCGCCAGGACGATCGTCGTGTTGATATTTGTTGTCCGTATGCACATAACGTCCATCATTGCCTCCAGTGTACCGACCATCGCCGCCACCACGATAACGTCCATCATTACCACCCGTATAGCGTCCATCATTGCCACCCTTGTATCGTCCGTCTCCGGCGTTTGCTCGCGTGGGCGGAGGACGATAACGTCCATCGCCCTGGGCCAAAACTACAGCCACAAAGGCTATAAACAGAGCGATCTACAAAGCACTATATATTTAATCCACTGGCTATATAGTATTCTGATCCCATCGTCTTACCGTTACGCGTATCCACATCGTCGAAGATGAGCAATGAAAAGATTTGGTCGTCGGTCCCCAGCTTTATATCTTTCGGATACACCCTCACTCACGCCCACTAGAAACTAACTAGCAAGTTACTATCTAAGTGCTTGCCTGTGTCTAATTACGACTGCTCCGACCGGTAACTTGATCAATTAAGCGTTTTGGTTTACGAGCCGATTAATTCATAATTTGTTTAAAGGCAGCTTTCCGATCTGATGGCTCAGCGGGAGAGGCATTTAAATGAAGATGTATTACTGCCTTCTCAATAGCCACAGTGCCTGGAATTGCCAAGAGTTGATATTTCTTGGTGTTATCTAGAAGATATTTGGACATCATCCGAAGATGCTGCATTGTTGGGCAACATAAGATATTTTACTCGACAAGCCTAAAACTAGGCAATAAAAATTCATGCAGTAAGAAAAATCTTAATATTTGGTTTAAGAAAGTAACTTAGTCAATATTTAACAGTTTATGCTTGCGAAGTTAATTATTTAAGAGTTTCACTTCAATTAGGAAGATGTTGTTTGGATATTTTTATTTTTTTAATAAGGTTTTGTCTGCCTGCAAGCATTAGAAAAAACTGATTCAGTGAAAAGCACTTACCCTTCTTGCGTGCCAATAACATTTATAGCTTAATAAATGGTTTGACTCACTTCATTAAACTAACTTGATTTGAACCTAGAACCTTGCAAATCTTATCTAGTAAAATCGGGCTAGCTTTAATACCCCCTAATTGGGCAACAGGTATAAATCAGGTATTCCCAAGCTCAGGCGCCTCGCCGATAAAATCAAAATATTCAGTACATACAGGTCAATTAAACGGACCTTAGGGTTTTAAATTTCTTATCAGAATGTTGGCAATTACCAACATTTTTATAACCGATACACAGACGAATATAAATAAGTACATGGCCATTTAAGTAAAGGTACCTTAAGATGTACTTCTTGTTTGTTTGGAAATTGCAAACAAAATTTATTTTTCCAACCAGACTTTATGGCGACGGAGGCGGCATCTTTTGATTGCATATTTCCCATTTTATTAGGGTCATTAATGTACCGGTACTCGTCTGTATAACATTCCAAAGCTAAATCATTGGCTAATCACTAAAAAGCTTATTACTTTTTGTCTTTGTTGTTGTATGGCCAGTTTTATTATTAATTCGTACACGTTTTGTAAATGAGTAGAACCAGGTAATTCGATTGGAGGTGGACCCCTAGCCTCGTCGGTTGTTGAACCCACCAGGCTGCTCTTGCGGTGGCGGCGGTGCTGTTGCCAAGTATGCCAATGCCTTCTGGATCGCAGGCGGGATGGGTGGTGGCGTCGGCAGGTGGTCGCCCTGCGGCTGGAAGCCATTCTCGTCCGCCAGATAGGTTATCCGAATCGGTATGCCCTCAGGCGAGGTATAAGAGAAGGAGCCCTGTGCGACCTTTTAGCGGGTAAAAAGAGCAAATGGAAGTTAATTTGGCAAATTGGTAGCCAGCAAATGCCAAGCACGATTATTTTGAATGGCGAACCACTCACCTGACCGGCATTGTCGGTGCCCGGATTCTTGAGATAACCCTCCTCCTCGGCGTTGATCCCGTTGCCAGTCTCGTAGAGATACTTGTAGGAGCCATCGAAATTAACCTCCTGCTCCTGCCTGATGATGGGAATGGGCTCTCCTTGGGCCTGGGGTCTGACTTGCGGCCTGGCCTGGACCAAGCTGAGCAGCAGGGCTGCTATTACGAGCAGCTAGAAATATTCGTGCCGGGTATCAGTACTGGTGTATCCTATACAAACCCCTCTTCCATCTTACTGTGCACTGCATGTTTCACTATATCCTTTGATCCTCGCTGGTCGTCTGCACCGAGTTCGCCTCGATCCGTTACTGTGGCCAACAGATGCGGCTCTTTGCATATTTATACCAAATCGCTTGAACTTTACACACAGACACTCGTGTATCTTGAGATTTACGAGTGAGTGTCTAGCATTTTGAAGGCCCAACGATCGGAAGCCTCCTCGGTGGCTTGTGGCTGGTAGCTGTGACTGTTGCTGCGGCTATGGCTAAGGCTGATGCCATCTTCCCATGGAGCGTTTATGAACCGAATCGAATCCACCCACAATTGCACGACCCATCCGATTTGTGTTCTCTGCCGTTGCTGCAATTTGTCGAATGAGTTGTATACATGACAACCTGTCGATGCCACCGTGGGGATCAAATGATGTTTCTCTTTTTGAGATATTAAATTATCATGAAAATATCATTTCAAATTTAAAAGAAACCTAATTGAACTTTATTCTTGGTGATCTTAATGTCTGAAATATATCTTTATAAAAAGAAAAGCTGTTTTTATCTAAAATATCTGAATATTTTATTTAACATAGCACCTAAGACAATGCCCAGTGTGCACCTGAATTCAGTGGGGCGTTGGTGCTTCGATCATCTCGAATCGTGTTGTACATGGCCAGCTTGGCATTCATAACTCTTCCTCGAGTACATGCAACTGACAGGGACAGCCTGCCACATTCCTACATCAATTTGTCAGCGAAGTCATTAGACATTTAACTCAGCCTTTTGATGATCATCATTGCGAGAGAGGGGATTATGATAGCCACCTGACCATGATCATGTCTGGCCCACTGCCTTACCCACCGACTGCCCCACCAACTGAAGGTGGCAAGTGCCGCTTGACCTTTGTGGCACAACCTGGCAGATGTTTTGGGAACAGGTCCGGCCAAAAAGGCGGTAATGAACGGGGCAGGGCGTACTGTTGGCAGTTGAGCAAATGTCAGTTACCCCAGAAGTCGAAGCAGATGTATAGAAGATAGAACCCTAACTGGCCAACTGCTACGTGATATTGTTAAGATCGATGTTGAACTGAGAATTTAAGAGGCGGTACGTGTTTGTTTTGGTTATTTTATTTTGATGTTTTTATTTTTTATCTATTCAGGTGATACGGATCGTTTCAAGAGGTGGCATCGTGGATCGTATTGGTGGCTCTATCCGGACTTGTTGAACAGCAGGGACAGGAGCTGCTGCTTGAAGGGCCTTGTGGTGGTGGTGTCGGTGGTTGTGGTGGTGTAGCTTGGAGACGATGGCGTGGTTGTGTAGGTATAAGTCGTAGTAGATGGCGATGAGGGTGATGATGGAGAGGAGCTTGATGCTGTTGCTGTTGGTGAACCTGCCATTGCGACGGCCAAAAGAGCGAAGAAGCAGATGATAGCAACGTAGGACTTCATGTTGATTGGTTTTTTTGGTTTTGTTGGAACTGCTGGATGTTGCTTGTTGATGGAAGAGCTGCTGAACTCTGAGTGTGTCTATCGATGGAACACGGCTCCCCTTTTATACCCACATATCTTCTGCAGTCGGTATGCCAGGTAATGTTTGCACAAATGGTTCCTGCAGCATTGCTTGCACTTCTCCCATCCAAAATTTGTAACCCATGTTTGTCTAGCGGCACATTGTGAAATGCAGCATCCAATGTTTGATCCCCTTCCATTTCAATTTTCCCAAAAAAAAATTCAAGTTTTCGATTTGTGAGTGTCAATGACTTGGTATACTTAGAACCTATTCCCATCCACCTAAAATATATGTCGCTCGTAGCTACTGGGCCACTCCATGGAGAAGGCAAAGTCCGGAAGTGTGGCCAGGAACTCTTTGCTCAGCGCATCCCGTTCGTCATGGGGACTAACGTAGTGCCCGGATACGCCCATCTCGAACACGGGCTCATCAAAGTTGCCATTGTCCTTCTATGAATCAGTTAGTTAGTTAAGTTACTAGTAGTTATTCCATTGAATACCCACCGAAAGTTCCACGAAAAACTCGAAGGGAGTGCTATCAATCCCATAGGTTAACATGACTTCAAGTGGTGGCCTGTAGGTTGCCGGATTGTCCAGCATTCCAGAAGCAAACGTCCATCGGAGCAATCTAACACCGTCCAGCGGCTTGAAGAACAGACCCATATTCGGTGGTCCAGTTAATCGAAAGTCATATCGAACTTGATAGCCTCCATCAAGAACAGTCTTGTTAAGAAACTCCAAAACTGTTGGATACGGCAGCTGCACGTGCTCCTCTCTGGCAAGCCAGAGGGCATGTGTACGTGAACTGCAATACCGATAACAGGGAATCCCGCACATCAACTCTGAGTCGCAGTCCTCGCCCAGGAGAACTAGATCGGTCAGGTTCATATAATCTCTCAGAGGAGCTTCTTTATTACGATCTCCCAGATGGAAATAGTAGCCAGAGTCCTCGAGGCTCATTGAGCCATTATACTCAAAGAATTTCCGGTGCACTTGCTATTAAGGGAAATAAATAGAATTGTTCAATGTTCAGTTAAGGATTAGGAATTCCAAACTCACCATGAAGTCAGCTCGCATCACGTTCGTTTTGGCCCGGTAGGGGAATCCCACATCCGACACTGTAATCATGCAGAAAATAAACATAACCAATGCCAGGCCTCCAAGCATGCAGTTGGGTCGCCGGAAAATGTTGATTAGAGGAGCCTAAAACGGATTAACTATAAAATTTGTGTTGCTAAACATAGAAAACTCACTCACAGCAAAAGACAAAGCCAGAATCGTTCCAAAAGCACACAAAGCTGCAATCAGTAGATCCGGATTGGTGGAAACACCAAAGCGTCCAGTCATCGGTATCAGGATCACTATGAACATATGGAACAAATAGGCATGGTATATGAAGGGTATTATCTGGAAGAAAATCAGCACCAGGGACCACAAGTAACCTGCAATAATAACAATGATTAAAAGCTCTTAAGATTAAGTCTAACAAATAAACTTACCACGACAATGAAGCCGAGTTAACAAGTTAATAATCAGAGCAGCAACATAGAAGATGAGAGAGATTAGGAACAGGTAAGCACTGCGGTATTTAAGAGATGTGGCGCCCAAACATAAGATGGCCAGAAGAACGCAATTAGCATGTCCCACTATATGTAGGTAGTACGTATGCGGGATCTTCTTCTGCAGAGTAATATAGCTTAATATAACAATGTTAGTTAAGTTTCCAGTCATATCACTCACACTCTTCTTATGCGTCAGATAGAGAGTCATGGGTAAAACAAGACCAATAACCGACGGGCAGATGTACAAGCCAATCACCAGCCAACTATTGCTGAAGTAAGTCAAAGTTCGATTTCCCAAATCATAGAAAGTGGCTATTAGCAGGGGAAAACCTAAGGCTAATAGTACCCCTGCCAAAGCCAGGAGGAACAAGAGTCCAAAAGTGCCGGCATAGGTACCCATCGACTCTCCCGTAACTCGCGACATTCGCCACAGGGAGACACAGACCAGGAATATGGCCCCAAAGGAGAAGGAGAGATTCAGGGCCACACTAGTCGACTCCTGGTAATGCACAAAGAACAGTCCAATAAAGTCGAAGAATACAGCATGTCCAGAAGCATAAGCCTGTTAAAATAAACTTTTATTAAAGCTTACAAATTTGATTTAAATAAATAGAGAACCCACCTCAGTGTCATACATTTCCTCGGCATTTGAAATACTCCACACCAGGGCTAGCAAGTTATCGCCGGAATTCTGCAGGGAGTCACGGCTTACTACCGTATACCTATCGAATTCCGTGTGATATACAAAGCCATTGTAGACGCCAGCCATGTCCAAACCTGGAAGAGAAGACCTACTAAGTTCGATTCAAGGCTTAACCTCCTCAAGATTCCCACCTGGCACCACTCCGAAATCACGAAAAACTCTAAAATCAGTATCCGATGGTATGATGCCAGCTTCGAAAATCTCCTCGGCCGTAGTGGTGGCAAATGGGTGCGGGACATTGTTTCTGTAATGCTAAGATAAGGCAAAAGATTAGATTAATTGATCAGCAGCCAGCCGAGTGATATCGCCGATATCGGAAATGCGATCAAATCATTGCCAAAAATATGAATCACCAAATGCTTTGCAGACTTTCAGGGTATTTTTAGGGCCAAACAAAAGAACTTACTTCCATTAGCCATGGATGATTGGGACCGCCCTGGAAGAGCAGATCACGACCTCCAGCACCGGCAGAATCCAAATTAAGAAGTGCCCTGGTTTAATGATACAAGTTAAAGCTTCTGCAGATCTGGATCTGAACCAAAGATAAGTCTACTCACTTGCAGTTTGCTGCCCATCTGTGCTGAGTGATAAAACCATGTGAGCCCTGCATCGGTTGCTCTTCGGCGCCATTGAATAGGAAAATAATGGGATGGAGGAAGGGATTCCCCGAAATGGCCACCAGTCGTAGAACTTCTAGCATTACGACGACCATAGCAGCATCATCTCCAGCACCTAAAAAATGTATAACATACTGTAGAACTATATGAAAAATCCAAACCTTAAAAAGAACTTACCAGGTGACCCAGGCTTTGTGTCATAGTGACTGTTGACCAAAAGGTAAGAGCTGCTGTTCGAGCTCCTTGTACTCAATCTAACGATCACATTCTGCACACCTTGATAGTGATTCGTCAGGCCTTTTATTAAATAAGAGCCGGATGCCCGTTGTACTTCAACTTCCATATCATAGACATCGTCACGCAAAACCTGACGCACTTTCTCAATTTCCTCAAGCAGCAAATTCACGACGGTGACCTCATTATTAACATCGCCCACCACTCGAGGTCCCATTTGACTTATTTTCAGCAAAATTTGCTGTGCTCTTTCAGCCACGAACTGTCCCGGCTTTTCTGCTTCTTCGGAGATCTTAATTCCGGTGGGCAGAGCTTGGAAAAGTGGGTAGATGACGGCGAAGAAAAGTCCCACCCAGAATAGAAGATACGTGGGGGCAAAGTACCAGGAATACTGCTTACACCGGATCTTCTCCTCCCCTACCTCAATGATAAGGTTATCCGTTTCCACAATTACCTGAGATTTAAAGAGAGAATTTTAATATAACTATGAGGATTTTAGGGTGTTGAATCACACACCTTCCCGTTCCTTGTGGCTCCCATTTTTGTATTCCAAGAGATTCCCGAACCGTCCAAACAAGAGCACCTTCCACGACTCTCGACGCACGACTAAACAACCGGACATCTCCATCCGCAATTTAAAGTTGTGGTTCGGGTTTATGATGCGATATGGTTGATATCTTCAGCATAGTATAAAGATATTCGATATTTATGGCATTACGGCGCGTGTTATTCACGCTTTCCTATCAGCATGCCGTACATATTTACCAAAACTTTCGACTCTATGTGATCGATAAATTCCAAACCTACACCGATATTTTGAGGCCCTCGAGGGTCTAACGACGTGATTACCCAAAACCAAAAAATCATTACCACTGACTTTGCCCCATATCGTAATCGGAATTGTTGGTCATGGCGGATTTATGTATTTATTATGTCGCATCTGGTCGGCAGTGCCCAAAGTCAAGGCTATAATTCCCGCCCCTTTCAATCAGTTTAAGAAGGTGGTATAAACCCAAACCAATGCCAAAATGGCGATGGTATTAGAACACCTTTTCTGGAAAATTTTTAGGCATGATGAGTGTAAGTGCACCAAAAGAAAGAAATATGATTACTCATGGCAATATCATAAAATATCTTCATGATATTGCAGTTCAAGAGTCTCGTTCTCCATTGATTAATGGTAAATTAACCATTTCTTTAACTTCAAATCAAGTAATGAACAAAATCAAACCACTTTGATTTAATATTTTTAATTTTTATTTATTTATCAAATCTTAACACTATTAAGTAAAACTTAACAATCTCAAAATATATATCGTTCATAGGAACTTGGCCACTCCATGGGATGGGCAAAATCCGGTAAATCCTCGATGAACTTCAATGTTGTGGCATCCCGCTTACTAAGATGGCTCATATAGTGCCCAGAGATACCCAACTCCACTACCGGACCATCGAAATTACCATCGTCCTTCTGCAGAATATGAGTTTAATATGAATTTTAATATGATTTAAACTAAGAAATATAATATCTACTTACCGTCATTTCTAAATAAAATTCAACTGGAGAACTATCGCTGCCGTAGCCAAAGAAAATATGATATGGAGGCTTGTAGACTGATGGGTTATCCAGCATTCCCTTAAGGAAGGACCAGTGCAACATCTTAACACCATCCAGGGGTTTTATAAAGAAACTCATCCTTGGCGGCCCTGAAGACACAACGAAGTTATAGCGAACCCTAGGATCAGACTCTGTCCCCAACACGGTCTTGTTTATAAACTGCAAGATCGGAGAACTTGGCAGATCAACGGGCTCATCCCGGGGCAACCAACGTGCATCTTCCACAGCGGAACACCAACGATGGTTAAAGCAGGGCAAGCCACAATACATCTCCGTTTGGCATTGCTCATCAACGCGAGTGAGACCAGTGAGGTTGATCTTGCCCAGCAGAGGAGCCTCTAGACGTCTGTCTTGCAGGTCAAAGTAGTAGCCACTGTCCTCTAAGCTAATGGAACCATCGAACTCGTAGAACTTGCGATGTACCTCCTAAAATACTTATAGAATGGGTTCCATATACTATTTATATTTGAAGAATTACTCACTAGAAAATGTAGACGCATAACATTTGTTTTGGCGCGATAGGGAAAGCCCACATCCGAAACAGAGATCATGCAGAAAATAAACATTACTACCACCAAGCCACCGACCATACTCTTCGGCCGCCTAAAGAGATTCAACAGAGGTGCCTGAAAAATAACCTTCTTTTGCTAAAAATTCTTTGACCTACACGATTAGAAGTTCCTACCACAAACACCATTGACAGAATCGAACCCAAGGCGCACTGTAATGAGATCAGGAAATCAGGGTTAGCATCCATGCCCTTTCGACTAGTCATGGGAATGGTGATAACCAGCAGGGCGTGGAAGAGGTAGGTGAAGTACAGATACGGGAGAATCTGGCAAGCACCGAGTACCACAGCCCAGAGATAACCTTAATCAGACGAAAAGTTGTCATTAAACACATTTTTATCTCATTTCGGCCTTACCTTTATCATGAAGTCTACTAGCCAAGTTTATAATCAAGGCTCCTAAGTAGAAGAATACACAAATCATAAAGAGATAGGCTGTGCGAATGCCAATTACGGTTAGTAGAATACAAAGCACTGCCAGAAGAACGCAGTAAGCATGTCCAACGATCTGTAGGTGGTAGGTGTGCGGTATCTTCTCCTAAATACAAAGTTAATATCAATCTACTTTAAAAATACATTCTTCATACTTACACTGGGCCTCAAAGACAAGTAGAGAGTCGCTGGCAAGACCAGACCAATGATTGAAGGGCAGATGAAGAGTCCTATGACCAACCAACTGTTGCTAAAGTAAGTCATTGTCCGATCCCCGGCATCATAGAACACAGACATCAGCAAGGGAAAACCAAGAGCCAGTAAGAGGCCTAGTATGGCAAGGATGAACTGCATCCCAAAGGCTCGGGCATAGGTACCCACTCTTCGATCCGTTACCTTCGCCATGCGCCACAAAGAGAGGCAAATAACGAGGATAGATCCCAAGGAAAATGAAATATTCAGAGCCACGCCCGTTGACTCGGTGTAGTAAACGAAAAAGAGGCCCAAATAATCAAAGAAGACGGAGTGACCTTTTGAGTGAGCCTGGTTGGGGGTTAAAAATGATTTAGGAGTACTGTAATGGTATAAACTTTCAATTTCTCACCTCCGTATCATACATTTCCTCTGCATTAGATATACTACGAACCAGAGCAAACACATTATCCCCAGTGTTTTGCAGGGCACCGCGTGATATAACCTTGAAGCGGTCGAACTTAGTGTGATAAACAAAACCATTATAGCAGCCAGCCATGTCTAGACCTGTATTAGACATAAACATAAATAATTGCTAAAATAATTTATATATTATACAAATTGGAACCCACCTGGCACCGGACCAAAATCTCGAAAGATTCGAAAATCTGTATCGGAAGGTATTAGATCAGCCTGAAAGATTTCCTCGGCCATCGTCGTGGCAAACGGATGCTTGGCACTCTTTTTGTATTGCTAAATTGCAAAAGGAAAAACGATTTTTATTAGATATCGGACCATAAAAGCCGATAAGATAAGCGTGCCAGTAAAAGCACTTTCAACGTTTTTATGGCTAGCCTATTAAGATAAACTTCAAGTGGAATGCGCGATTTCGACTTGCCTTCATTAGCCAGGGATGGTTGGGACCCCCCTGGAAGAGAATTTCACGACCGCCAGCGCCGGCCGAATCCAGGTTGACCAAAGCTCTGATTTCAAAAAACTAATCTTTAGAGTTGCCAAGGAAGATATAAAAATAAACTTACTTGCAATTTGCTGACCAACGATGATTCGATATAAACGAATGTGATCCATGGAAGGGCTGCTCTTCAGCGCCATTGAACAGAAACACAATGGGATGCAGGAAGGTCTCTTTAGATGTGGCCATTAAACGGAGGGTCTCCAGCATTGTAACTATCATGACCTCCGCATCTCCAGTGCCTGAAGCAAGCTTAAGAGGTTATCCTCATGTCATCCTCAAACAAGATGTAGCTTTACTTACCCACACTGCTGGGCTTGGAGTCGTAATGACTGTTGACCAACAAGTAGGAGGTGCTGTTGGAACTTTTGGAACTCAGCTTCACCACCACATTCTGAATGCCCTGGTACATGTTTATCATTTGCCAATGGAGAAAGGCACCACTGGATTTCTGTACATCCACCTCCATTTCATATAGATCCTCTCGCATCTCCTCACGCACCTTTGCTATTTCATCGAGCAAAAACTGAACCACTTCTACCTCCGTTACGTAATCGCCTGCTATCTTGGGACCCATAAGATCTAGCTGCAGCAGTATGGATTCAGCACGTTGGGCTACAAATGTTCCTGGTAAATTTGACTCCTCCTCGATCTTCACTCCAGTTGGCAAATAATTAAAAAGTGGATAACAAACGGCGAAGAATAATCCGACCCAGAAGAGCAAGTACACAGGTGCATAGTACCATTCCAGCTGCTTTGAAGGGCTGCTCTTCTCCCTTAAATCGATTAGGGTCTCGTTGCTGCAGCCCTCTTCAGGGTCTATACTGTCAGTGACCAATGGCAAGGTGTTCTTTTCACTCCCATTATAAGATGGTTCCGAATGCTCCGATAACTTATCCTCTTCGAAACCTCCATTTTGCTTCTCCATGACGGCAGCTCTATACTATAATCAGCATCAAATCACTACGAAGAACCGCGTCCGACTGAGCAAACCTCAGTGAAGTTTATCAAATTTAAAGCTTTTTAAGGCACTTTCGTGATTGATAGCCCACAAGACCCAGTATTTTTATGATGCATTTATAGACGTACATTTTATAATCTTTCCAAATTTAAAGACTTCAACGATCTTCATAAAGTGATTTCATTTTATATCACGGCATCTGGTTAGTGCCCCTTAGAGATGTGTTTTAAGGAGAGAGAGTTTGGTAACAGATCGACCCTTGATCAAACAGATATATTATTTCAGAAAATTTAAGTTGCAAGTTATTATTATAATCGTCGCAGTAGAAATTGTTAATTTTTATACTTTCCCCTTTCCGACATCTAGATGTCCCTTTCGATTTTCAATTTCAACATTGATATAAATTTTGTTAATTTACCATTCTTAACTTTTTTTCCATTGAGACCAAAATATATCTATGGGACCGTGTCATGAATTGCAATTATATAGCCAAATAAAGATAACAAAAACCACCATAAATTTTGCATCGATTTTATAAACCCTAAATCAAATACGATAGCAAGATAACATATCGATAAGATACATAATCAGTATACATTTTGGCAGCAATAAAAATAAAGATAAAGATCGCTATTTAAATTTCATAAGTAACTTGAAAAAATCAAATGTTCTTTATGCTGAAGTATAACATTTTATAAGTCAATAAAAACTCATACTGCATAGTTATAGCTATAAAATTTCTAATATATATATCCTTTAAATATTGCAGGCCATTCCATAGCATGGACATATTTGGGTAAGTCAGTCAAAAACTGCTTAGTCTCTGCATCACGTTTAAAATCGTAACTGACAAAATGACCAACAACTCCTAGTTCCATGATTGGTATAGTAAAGTCACCATCGGATTTCTGCAATATAAAAATAATAAATAAACGAATTATTGTATAAATTAGTAATAACTCACCGTTACTTCAACGTAGAACTTCAAAGGACTACTGTCTTTTCCGTAAGAAAAATAAATAAAGTAAGGTGGCTTGAAGGTATCTGGTTCATCCAATAATTTCCGCTCAAAGGACCAGTCCGAAATCTCAGCATCACCCACTGGCTGGATGAATACGTTCATATGAGGCGGTCCAGAAAGCTCAAATTCTAATCTCACGGTAGTCCGGGTCTGAGCGATCTTTTCCACTAAAGATAGATTTACATCTCCAAGCATAGTCACATCGCGAGGCAGCCAACCTGCATTTCTCCGACTGCCACAAAAGTAGAAGCATGGTGCTCCGCACATCACATACTTATCGCAGTCGGGCTCCATTGAGACTAGTCCAGTCAGATTGACACCAGAGTCCTCAAGTGGAGTTAGGCCGCGTCTATCTTGATATATGAAATAGTAGCCCGAATCCCTATGAATCTCCGTGCCAAAATAGTCGTAGAAGATGCGATTAGTTTCCTTTAAAAGGATTAGTTAACTTGAAATCTTTCATAATGTTATTAATAATTACTTACCATAAAAGTAATTCGCATCACATTGGTTTCTTTACGATATGGAAATCCCACCTCTGAAACCGCAATCATGCTGAATATAAAGGTTACCACTCCCAGGCCGAGGAGTATACGTTTTGGCCAACGAAACACATTAATGAATTGGGCCTAATGTTTGAAAATACGGTATTATCTACAGTCATAATCACAAATCAATATCACTTACCACAAATCCCAGAGCAAAATAAGTGCAAAAAGCACACAGGAGGGCTATTATTAGGTCAGGATTTGAACCAATACCATTTCTTCCAGTGATCGGAAAGAAAACTACAAGTACCATGTAGAACAGATAACAGAAGTAGCAGAACGGTAAGATCTGAAGAACTATCACTACTAGGGACCAATAGTAACCTGAAATATAATACAGATTAAGGAACTTCTTGTATTATTGATATTAATGATATCTCACCACGATCGTGCAATTTGCTTAGCAGATTTATTAGAACAGCACCACCATAGAAGATCAAAGACACCAAACACAGATACTGAGACCGGACACCAAAAGCGGTTAAAATAAGCATAAGCACGGCCAAGACCACGCAGTGAGCATGCAAACTCATCTGGATGAGATATGGATGGCTGAGCTTATCCTGAAATTAATTAAATAGTTTGCAGTGAAGATGTTAGAAAAGATATCTAACTGATTAAACATTACATTTGGCTTCAGGGTAAAGTAAAGAGTCAATGGTAGTACTAGTCCGATAACTGCAGGACCTATGTATAGCCCAAAAACCAGCCAGTTACTAGTAAAGTAAGTCAGTGACCGATTTCCAGCATCAAATAGGACAGCCATTAATAAAGGCAGGCCAAAGCATAGGAGAGCTCCCAGCACGTGCAGTCCCAATATGATGAGGAACCACAGTGAAATCCGACCCAGTGACACCTTCTCCGTCAGGCGGGACATTCTCCAAAGAGAGCAACCAACTAAAACCAAAATGATTACTCCAATACAGCAGTTTAAAATAATACCAGTAGTCTCCGTGTAATAAACAAAGAAAAGTCCGAGGAAGTCAAAGAAGACTGCATGGCCGTCATCATTTTCCTAAAAATAAATATGTTTATATTATATGTTTTACTATATACTGGTAAATATATACCTCCGTCTCGTATAATTCACTGGCATTTGCATAGGCCCTCGCAAGGGCGAGTACATTATTCCCAGTGTTCTGTATAGATCGCCCAGGAATAACTTTATATGAATCGAAGGCTGTGTGGTATACATATCCATTATTAGCCTGTGCAATGTCCAAGCCTATGGGTATATAAAATATGTAATTTATTTAATATTTTATTGAATTAACCACAAACCAACCAGGCACATTCCCATAATCCCGGAAAATTCGAAAGTCTGTGTCGGAGGGTATAATTCCAGCCTGCCAGGTTTCTTCGGCTAGTGTGGTGGCAAAAGGATGTTTCGCATATTTTCTATAATACTATAAGTATCAATGCTAATTAAACTGATTTTACAGTAATGATAATGATTCTTACCTTCATCAGCCAAGGATTATTGGGTCCACTCTGAAACAAAAGATCACGCCCACCGCTGCCACCAACCTCAAGGTTTATAAGTGCTCTATATAAAAAACATTTATAATTAAAATAACGAATTTATATCACCTAAACGTCAGACTTACTTGCAGTTGGCCGCCCATTTGTGTTGGGTAATAAAGCCATGAGCACCCTGCAGAGCATTTTCCTCGGCCCCGTTAAATAGAAAGATTATTCCATGCTCAAAAGGTGTTTCAGATGTCGCCATTTGCCTTAGGACCTCCAGCATAACCACAACCATAATGCCATCATCTCCAGAACCTAATTACCCCATATTTATTGTCTAGATATTAGATAAGGTTAACAAACACCCACCTGGACTGCCTGGCTTTGAGTCGAAATGGCTGTTGATCAAGAGATAATATTCACTTTTGGATAGCTTTGTACTTAGTTTAACGATTACATTCTGGATGCCTTGGTACATATTCCACATGCTGCCAAGCAAGAAACCACCAGAAGGCGTCTGAACTTCCACTTCGAGCTCATAAAGATCATTACGCAATTCCTTACGTATATTTTCCACTTCATTTAGAAGGAATGCAACCGTGTCCACCTCATTCGCTCGGCTACCCACAACTTTGGGACCAATCCATTCGAAGTCATACAACAGTCTTTCTGCCCGTTCCGCCACGAATTCTCCCAACTTTGAAGGTTCTTCTGCAATGGTTACTTTATCTGGAAGTCTTTTATAGAGCGGTATGACGATGGAAAAGAAAAGTGCCAGCCAGAGGAGCAGAAAAGAGGGAGCATAGTACCAGGACAATCTCCGCTTGTCTTCAGGTTCTGCTTTCAGCGGTGAACGAGTAACAGCTTCAGTGTCATGCGAAATCTCCTGAAGGAAAACCATTTAGGAAAATAGATTTCCCTTATATTAGTAAACGTATACTCACATCATCAGCCTTATCCTTCATGATAATATCTTTCGAAAGTCGAACTGCTTCGATTGCAGTTTCATGCGAAACTAAATGTTTGTTTCGCCAACACAAAAGCCTCAAAGCCTCCCAAAAATTTATGAGCTATAAAGATAAAGTTGGCTATTGCTCTTTAGTCAACGGTTGGCATTTCTCTAAGAAGGAACTCATTACTTTATCACCCTACATTTTTCTCACCCCACGTACTATATATATAATTACATTTATAGATACATTCGATTTGTCTCGTAAAGTATCCATAGAAAAGATATAAAAGGTATAAAAATGTTATAAAAATGCCTAAAATATGTATTTTAATAAATATGCAAAACAATGATGAAACACTTAAATCCCAATGAGACTTCTTGGATATAAAAGAAGAATTGGTCTCCATAAGAAAATTACCCAATACCTTCTTTTAAATTCAACCCAATAAAGATAAAAGAACTGCCCAGAAACCTTGATAAGAAATCGAATTTCATTATCCGAAATATTGAACCCTAAAATCAGAAGGGTACATTTTTTATGAATCCCTTTGGAAAGGTAATGAATGAAATTTATTGTATAATTTTTAATGGTATACCTATAGCTATAAAACACTTAAAAAATATATCGCTTAAATATAGAAGGCCATTCCATGACGTGGACAAAGTCGGGAAATGCGGCCACAAAATCCTTTGCCTCTGCATCCCTTTCGAAATCGTAGCTGACCCAGTGTCCTACAGCTGCGAGTTCCAAAGTGGGAGTATCAAAATTGCCATCTAGCCTCTCCATATCTATGAAGAACTTCAAAGAGCTATTATCCGTTCCATAAGAATGGAAGATCTGATATGGTGGCTGGAATTCTTCCGGTTCGTCGAGCATTGTCCTCACAAACGACCAATCTTCAACCTTTGCCGAACCCACTGGCTGAATGAACACATTCATGTGTGGTGGTCCAGATAACTCGTACTGATATCGAGCAATGGTTCCCGACTCCAATACTGTCTTTCCCAGAAAGTCGAGACTAAGTTCTCCGGGTATGATCACCTCCGATTCGCGTGGCAGCCATCCGTCCCACTGGCGCCACTTGCACCAGCTGTAATAGAAGCAAGGAATGCCGCACATTACATAGTCATCACAGCTATTAGCCACTGGCTCCAATCCGGTCAGATTGAGTGCCGAATCCTGGAGTGGGTCAAATGCCCGCCTATCCTGATAGTTGAAGTAGTAACCCGAATCACTACGACTCACTGAGCCATCGAACTCGTAGAAAAAGCGACGAGTATGCTAAAAGGAAAAATCTATAAGATACTGCACAATTATAAAGGATATGCCGACCTACCAAGCAATTGGCTCGCATCACATTTGTCTTAGGACGATAGGGAAAGCCCACTTCTGAGACAGCAATCATGCAGAAGATAAAGGTAACTACTCCCAAGCCAAGAAGAATGAGCTTTGGCCAGCGGAACATGTTGATAAGTTGTGCCTGAAAAATAAACGTTTAAAACTCAACTATAAAACCATATCCTATAAAAACCTACCGCATAGCCCAAAGCAAAGAAGACACAAACACCACAAAGTAGTCCTACGATAAGATCCGGATTGCTATTATAACCATTCCTTCCCAGAACCGGAATGAATATCACCAGGAACATGTAGAATACGTAGCAGAAGTAGGAAAACGGCAACACCTGAAGGCACATCACAATCAGAGCCCAATAGTAGCCTACAATATATGACTGTCAAATAAAATCACTTAGATTAATAACTATAAAAATCACTTACCACGATCGTGCAGCGTGCTCAGTAGGTTTATCAGAAGTGCACCTCCATAGAAGATCATTGAAATGAGGCACAGGTACTGGGAACGGAGACCCATGGCGGTCAAAATGAGGGCCAGCAGAGCCTGGACAACCAAATGAGCGTGCAAACTCAGCTGGAGATGGTAAGCGTGGCTCAGTTTCTCCTGAAATTGATTAAAAAGTTAGAGTATATGGTAGTTATCAGAGGACACAATCTTACATTTGGTTTCAGGGTGTAGTACAGAGTTAATGGTAGTACTAGACCAATAACGGCGGGAAATACGTAAAGCCCAAAAACCAGCCAGTTGCTAGTAAAATAGGTCAACGACCGATTTCCAGCATCGAACATGACAGCCATCAGTAGAGGCAGGCAAATGCACAGAAGGAATCCCACTACATGCAGTCCCAAAATAATGAGGAACGAAATCGAAATCTGTGGAAGGGATACCTTCTCCGACTGCCTCGACATTCTCCAGAGGGAAACACCAACCAAGACTAAACTGATAACACCAATCAGGCAGTTAAGAACAATGCCAGTGGTCTCCGTGTAGTACACAAAGAAAAGTCCGAGGAAGTCGAAGAAAACTGCATGGCCATCATCGTCACTCTATAATGAAACATTTTCTAAAAAATGTTTTTGTAAATGAATATTCTAGACTTACCCCTGTCTCATTCAGTTCACTGGCATTACTATAAGCACGCACTAGAGCAAGGACATTATTTCCAGAATTCTGTATGGATCGACCAGGGACCGCCTCAAAGGTGTCAAAAGCTGTATGGTACACATATCCGTTGTCAACCTGAGCAATGTCCAGACCTGTGGAAATTACAAAATAGTTATAAAAATCCCCAAAGCATATGAGTCATCCACTAACCAGCTATATTCCCAAAATCCCGGAAAATTCGAAAGTCTGAGTCAGAGGGTAAAATTCCACTTTGAAAGATCTCCTCGGCCATTGTGGTCGCGAAGGGGTGCTTCGCGTGTAGCCTATAATACTATAAAAACGTCGGTTTAGTATATCGGCCGTAAAAGAAATGGCCATAAATCCGGCCATAAAGTCGATAGGGTAACTTTAGCCATAAGCTACTTTTTTTTGATGAGAAATAATGATTCTTACCTTCATGAGCCAAGGACGATTGGGACCGCTCTGGAACAATAAGTCACGTCCCCCGCTTCCGCCCACTTCAAGATTGATAAAGGCCCTAAAAATAAGTTATCGTTGCAAATAAATAATCAAAACAAACCGATTTTTATCTCACTTGCAGTGGGTTGCCCATTCGTGTTGCGTAATAAAGCCATGAGAACCCTGTAGGGGATTCTCCTCGGCTCCATTGAACAAAAACACAATAGGATGTTCGAATGGTATCGACGATATTGCCATTTGGCGAAGAACCTCCAGCATGACCACAACCATAGTGCCATCATCACCAGAACCTAATAAATTTCATTCAATGCCTGATATTTGAATTAAAAATCGGATAAAACTCACCTGGACTTCCTGGCTTAGAGTCGAAGTGACTGTTAAGCAGCAGGTAGGATTCACTTGTGGAACTCTTTGAACTCAATTTGACGATCACATTGTGAATTCCCTGGTACATATTTACCATATCGATAAAAACATATCCACCAGTTGGTGACTGGACATCCACCTCAAGCTCATACAGGTCACTACGCATCTCGGCACGAATCTTTTCCGTTTCATTCAAGAGGAACTCAACCGTGGTCACCTCATTGGCATAACTGCCAGTTACTTTGGGTCCAATCCGGTCGTATGTGTATAGCTGTCTTTGGGCACGTTCCGCCACAAATTCTCCAGGATAAAAGACCTCATCGGATACTGTTAATCTATCCGGAAGTTTGTAGTAAAGCGGGATAACGATGGCGTAGAAGAGCGCCAACCAAAAGAGCAGGAAAGAGGGAGCATAGTACCAGGACAATCTCTGCCTGGGGACGGGTGCTTTACTTAGCGACAAGGACTCGACAAGTACAGTGTCAATGGGATTCTCCTGTTAAATATTCAATCGAAAAATTCCTTTTCCCTGCACTTCCAAAAAAAATCACAACTCACTTTATCAGTCTTTTCCTCCATGGTAAGATTTCTAGCGGGAGCCAAGTGAAACCCTTTCAATGCCCGATCAACGCATAACTGAACGTCTGCTCCCCGAGCATATCGACTCGAAGCCTTCCGCCGTATTAAAGCCCATAAAGATAATGCCGTGTGCCGCTTGATACCCGTTGGTTAGCCGGCGGGGGAACCGCTGCTTTGTCTTGAGGCGCACTAGGGCGGCTGGAACTGAACCATGGCCATGGCCATGGTATCTAAATTAGACGGGTTTATGACTTAATATAAATATACATAAGTGGCGATTCCGACGCACGCGAGGGGCAGCTGCAAATTAAAGCTTATTCATTCACCGATGTCTGGCAGATTAAGGTGACGATTTGGGTATAGAGATTAATATATATTTTTGATGGCAGCCACTTCCTTATCGTATGCACTATCGCAGCACTTGGAATGTCAAAAATATAATAGATGCAAAACTTAATAGGCTTAAAGGAAGTGGATCTTAAAAGATATATCTTATAAACAGAGATGGCCATTCCATAGTGTAAACAAATTCTGGTAAATCCGCTATGAACTGAAGGGTAGTTTTATCTCTCTGGAAATCCCCGTTTACATAGTGCCCAACGACTCCCAGCTCGAATATTGGTCCATTGAAATTATCATCGGATTTCTAAAAGAGTAATAATTATTAGGAAATAATTTCAAAATTGTTTCACAAACTGTAACCTACCGTAAAATCAATATGAAATTTAAATGGAGTATCGTCCACACCATAAGAAAAATATATTTGGTAGGGCGGTGAGTATTTTTCAGGCTTATCCAGCATCGTCCTTATAAAGGACCAATCCTCTACTGCTACTCCATCCAGCGGTCGTATATACAGACCCATGTGTGGTGGACCAGCTAGTTCGAATTCGTATCTCACAGATCTTCCATTCTCCGAAAGAGTTTTATTCAGCAGTATGAGCTCCAATGTTCCGGGTATATCCACTTCCTTATCGCGAGGTAGCCAAGCAGCACTAGACAGACCCCTACACCAGCTACTCCAGAAGCAGGGAATTCCACACATCACATACTTATCGCAATAAGCATCTATAGATGTTAGTCCGGTTAAGTTTACGGCGTAGTCCTTAAGTGGGCGAAGGGCTCGTCTATCCTGGTAGTCGAAATAGTAACCGGAATCATCAACGGCAAGACTACCATCATATTCGTAAAACATTCGACGTGTTTGCTGTAAAAAAATTTCAACATTTTAATGTATTTTCAATGAGTGGTAATTTACTTACCAAAAAGTTAACCCGCATCACACTTGTCTTGGGGCGATAAGGAAATCCCACTTGCGAAACAGAAATCATGCTGAATACAAAGGTCACCACGCCTAGGCCAATCAATAAAATCGTAGACCATCGGAACATGTTTATCAAAGGAACCTATCAAGTAAGCTTACTAAGAATGTTTATAAAATCTGGTTAAATATTACCACAAAACCCAGGGCAAAGAAAGTTCCCACAGCGCATATCAGAGCTATTAGCATATCAGGATTAGAAGAGTCACGATTTCTTCCCATGGCGGGAAAGAATATTACAAGGAATATGTAGAAAAGGTAGCTGAAGTACACGAACTGAAAAAGTTGGATTAGCTGAACTGGTAATACCCAGTAGTATCCTAAAAATATATAATAATTAGTATAGATATATTTATTATTTCAATTTTACCACCCACCTCGGTCATGTAAAGTACTTAACATATTAATGATTAGGGAAACCAAGTATAATACTAGAGAAATCAAACACATATAGGGAATTCGCAGACCAATGGCAGTCAGAACAATGGCTAGAAATGACAGGACTACGCAATGAGCATGTAAACCCATATAGATCTGGTGGGAATGGCTCAACTTTTTCTAAGTTAATTGTGAAATAAATAAATTATATATTAATAAAACTAAAATACTGATCTTACATTCGGCTTGAACGAGAGGTATAGCGTCGAAGGAAGTACCAATCCTATGATGGCCGGACATATGTAAAGACCAATTACCAACCAGTTATTACTGTAATAGGTCAGTGTTCGATCACCGATGTCGTATAAAACAGCCATTAACAGAGGTAGGGCAATGCACAGAAGGCACCCAAGAAGATGAAGTCCTAAAGTTATCACAAACAAAATCGATATTTTTCCTACCGAAACTTCAGATACAGAAGTCATTTTCCACAGTGAAAAGCCAACGAGGATAAGACTTATCACTGCAAAGCAATAGTTCAAGATGATGCCAGCCTTTTCCGTGTAGGTCACAAAGAAAAGACCAAGAAAATCAAAAAAGACGGAGTGTCCTGCACTATATGCCTGTAAATTTATAAAATTATTAGGATTATCTCAGATTTTTCTTTAAAATATTATGCACACCTCAGTATTATTCAATTCACTTGCATTTGCCAAAGCCCGAACTAGGGATAGAATATTTTCTCCTGTGCTCTGCACCGAACGTCCTGGAACTATATCGAAACTGTCAAATTTGGTGTGATATACGTATCCGTTGCTGAACTGGGCAATGTCAAGACCTGTAAAAATAAACACCAATTATAAGCTGTTCCTTAAGCCATACTATATCTCTCACCAGGAATGTTACCATAATCTCGAAATATACGGAAATCTGTATCGGAGGGCAGGATTCCAAATTGAAAGATCTCTTCAGCCAATGTAGAAGCAAACGGATGTTTTGAGTACTTTTTGTAATACTAAAATAAAGGTGATATTATTATTATTATACATATTTTAATAGGCTTATGTTATCTGTACCTTTACTAACCAGGGATTATTGGGACCACTTTGAAAGAGAATATCTCGACCACCGCTACCGCCCACTTCCAAATTTATAACTGCCCTAGAATAAATAATTAAGATACTTTAATTATTTAAAATATTTAACTTACTTGCAATTCGCAGCCCATTTATGCTGCGTTATAAAGCCATGAGAGGCTTGCAAAGGATTCTCCTCTGCGCCATTGAACAAAAAGACTAAAGGATGGATAAATCTACTTTCGGAAATAGACATTTGACGAAGAACCTCCAACATGACTACCACCATAGTTCCATCATCGCCAGCTCCTATAAATAGCCATTAAAAAATATATATCTGTGTTAAGAGTGTGCTAGATAAACTTACCTGGACTTCCTGGCTTTGTGTCAAAATGACTGTTGATCAGGAGATAAGATGAGCTATTGGAACTCTTAGAGCTTAGCTTTACAACCACATTCTGAATGCCCTGATATATACTGGTCATAGTTCCCACTACATAGGAACCACTTGGCCGCTGGACATCCACATCCAAATCAAAGAGATCGCTGCGCATTTCTTGCCGTACCTTTTCCACCTCACTTAAGAGAAATGCAACCGTTGTTACCTCATTCGCAAAACTCCCAACCACTTTGGGTCCGATACGATCCAACTCGTAGAGTACTTTCTGCGCTCTCTCAGCCACGAATTCTCCCGGCTGAAGTGGTTCGTCCGCAAGGGTTAACCGATTTGGTAGCCGGTAAAAGAGTGGTAGTACGACTGCAAAGAATAACACTACCCAAAGTAAAAGAAATGAGGGTGCATAGTACCAGGGAAGTCGCCTCCTAAGTTCCTTTTTCTTTGACAAGACATGGTAGAGAACTGTGTCCGAGTAGCCTTCCTGGAATTCTTATATTATTAATTTCCATTGCAAAAATTTTTATTTATAAATACTCACTTTATCATTGTTAGTATGCATTTCCATATTTCCAACTCGATTTTCCGGACAGAGGCGATTCGAGAACCTTTCTGATGCCCAACAGTCTCGCTACTGAATGTTTCGATAGCTTCGCATCGAATCGGCGCTATTGAGATAGCCCACATGGAAGTCTTGATAGTAAACCCACGGCAACAACAAAGTGCTTGGTAAAAGCAATCATTCTATGATAGCATTTTTTAGATTTATAATTCAAAATCTAATTGCAGGTCAGTCCGGATCTAAAAACCCAAATCTTATCGCCCAATCTTCCACTCCACAGGCGAGTGAACTTAAACTTGTGATTAATTAACTCGTTTGGTAACTCTTTTTGAGTGCGTTTAATAATTAAACTAAAATCTAACTTTTATAGCTAATAGAGCAGTTGTTTGGTGCAAACAAATTTAAGCAAAAGCTAATAAACTTAAAATATATAACGTTCATACAAAGTCGGCCATTCCATAACATGAGCAAAGTCGGGAAAATCTGATATAAACTTCAAGCCAGCAGCGTCGCGATCGTAATCGTAGCTTACAAAGCTGGCAGCAAATCCTAGCTGGCAAGTTGGAGTGCTAAAGTCTCCAGAGGATTTCTAGAAGGCATTATTTTATAGAGTGATAAATAAGAAGGATTCAACATACTCACAGCAAAATCAATATGAAACTTTAAGGGTGAATTATCGTTTCCATAGGCGAAAAATATTTGATAGGGCGCTGAGTACGTTTCAGGCTCATCCAACATATTTCGAATAAAGGACCAATCCTCCACCTCAACCCCTTCCAGTGGTTGAATATATAGACTCATGTGTGGTGGCCCTGAAATCTCGAACTCAAAGCGAGCTATTTTTCCAGACTCCAAAACTGTTTTGCTGAGAAGCTTTAGGGACGTTGCCCCCGGAATGGCCACCTCCTGCTCCCGCGGTAACCAATGACTCTTTATGCGGGTTTTACACCAACGGTGATTGAAGCAGGGAACACCACACATCAGATACTCATCGCAATAAGAGGATGTGCTGACCATACCAGTTAGATTCAATGAGGTATCCTCTAAGGGATAATAAAGACGACGATCCTGAAAGTCGAAGTAGTAGCCAGAGTCACTGAGACTCACAGAGCCATCGTACTCATAGAAAATGCGACGAACATGCTGAAATATTCAATTATTAGACAATAAATAGACAATATTATTATGATACTTACCAGGAAGTGAATTCTCATCACGCTGGTCTTGGCGCGATATGGAAAACCAACATCGGAAACCGCAATCATGCTGAATATAAAGGTGACTACTCCCAAGCCAAGCAATGCTAATTTGGGCCAACGGAACATGTTGATCAGCGGAGCCTAAAGTAACCCAGTATAATATTTCATCTGGATTTACTTCTTTTTATTCTTACCACAAATCCCAAGGCGAAAAAGCATCCCACAACGCAAATCAGAGCAATCAGAAGATCTGGGTTAGTTCCATGTCCAAAGCGACCCAGCATGGGAAAGAATACCAGAAGGAAAGTGTAGAAGAGATAACAGAAGTACAGGAACGGCATTAATTGCAGGATTTGCACAATCAACACCCAATAGTAGCCTGAAAATACATATATTTTAGAGTAGGATATAAATATTAAATAAACCTACATACCTCGATCATGAAGAGTACTCAAAATATTGATCAACAGAGCTCCCGCATAGAACAGCAAAGACATCATGCAAAGGTATGGTGTTCTCAAACTTATAGCAGTGAGAATGATGGCAATCAGAGACAAGAGTACACAGTGTGCGTGAAGACTCATATGTATGTGATTGGCGTGACTAATTTTGTCCTGGAAAACAAATATTTATAAGCTGGGAAAGAATCATGGCCAATCCAACTTACATTCGGTTTCAGGGTGTAGTACAGAGTTAACGGCAGAACTTGCCCAATAATCGCTGGAACTATAAAAAGACCTATCACCAACCAATTGTTACTGTAATAGGTCATCGAACGATCTCCGGCATCGAAAAGAACCGCCATCAGCAGAGGCAATCCAAGACTGAGGACCATGCCTAACAAGTGAAGTCCAAGGATTATGGCAAACCAAATGGATATTTGACCAATAGAAGCATTCGATTCCCGAGCCATCCTCAAAAGAGAACAACCCACGAGAATCAAACTGATAATGGCAATGCAACAGTTCAGGACTATGCCTGTGGTTTCAGTATAGTACACAAAAAATAAGCCCAGATAGTCAAAGAAGACGGCATGTCCTTCACTGTGCTCCTGTTAAAAGAAAGATAAAGTATCAGATATAGTTTTAAAGAATCTTTAAATGACTCACCTCTGGGTTACGCATTTCACTGGCATTGGCAAAAGCTCGCACCAATGACAAAGCATTTTCTCCAGAACTTTGAAGGGAATCAATAGGCACCGCCTGAACATTATCAAAAATTGTGTGATATACATAGCCATTGCTGATTTGAGCCATATCAAGACCTTTAAGCAACATTTTTAATGCAAAAACCAATAAAGTACAAAATACGTCACCAACTTACCTGGCAGCTCTCCATAGTCGCGAAAGATACGAAAATCCGTATCGGAGGGTAAAATACCAGACTGAAAAATTTCCTCGGCCATTGTGGTGGCAAACGGATGCTTCGCATTTTGATAATAGTACTATAAGGAATAAGTAAAATAAATTTGCGTCTATCAAAACGTGTCGTTTCCATCAAAGCTAAATTCCCGCAATCAAATTGCCCCTATTAACGATCCAAATACCCTTTATAAGGTATATAAATTGGAAATAGTCATGCGTTTTTCCAATAAGTTGTCTGGAAACTATGTGATTCATTATAGGTACATACCTTAATGAGCCACGGATTATTCGGGCCGCTTTGGAACAACAGATCACGTCCTCCACTGCCCGCAACCTCGAGATTTACGAGAGCCCTGTAAAAGGAGTTTTCATATATTTCTGCTAAAAGCCAATGTATATAAAAACCTACTTGCAATTCCCCGCCCATTTATGCGAAGTAATAAAGCCATGTGATGCCTCCAAAGGGTTTTCCTCAGCTCCATTGAAAAGAAATACAATGGGATGCTCGAATGGGGTCTCCGATATAGCTACTTGGCGCAGGACCTCTAGCATAACCACAACCATGGTGCCATCATCACCGGAACCTATAAAAAGGTAATATTACAAACACATTCTGAGATTCAGGATTTTATACTTACCAGGACTGCTGGGCTTGGAATCAAAGTGACTGTTGACCAGAAGGTAGGACGAACTATTCGAGCTCTTAGTACTAATTTTGGCAACCACATTCTGAACACCTTGGTACATGTTCACCATTTGCCAATGCATGTAGGCCCCGGAAGGCTGTTGCACATCCAACTCCAATTCGTAAAGATCACTGCGCATTGCTGCTCGGATATTTTCCACTTCATCCACGATGAAAGCCACCGTTGTCACCTCATTTGCCACACTACCCACAACTTTGGGTCCAATCTTGTCATATTTGTAAAGTAATCTTTGTGCCCGTTCCGCCACAAATTGACCAGGTTTACTAGATTCATCTGCTATCATGACGCTATCCGGCAGTCGGTGGTAAAGAGGGTATACCACCGCATAGAAGAGAGCTACCCATAGGAGCAGAAAAGATGGTGCATAATACCAAGGTAATCTATGTCTCATTTGCTTTTCTTGCGATAATATATTGACCAGAGCCATGTCCGACTTGCCATCAGCCAAACCCTGTAAAATGGTTTATTAATTAATAACTACAAATTGATTTTAAAATTCTTACATTCTCCTCCCTTGACTTCATGTCAATTTTTTTCCGGTTGATCGCGAAAGTCGAACAGTTCCTTTGGCCAGTCGGGGCTGAACTGAAATCGCCATTGCCTTGTGCCACCCAAAGTTGAAGGTAGACCGATATTATCAGCAGTGATTCGCACTTTGAATCCCATAAAGATAAATCGGTTTATGCATGCAATATACCGTTCGATGCTAACGAGAATGGTGCGAAAAAAAAACCCGGATACTTTCCAGTTGCTTCCCAGTTGGTATCTAAATAATGGCAGATTTATGGACTCTTTATATGGCTTTTAAAAAAGTTAAAGACATTTTTTGGCACGCTTGTTTACTTACTCAGTAACTTCCAGTCACACAAGCTGGATACTTATCTTTATGCCTATATGTGGTTGCTCCGTATAAATACGTCTCCGGACTACTTCAGTACCAGATCTTATTAAAACCACAAACAACTTATAGTATAATAATAACAAAGTTATCAGTTTATAGTTCAAAAACCTGGTAATGCTAGAATATTTATTTTAATCATATAAGGACATTGTGAATTCTAAGTGTAAATTCTTTAAGACTCAGCATTACATTTAAGTTTATGTTTAATTAAAAGTCTTTTACAAAAGCCACATATTATAAAAAAAATATTTTTTTATAGCTATCTTAGTAATTTGTACTTGGTCAGTTTATGTCCATTGTCTATGTTTATTGTCGCATCGACTCCATAAAATTTTCCAGCAACTCGGCGAGATCTTTGGCATAGGGAACGTCGAGGTATTTTTTCGGGTTTTCCGAAAGAAACACTGACAACTCCACTCGGAGACCAATTAGCAGTTTGAACAACTTGGTGCCCCGCAGCATGCCCTTGTATTTGGCCCCAAAGCCGAAGAGTTTCCACAGCATCAGGACAGCCAGCCGATGTTCTTCAAACGAGCTCAATTGATTTTCGTCAGATGGTTGTCCTTTGTGAACTGGTTGTATCACAATATCACGCAGTAGGTTTATAAAGTCAGCCACTTCCACGAGCTGACTGCGATTGCCATTAAAAAAGCACATGTTACGAAGAATACGAAGGCACAGGATTCTCTTCTTGTTCAATGGCGGTGTGCGTCGAATGGTGTTAATAAGGGATTGAAGATGGCTAACTTTAGCTCCCACATCGTAACGTGAATATACCTCCCAAAATCCGAGCCAAGCGTTTAAAACAGATGGTCGAATTTTGGCGGCCTGAATGGATGTTGGATTTGGCGGAAGAATCGTGTCAAACATGTCCAGCACATGCATTTTGGAGAGACTCAGTCGACCCTCGGCACAGGAACAGCAGTTTCCCATAACTCTCAATGCGGGCACCATATTAAGATTAGGCTCTCTGTTGGGATCTTTATTGGGTGCTTCCTTCTTGGTGGTCTCGAAATCAGCAACGCGAACCATCAGTTGAAGCAGGGAATGCGACTGTCCGGAATGGAGCAGTGAAGTCTGTTTACACATCTCGAAGGAGTACTCCGTTAGGAACATGGTAAGTTGAACGGTGATCTTCTTTAAGTGTTGAGAATGTGACAACCAAGGCCAAATACGGATGAGAAGTCGGACTATTTTAGTAGTCATAGTGGGCTGGCTGATCACAGCATGATGAGAACTGTGCCATTGGGACAACAAGTTGATCAGGACCAATAAATTGCTCAAAATAGGTTGTGACTTGTGAGCTCCGACTCGCTTTACATACACGCAGGCGTTTCCGATGCTAGAGTCGTTGATAAAGGTATCCAAAAGTATAACTACTCTGTCCAGTAGCTTTAGTTGTCCGGCCGTATGAACAGCCCAGGGTGAAAGCTTTAGCAATCCGCCAAGCGCTTCACAAATTTGCACATGACCTGTGCCAGGAGTTTCCAAAAAGTTGAATGTTTTGGCCGGATAATAATGGTCAAAGAGCCGATCCAGGCGGTGGTAAATCAAGACAGCAGCATTGGTGGTTTTGACAGCAGTTGTTAGGCTATCGTCATCGCCGTCTAGATTTGCCGGTGGACTCTGCATGCAAATCGATATGAGTTGCTTGTTCATGGAAATTATTTCGTGTTTGCCATTCAGCACCAAATCTTCTTCCTCAGAGGGTAAAATATCATCCAGTGGCAATATATATAATTCCAATTCCCTTAACAAGTTCTCTTTTTCTGGAGCGCTTTGTGCTTTAATGAATACCATTGATAAAGATGAAAGGGTATACCGCTGAAACGGAGTATTTATATATGACAAATGCAGTCCATACAGGAAGAAATCCAGAAATAAGGCTGGTTGTTTCTTCAGCTGCTCGACAAGGAGGGCGTTCGAATTGGAGTCCTTGCAGAATATTAAAAATAGCTTAAATGATTGAACCAGCAGACGCTCGGGACAATCAAGATCCAATATATCGTTAATAATGGCCAAATAACTTTGTATTAGAACGGAGTCCCTACATATTGTCCTCTGAAGGAACTCAAAGTTATCACGATAGCACAAGGAGTACAACTCACATATTTGTCCTGCACACAGTTCTACGAAGGACGTGGAAACGATGACTGAGGGCGGAGGCATCTTTATTATATCACTGAGACCGTTCATAAAACTATGCTGGCACAACGTAGCACACCACTCGGGTTTGATGACCACCATCTTAGCACAGATGGCAACGTAACAGCCAATTATTTCACACGAATGCTGCTCTCCAACCTGCTCATTATCTACCCACGGAGATAGGCGTATGGCTTTTAGGGCATTGCTAGCATCTTTTAGGAAGTCATGAATTCGCAACATTTCGATGCTAGTCTCAGCGCCAATAATCGGCATCAAAAGAACAAATACGCGTCCGCACAACTCCCTGACCAGCATCAATTCGTGGACATCCAAGAGTGTAGTCAGACAGCAAGCTGGCAATCCGCCAGGCAGAAAGTCCAGACGGGGCAAAATGTTTGCCATGCTAGGACCACAGCTGGTTATCCAATTGGCCATCGCAACCCAGGCTAAGGCGCGAACTTCCCCATCGCTATGCCCGCAAAGGCCAAGCAAGTAGCGCAGTACCTTCTGCGTGACTCGCACTTCATTCATGGCATTCGACTTAGCAGGAAAACGAATTTGGTGCATATGAAGCTGACAGATGATGTGCAGACAATCTCGCTGCCACTGGGCACCGGTCTGCGTCGAGGTTCTTAAATCACTGGACAACTGTATGAAGTGCTGATAATAGTTCTGTAAGCAAAGATATAAACTAATAAATAAATAATTAAAATCAATATTAATATCCTTCCGAACTCACCGTCAACTGAGTTTCACTGAATTTTAAATCTCTGTCACTAAGACTCCGGAGAATGCGGAGCATGCAGCGCACGTGCTGGAGCTGGCGCAGCTCAAAGTGCGTCTTGGCCAACGTACTCAGTTGCATAAACATCTTGCCATGCCAGTTCATCTCGACACCACGGTACTCAGTGGATAGCAGATGTACTAAGCACTGGCTAATCAGGTGGAGCGTTTCGAGCGAAACAAGGCGATCGTGAAGGTATAGGTGGAAACTGTGATGATGATCCGTTTCGAGGGCTTTGCTTAGTCCAGTCATAACTTGCGGCTGGAAAAAACGTAGGCAAGTGAGACACAGTTCCAACAGAGACTTGTAAAGCTCACTATCTGCATCGTTGCCCGGCGCTAAACGAATATACTTGTGGATCAACTTCCACAACTTCTCACCCACCGACTGGCTAATCGAGCTGCGTAGGAGCACAAGGTATAACTGAATAATCTGCACGACAAATTGTAGATCCTCGTGGTTGCTGCAGTTACAGGCTGATGTAAGCTGCTGACCTAGCTGCAAGTCTAAGTCGGATGACTGCATTAACGCCAAGTCAGCCACTTTTATCTTAAGAGACTCCCTTATGTCCAAATCTCTCACAGAGTCCAAAGTGATGTTGGATGGGCACTTACAAACGCGATGGGCTGTATACAGACGCCAATGCTGAGCAGCTCTTACTGTATCTCCTCCAAAATGGGTTTCTTGCAATTTTTGCTGTAAAATCAATCCTTCCGAAGTAGAAGTTGGTATTACAGTAGCTTCCACTTCGTATGTTACAGGCAGAATCATAGTACCCAATTCTATCTCCATCACAAGTTTTTCCTCCGTGGAGGTGATGAAATTGTGGAACAACATTTGGAACAGGCAGAGACTAACATCTTGCCGCAATTGTGCCTCATGGGGAAGCATAAATAGCGCACGCAGCAAGCACACGTATACTTCAAAAGTGTTTCCAATCTCCTTCCGAAATCCAGCATTATGGAAAAGCAACTTCATTAGGATACTGACTGCAGGCAGAAGAATATCTGCGGGGTCGTTGGCGCTCTCCTTCTTAAGAGCATTGTGCAGCGACTCTAAGATAAGACGATATCCATCTTCTTTTGTGGAGAAATCCTCGCATGCTTTCCAGTTTTGCAGCAACACATTTAATTGAGTCATTGTCGACTTCCGGATGGTGGGCCTCAAATCTTTGGTCTGCAGCAATCCGATCAGGGCATCCAAGCTACGCTGCCCCATAAACGGTTTCGCAGAGCACTCATTAAAAATGCTTTTATAGCTGATTGGTGGTTGGATCAGGCAGAGATCATTGGCAAGCAGCTCAATCGGAACACGATCCATGGTTGGCTTATATTTGTTCGTGTAGTCTTGACACTGTAGCACGTAAGCGATCCTTGTGGTAGCTTCGCTCCTCATCTGGGGAATTGGATGGAACATGTAATAAACGTAGCCACGCAGCATCAATGGTGAATCCAAGTTGCTGGTGTCTGGCTCAAACAAATCCCATACCACCTGATGCAATTGCTTGTGAGTAATTGACCTGCATATGAGCAAGGGTAGCACGGGGAGAATTAGTTGGAACACTATATTGAAGTCCTGCGCCCCTAGAACGCAGTTTAACTTAAGGAGCATTGTGGGATAGTCAACACACCACTGCCGGACCTGTTCCGGAGCATCATCCTCCCAACTCTGGAGGATTATCCTGCGCAGTATCTGGGAGTTCAGTGGTAGTCCTAATATATGCAGGCGGGCCAGTTCCAAATTGTTGCATCCCGTCATATAAACAGTCTTATTCATAAAGGCATGAAAGTGTGACACGACGGGTCGTGGCATCAACCGGTATACGAATCCACGAAGATGTTGATCAGGCAAATCAATCAAAGTGTACAGTAGGGACTCTGCATCGTTTCGCAGCTGTGGATTGCCCGCGTAGAGAGGCGTGCACTCTACAATAGCGTCGAAGAGCTGTTTTATCAGCGTTGGACTTCCCAGTTGGTCGACCACTAAGCACACTTGGGTGTGCATTTGTATTAGCTGCGCCGCAGCCATTTTTGTTTTTGGATTGAATTGGTTTAATGCAACACTGTAGGCTCTCTTTAGCTTGATTAGCTGCTGCTCCTCGGCAGACGGTTCTGAAGACAGAGCGCAGATTAAACTGCTTAAGGACTTCATACGATCGGGAACGCAAACCAAATATGAGCTGTCCAAAATTATGGGCTGGATAAGTGCTTTCGCGTTTTGTCGATCAATGTTTTTGTCATAAGTGAGATTCAGGGCAACAGTGTCCTGCAGCAGGCCGTTGAAGATCAGTGAATGCAACCGGGGAACTATCAGCATGTCCACGAGCTTGGTCATGTCACTGCCATCCACACTATTGCAGTAGCCGAGTAGCTTCTTAACTATGGTTGAGAATCGAAAAACGGCCTGGGGACAAACCCATGAGTTGAGAACATCATAGGTACGGACGGCTTCAACGCTTAGCTCCAAGATATGCCAGTTGTCGCTCGTACAGCGGAGCAGCAGAGACGAGATTATTTTCGTGCAATTGGTCAGGAGAATCTTCAAGGCGCTGCCCACTTTCAGCTGCTTGGAGCGCGTGCCAGGAGGATCCAAGCTGGCAGCATAGGTCATGGTATTATTGCGCACATCAATGCGGCGCTGAAGTTGCTTTAAAAAGGCAATAAGTACACGGTTAACGTGCAGTAAACAGCCATCTTCCCTCGTTTGCAGTTGTAACAAATGCAAATATATATAAGGTGGCTGCAGGAAGTACTCGGCCGGGTAGTCACCCATACGGATGATCAGATGGTTAAGCTGGACTTGCAACTCAAGAACATCGGTGCCGCTATCGCGCAGCATATCGGTCAAGCTTGTCATGCTCGCTACATCGTCCAGCCCTGGACGCGTCCAAGCGGGCTCGTAGTCCTCCGACGAGAAACTGCCTTGAATTTGTGAGATGCTGCTTGCAGAGTATTCCGTTCCCTGGCTGGTAAGGTTGATCGAACTAAGACTGGAGGCACACGGCGTTACCAGGTCCATTTTATACTTTTCGAGAAGCAACAACTGCAGGTCGTCCATCAGCTCGGTAATACGTCTGGACTCCAAGTCACGTAGCACACGGCGAACCTTCTCCAGTTCGGTCTTTAAGCGTTCGTAGGGAATCTTGCGGATTACAGCCTCGCCGTACTCGGACCGCAACAGCTCCAAAATCATGGCCAGCACCCGATCTGCGGCCAATGGAGGCGTATGCCCGAACCAGCGGATGAGTTGCTTCAGAAGTAGCACCGGCTTAAATTGAATGCGCTCACCCAGTTGCAAACACCGGATGAACCGCGTCTCAATCTGCTCGAGCGCGCGCAAGCGAATCTCCTCCGAATCGCTGGTCAGCTTGGCCAGCTGCGGCTCCGCCAGCTGCAGGGCCAAATTCTCTTTAACACTCATTTTTATGTACGAATATTACCCGATTTTGTATTCCTTCTCAGTTCCTATTCAGGGAGCAAATGTACCAGGATGACATTTTTGAAAGCGTCAACTCGAATTGTTCCGGCGTTGCCAGACTGAGAAGTGTGACTGCGTTTTATGAGAACATGCTGGTGTTTCTGGTATTTTTTGCGCCTTAGCAGTAAATATGGCGTTATAGACTTATCAATTTCAAAATTAAAGTGCTTATAATTGTATATAAAATTACCCAAAAGATGAGATAAATAATTGATTTAATAGGCGCAAGTATAGCTTATAACATATTAATTATTATATTATATTTACCGCTATCTATATCTTTTCAAACATAATTTGCATATGATTCGCTTTCAAGTCATCCCTGGAATCAAGATATTAATAGTGTAATAGAATTCTGATATTTTAATATTGTTTTATTTTAAGTACTTCAGAAATATTATTCAAAACAAATAACTAAATGGTTTATTTATACTTTTATAAATACATCAACATCTATAGCCTCTTTTTGTATAACTTTATAATACACATATGTAAACCTAAATTGCTATTTTAGTTTGCAAATGAAAAATGTCTCATAGGCACAAAGGTTATCATTCATGTATCCGTTATTTAGAAGAACGCAGTGCTCCATGCTGTTTTTATTATTGGGCTCTCCGAGCTTCCATCTGACAATAAGAGGCTTTTCGCCGGTAGCAGTAAGAAAATTATCCTCTTTGAGTTGATCGTTGATGCCCAGCCAATAATTTGTATTTCTTTTGAGTTTTCGGGTAATGGCATTTATTTCCTTATCGTTTTTGAACGAAGCCAGATTACCTCTCATTTTCCTGCAGGTGTATTCAGCTGTGGTCCAATTTTGCTTAATATCATGTTCAATATAAAATTTACTGGTACTGATCTCTACAAAATCCGGAAGGACTGCTTGTAACGCTCGTTGCTGGTCCTCCATATTGGCAAGAAGCTGCAGTAGACGTTCTTCCGTGCGATTAAGCCTCGTCTTTAAGTCTATCATCATGGTGGTAGCGTTAGACACTATACTCAGAAATTTGGTTTTGTTTGCAGGTTCCTTGATTTGGTTCTTATTCCAGTATGTATTAGTTTCGTGTTGGGTTCCGGTTATATGTGTAGGCCTGCCATCTGACAATGGTCCTTTAAAAATCAGAATAATAAAGGCTCCCAGGAAATAGGATGCTAGCTTCAGCATTTTAAATAATTATAACCACTCGTAGAGAACTTCAAAAACGTAATGAACATATGCTATTTTTTGAGCAAAAAACAATAACTTTCTTTCGCCAAAATCTCTGTGAATTTTCTTATCAAGATTTGAATGTACGTAAAGGAATGACGACATGAGCGCAAATTCTCAGAGGCCCTGAATTTGAAATTCCGCAAAAAAAAAAAAGAATGACAGTACTCTAAAGTTTATCATTAAATAGTTATATTTCCTGAAAAATTTTTAAATGTTAGAAAGTGCAAGCACATATTTCTAAAATTTGTATATTTTAAGTAAACTTTTATATATTTTTATTTCGTTTTTGCCAAAGCTGGTATTGGTATTTTTAGGTAACCTAGGTACGGTCACGCTGATTCCTTACATTTAAAAATCCCATCTGATTGGACTCACTTTGTGCTTAGCGGGTAAATAATACAGTCTGCTTGGTTTTGTTGTTTTCGGTGTGTGTATATCTGTTTATCTCGAATTTTGTGACGTTTATTCATATACCGCTTGAGAAGTGTAATTGCTTGTGATTTTTTAACTACACAGGCGCACAGCCGCTATTCCTTATGCATGTGACGCATTAATTGTGCGTTTTTTATTGAAATCAAGTTCTATTGTTGCGGCATCTTGTGACGTCAGGCGACGCTGCTATTTTTTTTTGTTTATCTTGAAGCAAACATATTACGTACATACATACACACGTTGGTATATAGTCCCAAATGACACTTGATGAATTTGTAGTACAAACAAAACATATGCTGGAAATTGAAAAGCGAAATGATGTCACTGGCACACGCCCGGGGACTCCCCTCCTTCATACCCTCCCACTATTCACAACCGTTCTCGCCGGTCGCCACCTTTGCTTTTCCACCTTTTGTATACATATACATACATATATATATGTACGTAGCATCCCAAACCACTTGGAAATCAATAGCCATACGCCTATTTTCTAATTAGAAGTGTCATGCTATTAAGAATGAGTGTTCCTCCCTCTCCCTAGTTCCAATTGGAAGCAACAGGTCTCTTAAATTCGTAATTTGCAATTGAATTTTTTGGCCACTGTGCCAAAATCGAGCTCTAAGCGACTAGTATTTATGGCTAATCTTATCGGATAGCCCACTTAAATCCCCGATTACGGGTCGATTATTGTTTCGCTTCATTGCCATTGAACTTTGAACTAATCAATTGCCGGCGTTTGGATTAGAAATGATTTATATTGCACCACAAAAATATGATATTTTCGATTTATCAAACCAAATCTTTTTACGGGCTTTAACTTAAAGTAATCATAAAATTATAAAACAATGAAGCTTAAAGAAGGAATAAGCAATATAAAAGATAGATTTGTTAGGAAACTAATAATACAAAATTACAATTAAAAATCTTTATTTTGGACCAAACAAACCATGCATTTTGGATATGAATTTCACGGTTTTTATAGCCAAAGTCAATACATGTTTCATATAATTGCCCTCCATTTAATATAGTAATTTAAGCTCTACATAGCGTGCTCTGTATGTTTTTAAAGGTTATTATAGCGGCTATATAGTGTTACTCCTAAATTGTTCCCTTATTTAAAGTCACGGACAGACAAAATGTCACCTCCCCCTCTGGACTTTCACCTCCCTTCCTTCAACTTGCAAGTGCGAAATTGATTATAATGCACTCTTTGCATTCGAATGTCTGGCAATTCAATTAGCAAAACTGGTCAAACTGCGATATGTTGAAAGGCGCTATAATAGGAATAATCAAGTTCTGAAAACATATTGTGATAAGCCAGGATGATAAAAAGTTGAGAACTTTGAATTGCCACTAATCATTGACACAACTTGAATTGTAAAATACCATAAAGTTTAATTATTTTTTTTTTATCGCAAACATACAGCTGTGGCATATGAATGACTCACTTTACTTATCAGTTATTCACATTATTTTGATTTTTTCATCGGAATAGTTAGGAGTGCTGAATGGGATATACTTACATATTTGAAGTTTATGGAGATCGGAATATGGACTTTCCATGGAGCGCTGAACTCTCTTTGTGCCATTTATTATCTTCTCACATTTAAGCACTGAATTAGCTGTCTGAACCACAAACTGGAGATAAGATAATAAAGAAAATCCTAATTCTGGTCGTACATATGGCCGAAAAACAATTAAATTTCCCCGATTTCAACTCGATATTTAACCTTAACCTGGGTTCGCCTTTGCCTTTGTTTATCTTTGTAAATAGCTATATGTATTTTTACGAGTTGAACAGTAAAATCGTTTATGTAAACAACCTTTTCCCAAGAGCAAACTAGTAAGTTTGCTTTAGCTTTTCCTTGCAATAGAGAAAAACACGTTTTCCGTCATATATGTATGTATGCACGAATTATGTGCTTTGCCTGTCATTATTGGCAAACTTTTAGCGCACTTTTAAATTTCTTTGTTTATTTAGAGAACATTTTTTGCAATTATCTGTGTGAATTAATGCCGCCTCCTACGTATACATATGTATTAATTTTGGAACAAAAGTTCTCTGATTCGAATTTTCCATATTTTTCCCTGCGCTTATTGGCCGTCAGTGTGAGTCAGCCACAGGTGTAGACTTGGCCTATCTGGGACAACCCCATTAAGTGTCGGGGCTATTAAATTATGTTTGGGGCCCAGACACGAGTAAATCGATTGCCTCTATATCTGATAACTAGGAATAGTGATATTCAGCTTGTAAAACATTCTTTCTGAATTCTATCAGTTTTTGTTATATAGTCATAAAAATTCTTTGTTTAACTTACACACATCATATAGAAAATATTCCTTCCCAATCAAGTGTGATTTACTGGAATTTTTGGAAAGGCTGCGTAATCTTATATCTGAGAATACATTGTGTTCATAAAATAATTGCCATATTAAACGACGTTATAACCAATCATAAATCTAGAATTTGCTTTGGGTTACTCAATTTTCAAAGGCCACTTTCAGTACCACCTTGTGACCCATATTTTTCAACCTAGCTGTGAAAAAATGAGTTGTATTTTCACGCGATAATACCTTACAAATATTTGCAAAAGCCGTCTGATAAACCGGTTAAAATAGCGAAAACAACGCAATTTATTTATGCCTCCCTTGTGTTCATATATATATCATATATCTACATTGTACAAGATTTTTAAATGCATTCATGTCATTATCGCTCTCGTTCTTCCAGACAACAACACATGGGCCACATCACAGAGAACAAACTCATCCAATTCCGAATCTGATTCCAAGTAGTTAAGGTATTCCAGCCATACATTTCCAAATCTCGACGAAATGGTACAAAGCGTTTCAGTGGCTCGGGCCATTGGAGGCTACATCTTTGGCCTTCTCCAGGCCTGCATTCGTTTCATTTTCCGGCTAATCTATGGCCAAAAAGGGGAGAGTGTTCCCCCGATAACAGATCCTATTCTGTTGGAATCGGCCACATCGTTGGCCAGAAAGATCCGCAACCAGGAGGTGAGTGTGTGATGTAAATCCGTAGTTATTATAACTAATTGTTATCCTTTTTTTCAGTTGAGCAGCGTTCAGGTTTTGGAATCCTTCATACGCCGCATCAAGGAGGTCAATCCCATTTTGAACTGTGTAGTGGATGAACGCTATGATCAAGCTTTAAAGGAAGCAATCGAAGCTGATGCACTAATCAAACTCGGTCAATACAGCGTGGAGGAGCTGGCGAAGCAGAAACCCTTTCTGGGTGTGCCCATCACCACCAAGGATTGCATATCGGTCAAGGGTGAGTAGCTCTCATCATTTTCTAGTTATAAAAACCAATTCCTAATGTTAACCTCTTTCTTCAGGAATGCTTCACACTGCTGGGCTCTATGAACGTCGGGATGTTCGTGGTACGCGAGATGCGGATGCCATGGCCTTGATGCGCAAGGCAGGAGCCATTCCTATCGCCCTCACGAACGTGTCCGAGGTGTGCATGTGGTGGGAGAGCAACAATACGGTGCACGGAAGGACTAGGAATGCGTACGACACAAACCGGATTGTCGGTGGCTCTAGCGGTGGCGAGGGCTGCATCCAGTCTGCGGCTGCCTCCGCCTTTGGCTTGGGCTCTGATATTGGTGGCTCCATTCGTATGCCAGCATTTTTCAATGGCATCTTCGGCCACAAGCCCAGCAAACTGGTTGTATCCAATGTGGGTCAATTTCCAGCGCCTTTTAGTGCAGAGCAGAATTCCTTCTTGGGTCTGGGTCCCATGTCACGATTTGCCGAGGATTTACGACCCATGTTAAAGATTATGGCGGGCGAAAAGGCAGCCGTGCTAAAACTGGATGAGGATGTCGACTTGACCAAATTGAAGTTCTTCTATCAAGAGTCCGATGGCGGTGGCCGTTTGATATCCGCCGTTGATCCTGACTTAAGACAGGTAAAAGAATTAGTTTATTTTATTTTTCTAAAAATTCTTATTCTCTTAAATTCTTAATCTTCTGTAGGCCATGACCCGAGTGGTGGAGCATCTTAGAGAAAAGTTCGGAAGTCAGAAGGTGGAGCGCATTCAACTGCCACAGTTCCGTCAATCGGCTGCCATCTGGTTCGCCAACATGCGCGACGACAGCGGCCATGGATTCGCCTACCAATTGGGCAACCTGGAGCACGATATCAACACGTACCTTGAGCTGTTCAAATGGTTTTTCGGTGCTTCCAAACACACGTTTATTGGCCTGTCGACGGCCATCATGGATAGTGCTCAGTGCAAGCATGGATCGCCCAAGTATGATCACCTGGTACGCAAGCGGAATGATCTGAGGACAGAGCTCCAGCGCCTGCTGGACGATAATGGAGTGTTGATCTATCCCACTCATCCAACGGTGGCTCCATATCACAATGAGCCCATAACGCGACCCATTAACTTTGCCTACACTGGTATTGTTAATGTTCTGGGTTTTCCTGCCACAGCTGTGCCCCTGGGCAAACTGGGAAGCGAGGGTCTGCCTCTGGGCGTCCAGATTATCGCCAATTTTAATCAGGATCGTCTGTGCTTGGCCGTTGCCGAGGAATTGGAGCGAGCCTTTGGGGGCTGGGCCAGGCCCGAAGTTCGGCTCTGAGACCAGTCTCAACTATATGCATACCTGCGAGTATGCAGCTTAGCTAGCTTATAGAAAGTAGTGGTCAAGTGATCCATCCTGGATTTAACCCATCACCCACTCCCGGTCAAGAACCCACCCACCCATGCATTCGCCTGGCGATAAAAGGTATTTCTTGTATGTACTCCAGTGCCTCGTTGTAATATCAATTTTCGATGTGGATTTATCTATTTTGTATGTATTTTAAAACGTGAAATAATCAACGATCCAAGCGGATCCGTTCCCATTTTGCATTTATAATAAATAATTGCAACGAAAGCTTCAGGTTCGTTTCGTTATCTTAATGGTGTCTGGCGCCCCTTGGTCAAAACAAACAGGGAAATTAGAATGCTGAATTCGAGTCCAACGCGCTTTGTGGATAAACAAATCTTTATTTAAAAGACCTAACTTAAAGATATGCCGACGCACAGGTTTCAGGGAGCATTTGTTTGTGTTGGTTTTTTTTTTTCCTTTTTTTTTTTTAGTGCCTGGCACTGCTCTTCAAATAAACATTTTTATTCGGCAAGGGGAACTAAATAAATTAAAATTATCAATATCAAGGATATCGCATTCACATTTGTTATCCCGGTGGTCCCCTCTCTTCATCCGGCAACAAGGTACATCCTTAATTTGGTCACTTAATACTAGTAATTCGGGGAATCCCTGACAGGATTTAGCCCTTGCCGCCCAGCGAAAGTATGAGTTTTAGTAGCTCCGTGCGTTTGGCCTTCACGGTGTCAATGTGCAGAGTGGGCAGTCCGTCAATCACCTCGTACCTGTTTAGGTAGTCGGCGATATGGTCCGTCATGCAGATGACGTGGATTCCGCAATCGTAGCCATTCGCCTGCTGAAGGCATCGCATTGGCCTAAATTTGGCCTGGCGTGCGCCCAGCAGGTCCTTAATTTTGTTCATTAGCTCCACGGAGTTTCCCGTATTGTTGTTCCCGTACGAATCAAAGTGATAAAAGGTCTTTTCCGGCCGCGAGAAAACCAACAGCGACCAGTGTGTGCCACCGGCTTCGGTGCTCTCGTTGTCATTCAGGGCGAAGAAGATGAAGGGCTTTCCAGTCGCATGACTCTGGTCGAGTAGCTGTCTCAGCTCCTGGTTATCCATATACTTCATGCATTGTGTCACCTCCGGAGCGATGAAGTGCAGGTCCGCGTTCGTCTTGTACTTCATGTGGGACAGGTACTCATAGTAGAAGCTCAGGATCTGGTCGTTCAGCCAGTGCGGTCCATGAAGCAATTGGACATCAGACATCCTCAGGCAGGAGTCGTGGAAGGTCAGCGAGATGGGGTCAGCTTTGGAGTTGCTGCCCATCTTGGTATGGTAGTTATTGTTAAACCTAGAGCGCCGAGAATTCGGATTTTGGTTCTGGTTCTGGCGTGTATGTTGCCTGTTGAAAAAAAATATTTATGAAAACAATTGCTTTAAAATGTGTAATTGTGACTAGATGTGTGGAATTCCAGCTTGTGAGTGTCACCTAAGAAATTTCCTATCTTGTGGCAGCATTTTTCCGACTTTAAAGTGCACAAATTCCGTTGAAAAGAAGTTTTTCCGTGAAATTAATACAACTCTAGCCTTTCAAAGTCAACGCACGAATGACGTTTTCGGTTTCTTTTTGCTTTCCCTTTCGTTTGCCGGCCGGCAAATTGTGTCGTTTCACAGCTATCAGAAATCGGTCATGCAATCGGATTTTCAAGTGCAATATAATTTTATTTAAATAAAAAATCGTTTGAATTGTAAACACTTCCCGAAGGCAAGGTTTGTTTATGTCGCTGGCGGCGAAGGTGCATAGCACAACAAAAAACAAGAGAAGCGGGCGGAGAGTGCGCGGTGTAGTGGGAGGCACCGCAAAAGTGATGGGGCCACCTAATTTACTTACCACGTAAAATGGTTTCTCGTCGATTTCGTGACCTCGCAATTTGTCCGTGTTTTAGAAACTCCTCGCGTATTACCATTTATTTGGCTGTTTGGAAGCAAGTACCTTGAACTTTCCAACACCGGTTATCCAATAAACAAATCTTTTTTCCGCTCAACTTATAACCTTTTCGTCTTCTTTTGGTCTTATCTTCACTATAGGGCTGCCATACCTGCAGCTCTTGTAATCTGGCAACTCGGTGACTTCAGTGCTGTTAAACGTGCTAAATTTTTTAAAATGTCAGTAATTTGAAATTAAAAAAAAGTTTTTTGAAATTGTTTAATTGATTTACTTAAAATTTTTTGGATATAAAACCAAAATAACAAATAAATGGATCATTATTTTTTGCAATTAGGCTTATAACTTTCAGGACAAACTGGTCTTTCGGGAACGTTAAATTTTTGTGTATTATCGAAATTATTGTTGCAACTATTTTCTGAAGATGTATCGCTAGACTCGGGAAACGGAATTTTCCCATCAGCAGGAGTCCAGGTTCCACCTCTCAACTGCTCGTTGACCCACATTAGTTGCTTGTTTATCTAAAAAATATTTCATTATTGGCTATTTCATTGATAAATTAATAATTTTCTACCTTTTCTACCATTATCTCGTCATTTTCGCAATCAAATAAATTGGCGGTGAAATGATATATATTCGATGGCTTTGCTTTGATCGCCTCTGATATAATCACCCGAATTATGGCTCGAATCTCAGGATGGCGTTGCAAGTACGCCCAATCATCCTTGCGCAAATTTCTTGAAATATTTCCTATGGTTTCATAAAATTTGGAAACATTTTCGTGCAAGTTCTTTGCGTGACCCGTATTCTCTGTATTCTCGGTTTCCTCAATGCTGGATGTTTTTGTGAAATCCATTTTATATCTTGCCAGAAATATTTACACGAATTTATTGTTTTGTATTTGGACCGAAAAGTCTGTGAGTTATCGATATAAAAAACTTATAACTGTGTAATACTAAAAAAGGATCAACTTAAAAAAACACTCCCCGATTACGGAATTATCTGCCACAAAGGATATGCGACAATGATCGAGCTAACGCTGGTTTGAATATGCTTAAGAATGCAGCAATAACTGACTAGTTAATTAAATTTGATCACATCAAAAAAAAACCTGACTCCGTGACAATGTTCCTTGAAACATTGCCGTGACCAGGATTCGAACCTGGGTTACCACGGCCACAACGTGGGGTCCTAACCACTAGACGATCACGGCTACATCAGGTGATGCTAGTCTGCATCCAAAAAGGTAATTTCAAATTCAACCATTTGTTGGCTCTAAAAATTGTGTAGATTTAAACAAAAGATTATTACAATTTATTACTTCTTTTAAACATGTTTTATCAGAAAATCGTTACCTTTAAATAATGTGTTTGTATTTATTAATCAACAAACCAAATCATCGGTAATTGCTCTAAAACAGTATCATGCTCAAATGCCTTTCACCAGGCTCCTCTTACTTTTAGAGCTACAGTTGAAACTCCATATGACAAACTTTGGTTACTCAAATTTTCGATTCTATCTCTGTGTACATACAGGAACTAAATTTAGTTCGCTATAACAAATTTATACGTGATATATTTCGTAATTTATCTATTCATACTGATGAACAAATTGCTATTTAAAGGTCCATAATCTTTTCATTTTACGTAAAATTAAAAATATTATTTTATTTAAATAAAAATATTTTTTCTCAAAGTTTTAAAATACAATTTTGGTTTGTTGAATAATAGGAGTTTGACTGTTTTATTTTACAGCGATGAACCTTTTTATTTTGTTTCTCATATAGAATTGATAAAGATTCAAAATAATTTAAAACAAAAAAAATATGATCAAAAAATCCCGCTTCCGTGACAATGTTTGTTTCAACATTGCCGTGACCAGGATTCGAACCTGGGTTACCACGGCCACAACGTGGGGTCCTAACCACTAGACGATCACGGCTACAGCGGGGTGTTGAATATGGCCGGCCAGAAACGAAATCTGAGCTTGAGTCTAGCAAACCAAAAAACTTATCCATTTTTTAAGTCTGAAAATGAGGAGTGTGAATAACTATTATTTGTAAACGCAAGCTTATGCGATATTAAATAACTTGTAACAATAACACAAAATAAAATAAACGAAAAATGGCTTTTGGAAAATGAACACTAGATGGCGCCGGTTAGAATTACCATTATCCAACACTACGTTTCTACATCTGCTTTTATCGATATAGTTCAGTAAAATAGCGTATCGATGAACGATAGTGAAATACCAAAACAACCATAATTATACATCTGAGGTATTTTAAAAATAAAGCATATTTAAAGCGCAAAATGGTAAGTTAATGTTGTGAATTTCGCATGTAAAGCTTACTTATTGGTATTTCCTTTTAAAACGCTTTTTTATAGATAGTCAGGAGCTAAGTACAATACCTAAAATGAACAAATACAAGGCTATAGAGTTAGATTCCGATTCGAGTGAGGTTGATGAGACTATGGGTCCGAAACGTTGTAAGACACCTCCTAAGGATACCGGCTTAAAATCTAATACAAGTAACGAGCAAACTCCTAAAACTGTAAGGATCTCCAAAACTGAACCTGAATCAGCTGTTTCGGGTTCCGATTCTACATCTCCGTCCTCCTCGGATAAGACAAACACATCGCCCAGCTCTACGGCAGACGCGACTGGTAAAACAGGACGGAACAGAGCGAGAAAGAGTCAACATGGCGCTAGGCGCATTAGTCCTGACCTTCTGTTCGAGTCTGTTGCATTGGAGGATGGTGAGGAAGGGGGCCAGTCCAAAGCCCCTAAGAAAGTGAAATATGAGAAGGAATCTACGGACTCACAGGTAAAGGTTAGCACAGCCATTAGTAATTTATTAAAGAGACCCGAGATGCAAGAAGTCATTAAGCGAATCGCAAACGAGCGGGTGCGCTGCAATTTTATGCTGGCCACCTACCAATTGCCGGACATGAACTTCGCCCTCAACACACCAATGGATACGCTCCACATGCAGTTCCGGGAGCGTCTCAAGCAGCGCCGGGATAGGGGAAATGCCATTTCTACTTCTGCTGCTGCTGCTTCGACCGCCATCAGCCAGAAAAAATCCTCCAAGGGAGTTGTAAAAACCCAAAAGCCTCAGCCTTGAATCAGATATTAAACTGTGAATAGTTTAAGTAATCTGTAAAATAATACTGTATGAATAAAAACATTTACATTTATTAAGAGATTCATTGTGCGATTTGCTTTAAAGAACTATTTTTTTACATTCATTTTTATTCGCTCAGTTCTTAAAAACAAAGAAACTAATATGAATAAATATTGTTATTTCTATTGTGAAATGGAGTATGCGCAAACTTTGCTTTGCAGTGATTTTCTGGGCACTAATCGGAAAATAGTCATTTGACAGCCGTTCTTCAGCGCCTGACATAGCCGTGATCGTCTAGTGGTTAGGACCCCACGTTGTGGCCGTGGTAACCCAGGTTCGAATCCTGGTCACGGCAATGTTGAAACATACATTGTCACGGAGTTGGGTGTTTTTTTTTTATTATTTTATTTTATTATTATAATACATTTTTCATTTCTACTAACTTTGGTAATATTCCAATCTTTTTTCCAGATTTTCAATCTGTAATTATATAATTAATCTTCGGATATTTTACATTTTTTAATTTTTGAGATTTTATTAAAATGAATTCTAAATTAACAAATATTTTGCTTAAAGAAAAATCGCCTCAAATAACTTATTTTCTGCAAACAATTGTTTTAATTATGCAGACAAGTAGAAATTCATGTTATGGAAGATTAAATGTACCTTTAAAAGTGAATGGGACTCGACACGCCTAGTGAAAGGCATAATAACCATTATATTTTCCAGTAACCAGTTTTAATTTTAATTGCAAAATAAAAAAATACAAGCAAAATTGCATCTTCCAGAAGAGAAGAATACCTGAATAAATACTAATAAATTTTAAGATACTGTCAAATATTTTAAAAGAAGTGATAAATAAAAAAATATTTTGTACTAATCTGAGCTATTTATACACAGCGGATTGTTATGTTTCAAGTCGCGATTGACTTTTTTGAAAATACACTTTTGGCAGCCGGCTGGCATCACCCGGCATAGCCGTGATCGTCTAGTGGTTAGGACCCCACGTTGTGGCCGTGGTAACCCAGGTTCGAATCCTGGTCACGGCAATGTTGAAACAAACATTGTCACGGAGTCGGGAATTATTTTTTTTAGTTGCCTTTAGTCCTATAAAAATATTTTTTTTGAATTTAGTAAGATACTGCATGTACATTTGTGCTAAAACATGTCATACTCGGTTTTATTCTAAACACATTTTGCTTTGAAACTTTTTTGATAAAAATTTTGCAAATAGTGGTAATTACTTTTGTTAATTAATGTTGATCATTAGGTGACCAGGTCGGTTTTTGGAAAGCCATGTTCAACAACCCGGCGTAGCCGTGATCGTCTAGTGGTTAGGACCCCACGTTGTGGCCGTGGTAACCCAGGTTCGAATCCTGGTCACGGCAATGCTGCAATATGCATTGTCACGGAGTCGGGTACGTTTTTTTGTATATAGAAATTCGACAGTTTAATTTTTTCGCCCCTTAATGGCTATTTCCAACTTTACCTTTACCTCATAAATTTTACCATTCGGAAATACTTCTGAATATATTTTTTAGATATTTAATTTTGATTATTTACAGTTTGCCTCTTTGCATAACATACAGAAGATATAATTATTTAATTATTATAAATTATACTATTTGCATTACTAAAGCTTATAGGGATATCTGCTGGAAATTGTATCTGGATCTGTGATTTAGTGTTGTTCTTCGGTAAGCATAATAAACACGCGCCCAGGAGGAATGTATTTCCACTTTTGTTGGGGAAGGGCAAAGATAACAAGAAACAAATTGACACAATTTTATATTATTAACTACGAAGATAAACCTTCTTCTCTACAACACAGGATAAAATTAAAACGGTCAGGTGGTTTGAAATTCTGGTTCAACACTCCTTCTTTTTACTGCTGGCCGTATAGCAGTTCCGATCCGGGTGGTATACTACTGGGATCCACATTTACATTAAAGTAGTTGGCTGGCGTGGCAACGGCGGGAAATGCGGTGGCCATTCCTGGGCCTGGTTGATGTTGTTGCTGTTGCTGCTGCTGTTGGGGATTCTGCTGCAACGTTAGGTTGTAGGGATTTTGCACGTATTCCTGATATATATCTGCTTGTGGTCCAGGTCCACTAGACGCCGACTGAGTCTCGTAAACGGGAGCAAAACTGTGCACAATGGATGCCTGTGGCATTTTGGGGAGCGAGGGATAAGCATTTCCGGCCATTAGATGACTTATTGGCACATTGATGGCAGGATCGATGGTTTGAGATGGCAACTGTTGCTGCTGGGCCTGATACTGCTGGTAGTACTGTTGGTAGAGAAGTTGCTGCTGTTGCTGCTCCAATTGTTCAGCCGTATTTTCCGATACCATGGGCACTTCAATGGCGTAGCTATTGTACGTATTGTTAGTGGTTACGATGTTCGTCTGGTGCACAATTGGACCAGAATGGTCTGCTTCTTGTGGACTGTGCGTCAGCGACGAGGAAGTGGCTTGCCCGGCAGCAGCAGTTGCTTCATTCACCAGATCTGGCAGCAATGTGCTGTGTTGAGGATCCGCCACCGCTGTCTGCTGGGGCGGAACAATCAGAGGCTGTCAAATGAATTGAAAAATATTAAAAATAATTTAAAAGAAAATATCATTTATTTTCTTAAAACCCACCTGAGCAAATACAAAACTAGGCGGCTGTTGCAGTGCTTCTGCCATAGGTGGCTGTAGTATAATACTCCTCCTCGGCGATTCCACAGGAGAACCCAGTGAGGGTGTAACAGCCAATGGAGTGGGTGCGCTCACAATTAACTCATTGGACACCTGGACTGGATTGGGTAAAATTGCCACCGCTGGTACCTGTTGCTGTGGAGTAGGAACCACAACTGCCATAGGAGCTGGGTTCGTTAAGGTCTGAGCACGCTTTCCTGGAAGATGGAGCATATACATGGATACCGTAACTATTTAATTTGTACAAAAATATAAAAAGAAATGTGAATGAAGAATTCGAAATGAAACCGATAACTATTCAATTTTTCTTGCCAAGTCCCTTAAGCACCTTCAGTTTCGATCTGAACTTTGCCCAGGGTTTCTTGCGCTGTTTGGTTGGAAGGGTGTCACTTCTGGCCGTGCCCGTAGGGGAAATCTTGCGATTTTGGCCATAAAGCGGCAGAGTTAAGGAATGTTCGTTTGGGGCGTATCTAATTTGCGTAAAGTCTAGCGAGATTGCTGGAGATATTAAGTCTGCTGACAGGTTAAGAGGTTAAATACATTCAATAACGACCGCGTCACCCACCTTCATCGTGGAAGAGCTCCTCTTTGAGGTTGGGCAAAAATTCACCAATGCGCCTCCAAGTTAGCTCCCAGAGAGCCTGCTGCAAGCTGCCATCCTGATTGTGAAACACTCGCACTGAGTGCATTACCAGTAGCATGTTCTTCAGTATCTCTTGCATCTGTTCCGACAACGTGTCCGATCCCACCTTCATAAAGCGCTCAATGTAGTCCAATATATCCAACCACAGCTCATTAAAGGCATTTCCTAGTTCAATAAGAGTGGTCAAATGTTGCAGGAACACCTTAGACATGATGGTGGCCGTTCGAATACGCGACTCCTCAAGAAGAGAGGCATCCAGTTGGCCGGATGCACTGCTCTCAGGCAGGAGTTCGTTTAACAGCGGGAACAGCACCTGGTGGAAACACGAGCACCATTCGGTTCCGGACAACGTCTGCAGATCGTGCACCAGCAATGCCCGCTGCTGCAGGCACGAGATGGCATGGGTACGCACCTCTCGTCGTCGATCCATTGCCAGCCTTGCAATGCCCTGGAGCAACGGACACCAGCCTGGTGACCACAAAGCTGCCGACTGTGGGACTGTGCAACCTTCTTCCGCCCACCAACGGAATATCTGAGCTGTCCTTGTATACAATGTATACATCAGGTCTAGCAATTGAATGGACAACTGCTCGTAGCGCTGTGCCAGGTCCTCCTGCTCTGCCGCGTTTCCGTGTCCCTGGTTTTCGGAGGGGTCGGCGGTCAGAAGAGTAAGATTACTACTTGAGGCGGATGAAGTCATGCCAGGCTTGCGATCGTTGCGCTTCTTAGAGCTTTTTTGTTTGGCTGCCGTCTCCAGTTTTCTGCGCTGACGAATTCCTCCATCCCGACAGGCCTCGACAAAGATACGGATGCAGCGAACGCAGGCCTCAAAATTGTAAGGTGTTATATGTGCCACACTACGCACGATGAAGGCCAGTGAATCCCAGCACTTAAAAAGAGCAAATGGCGCGTGATCAAGAAGCTGACAATTATAGACTAGCGTATTAACTAGGGGAGAACTCGAGCTTGGTGGAGACTGCGGTCTGCAAAAATAATTAAGTTGATTTATGACATTTTGTGTTGCCATTTAAATAAATAAAAACACACCTAGAAGCCGTTGTTAGTTCACTGTCCTTGTTGTTGACCAATATCCAGTTCTCGGCACTAGGACTAGAGGCAGCTGGGGCTACCGACGCCTTAGATAGCTCCGAATCAGAGGTGTAACCACGCTCCGGGACAATAGAAGCGTCTTCCTCCCCACTTAAAGCACCGTCAGACTTTGCACTACCATTGGGCGGTAACGGTAGCTGAGCATCATCGTAGTTGGGCGGCACAGCCCCGGCTCCCACACATTCAAGTAAGTTGAAAATAATTTGCCAATCCTGTTCTGAATGGATGTTCTGGGCAGAGGTCTTGAGAAGCTCATAGATTCCAATAGAAATTTGTTTAGAGATGCGCAGCAGCAGCGACGGCTTTAGCATTAAAAGCATCTTGAGCGACTGCAGAACAATTGGGCATAACTCCTCATTTCGCATTAGATATATAGCCAGTTTAAGAACAGCTACAATGCACCGGTTGAGCAGGTAGTCGTAGCCACACGAAGAGCTTCCCATGAGAAGGAGGTACATCTGGTCTCGCACTGCTGGCCACAGTGGGATCATGCGATCCCGATTATGGACCACTATCTTTACCAGGAATTCCATCCAAAAAACAGTTTGATCTTCGGCGTAGGGCAGCCCAATCGATTTGTTTCCTTGAGGTGCCTTTAGCAGACTCAGAACACATTTAAGCAACTCCTGCAGTGACTCTAGTTGCACAAATTTTGATTCCTGAAGCATTTGGTCCAACTGGCACTCTTTTATACACTTTCTACCAAGCTTAATAAAATCCTGTTCCTCATACGTCGGTTCTCGCTGACCCTCTGAGCTGATAAAAGAGTACAGGCTGGAGAATAGACCAGACTCCTGCTTCTCTCGAGGCTTTTCTAGGATTAACAACGCCTTGCCGTTCGCTTCACAAAAGTCTTCTACTTCGATCAGTGATTTCGGAAGGAGTTTGAGACGGAAAAGTTGAAGATAAAGGTCCAGAATGTGCTTCCAGCTCTCCCTTAAGCAATCGCCATAGTCGTGAACCAATAGGAACACCGTTCTCATTGCCGCCTGAGCTTTGCCATTCAATCCGAAGTTTACAGCTTGTTGTATTTCATTGTTTGCCGGAGCGGGCTCATGCTGCTCTACGCTGCTTAACAGAGTTGTGAACTTACAGAGAGTCAAAACGAGAGCATCGAAGTCCGAATGCAAATTATAATGAGCCGATATAGCAGCGGATTTGCTGAAACCTGCAATATATTCCTTTTGTGAAAAAAGAGAACAATAAATACTATTTGTAAACCAACCTGCTAGAGTTTTTTGGTAGCCCGATTCAGTGCTCTTATCAAACATAAAGCTAAGAGCACTAAGGGAAGCGCCCCACACAATATTGAAAATCTCAACGTCATAGGACGCATCATGGACATAATGGAAATGACCATCATGGGTTTCGCCTCGACGAAGTAGTACTTTCCATTGATAGTTTTCACGCACTAAGCCCGTTTGCTCGGCTGGCATTACGATTTCCTCGTTCCTTAAAAGGATAAACAAAATTATATTAATAAATACATATTATTTATATGTTAAAGCTTACTTGATAGCGTTGAACACTTGAGCCAACATTTCTTGGTCAAAATCTTCACCCCCATTCAAACCACGTAAATTCTTGGTAAAATCTTCAAGTGTCATGGGAACATTCAGCCGCTTGGCATTGGAATTGTGCTGATCCATGTTCAACATGATGATAGCATAAGCCAAGCGAAAAGCTGCATCCACATTGGCGAATGGGTCCTTATTTTGTGTCTGCATTGGGGGATAATTTAATAAATAATTTGTACCAAGTAAATCAGTATAAATTTCTTACATGCCAATGATCGGAGAAGTGTTCCAACACCAAGAAGATAAGCGGAGCCTCTCCAGGCAATCTGAAGGTTTCTAGGTAAAGACGCAGTGCTTGGTCTACTCGAAGACCAGTGAAATCGAATGAGTCCACAAAATTAATTAGAATCTTGGAGTCAACGTTCTTCTTTTTCGAGATATATTCGCCAATCATCTTTTTATCCAGACCGGGATTTTCTCGAAGGAATAGGGCAACCTGCATTGGATCAAGCTCAGCATTTAAGATGCCATGCTCCTGCAGATATTGGATTCCCTTTTCTGGACGCTGATTGAAGCGCTCTGTGCCCTGGGATAGTAATCGCTTCTTCTGTTTGACGTTTGCAAGCTGTTCAGTGGTTATTCCTACCCCGTCACCGCCAGATTGCAAACGCAATCTCTGTGAGCTGGCATTTATGAAACTGGATATATTTTCCACTGGCTCTTCGACAGGTGCACCATTGCCAGAATCAATTACGATACCCTCCAATCCACTATTATGTCGTGAATGGCGACTTACGCCTGTCGCTGGAGCAGCTTCCGGTAAAGATTCTCGATTGTTGCTGTTTTTGGCTGCCGCACAATTCCGCTCGATGCTGTCGATCACACTAATTAGTGTATCCATCGAGATTATGTGTGTGCTATATACAGCATTGGTTGCTGACAGGGTGTACTTGCTTAGCAGGTTTGTTAAACTTTCAAACATGTCCGTGCAGTACAAATCGCAATCGTAGTTGATGTACAATTCGGTTACAAAGCCAGGGATTCGCCATAACTGCAACAGATTATCCAAAGCCAGTTCACGCATTTCGTACGGCGTTTTAGGATTGTCGCTAGCAATGATTTCACTCAGTTTTCTCAGATAACCTTCTAGTTGGAACTTCAGGTGTCCACGAAGTGACTCAAAGAGCAGAAAGCATAGTTGCAGATCGGCAGCAAAGATGCTAAGGCGCTCCGAGTTTAGAAGCTGGAATGTAAAGCAATAGTTAGTATCAGGATAATGAATGAAGAATGGCTTAGGTCGTTACCGATATTAAATTCCTGCACAAATCGTCCTTTACCAGCTCCAGCAAGCCCTCATACTTTCCAATATTATCAGCAGCGACTTCAAATGCCACTGTTAGCAGGCTTAGACCTGTGTGCATCATGCTGTCTGAGTTCTGCTTATCCAGAGGATTGCAGAGTATTATGAGGAAGCGAAACAACTCTTGAATGAAGGGCAAGCCGTAGGGCGATAGAGAAACGGCTTCCTGATCGGATGATTGTTGTGTGAAACGAACGCCCACTGAGTTGATGTATTCGCTGCTGCTTGCCTCTGCGAGTGTGTTGGTTCCATCAGCCGATTCGCCATCTAGCAAAGGCTCTGAATCAACCGAATCTACTTGAATGACAGGTGCATCAATAGTAGTTGATTCATTTTCACCCAAATTCGTAGTTGTGGTTGGAGTCTGTGTGATCTTTCCCTGCATGTCCAGAATGTTTCCAGCTGGACTGGCGGGCGTAGTGGCCAGTATTGGTGCCTTTAAATGACCAGAGACTGCCAGGTTGGCAGATTGTGGCGTCTGTGGAGGTTCCTCTACCGTTGAGGATTTTCTGGGGATAGCTGGTGGAGGCGCCACAACTTTTCGCTTGAGTTTTTCTTGGGTAGCCCCGCTGGCAGCATCTCCAATAGTGAATCTCTTCTGAAGCATGGTGTCGCTTCGTTCCTCCGCGAACTGGGGCAATCGCATGAAGAATAGCAGCACCATGTCCTTGAGCGACTGTTCTGCTGAGCGACGCAGCAGCTCACTCAATCGCGGCTCAAAGCAGATCTTGAAGCAGCTGAGCATCACCTCGCACATGGACTCATTGCTGACGGCAGCTCCCTCGGGACTCCGGATAAGAGTGTGGAGTACCTCAATAACACGCATGAAGGTGACACTATCCGAGGACTGATCGGTGCCCATGAAACGTGCATGTGTCACGGCATCGGCAATGCGTTCCACAATGTCAGCCAAATTGGGAGATGTTGGATCTGTGAATCGATATTAAATAAGAAATTGAGGAGAAAAAAGTAATAATTTATCTTACCTATCAGACCGTATGACAAGAATTTATTAACCGATGCTAGGGCCAGACTAGTCAGCGGTCCCGTGGTGTCCGCTGTGCGAATCACCTCCAGAAATGGAGCCAGAAACACTTGCGGCTCGATCAGGCGCAGGTCCTCGATGCGATTTAGTTCCTGCTTGAGGTCAATGAATAGCTTTAGCAACGAGTCCTTCTCATCGTCCTGTAAATGGTATAATTCATTAATTTATACTACCAGTGGGTATCAAAAACACTAGTTACCACGTAGGCGGTGGCATTCCATCTCGTTCCACGTCGCATGGCTGTCATCAGAGTGGCCATCTCGCCCCGCACCACATAGATGCCATTGCCTGGCAGCGCCATTGTGTACGGATCCTCCGTTACGGCTCTTCGGCAGCACCTAGTTGGCTTCCAGTGCTAGTGCAGAAAAATGCAATTTTTGTGGGGCAGGGCAACTCCTCCTCGCCGTCGACCTTTGCATATGTTTTGGCTCACGCTACTTTCCCACGCGCACTCTCAAGCAGCTTGGGATGAAACTGGGCACGTTCTCTAGTAACACATGTCTCACGAATATTACTTAAATGAACTTCTAAGCTGCTAATTTTTGGTGACGTTTACGTGTCGTTTATGTTCTTGTGTGCAGCCCGAATATTTTGCACGAACGTCTTCCAACACCAGCTGGGCAGTTGATTGTTTGGCAACACTGGCACAGGCGAACATGCCAACTCGATGCGAGAACTTTGAACGTTCAGCGATGGTAATTTATTAAAAAACAATGTAAAGAATTTTAATTTTATTTAAAGATTTGATAATATTTTTACCTTCCACTTATTGCACATTAGTTTGTTGTTATGGTTACAAGTCCCATAGAAATGTTAATTTAACATTTTTTTCTATTTTCCTCCATACAATGATGAAAGCTTGCACTCAAGTTTCAAAGTACATACAAATAAATTAAAAATAAAAGTAGTTGTGAATTTTTGGACTTGAATGTTTGACTTCCAAAAGAACGAGGAATTCACCACTCTAAAGTCGAAAATTGTTCAGATAATGGGGTTTATTCCTTTTTTAAAAATAGTATTATGTTTAAATAAATTAATATAATTTATTCTTTTTCTTTTTCGCAACTTTATTGTCTTTTTGAAATAAAAAATATTTTGTAATTTTAAGTAGAATACCGATGGTTGATTTAGAGATTTTGGGAAAAGTCATTTTACCATCTGGTAACACTAGGACTGGCGATTGGTTGGTAGTGCGTAGGCGAATTTCTAATTTTCCAATATTCTAAACGAAAGCATACTTAGTGCCAAGTGCTCTTGTTTCAGACTACTGCGGACACTTGCACTGAGGCGATTGAGCACGGGGCAGGTGGATTTAAGGGACTCAGCGACACCAAAGCAGGCCATAACCCTTACAATATGGGAAACACGGATTCTAAGTTAAACTTTCGCAAAGCGATTGTTCAGCTGACACAGAAGAATCAAAAGATCGACCCCAACGACGATCAGTTCTGGGAGCAGTTCTGGCAGGGCCACCAAACTACCCTGGAGGATGTGTTTGCGCTAGTAACCTCTAGCGAGATACGCCAGATCCGGAACGAGAATCCAGCAAACCTGGCTACTTTGTGCTACAAGGCAGTGGAAAAGCTGGCACAGGCGGTGGACAGTAGCTGTCGCACGCAGGCGGAACAGCAGTGCGTCATGAACTGCGTCCGCCTGCTCGTCCGGTGCCTGCCCTACATTTTTGAGGACGACAAGTGGCGTGACTTCTTTTGGAGCAGCTTGCCATCGCAGGAAAAGACTATGCCGCTGGCCCAATCACTGATTAATGCCACCTGTGATCTACTTTTTTGTCCGGACTTCACTGTCACGGCCACGCGTAAAACGGGTCCAGAAAAGGCTGAGGAGCTGGCGAACATCGATAGTTGCGAGTACATTTGGGAGGCTGGGGTTGGCTTTGCCCAATCGCCGCCCCATAACGCCCACATGGAGCGCAGGCGCACGGAGCTGTTGAAACTATTGCTCACCTGTTTCTCAGAGCCCATGTACAGATCACCGCAGCAGTCAGAGGAGCCCAACAAGTGGATATCCTACTTTACCTCCGCCGACAATCGTCATGCCCTTCCATTGTTCACCTCGTTCCTGAACACTGTGTGCTCTTACGATCCCGTGGGCTTCGGTGTGCCCTACAATCACCTGCTATTTGCGGACACTACGGAGCCCTTGGTAGAAGCGTGCCTTCAACTGCTTATTGTTACCTTAGATCACGATATGGTAGTGCAGCAACAACTCACCCAGCCCGGACAAGTATCCTACGACGAGGGAAACTCAGGCGACAATTTGTTCATTAACTACCTATCACGAGTACACCGGGATGAGGACTTTCACTTTGTACTCAAGGGCATCACTCGGCTGTTGAATAACCCCCTGGTCCAGAACTACTTGCCGAACTCCACGAAGCGTCTGCATTGTCACCAGGAGCTGCTCATTTTGTTTTGGAAAATATGCGACTATAACAAAAAGTTTCTGTACTTCGTCCTGAAGAGCTCTGATGTTCTGGATATTCTAATTCCAATACTATATCATCTAAACTACTCCCGAGCGGACCAATCTCGAGTGGGGCTTATGCATATTGGAGTATTTATACTTTTGCTGCTATCGGGTGAGTCATATTTTATTTGTGTTATAAAATAAAATTAAGTATATTCATTTTTATGTATAGGCGAGCGGAACTTTGGAGTTCGCCTAAACAAAGCTTACTCCGCCACCGTGCCGATGGATATACCAGTGTTTACTGGAACCCATGCAGATTTACTAATCACGGTGTTTCACAAAATAATTGCCACTGGACATCAGAGACTACAGCCGCTTTTTGATTGTCTGCTTACCATTTTGGTTAATGTTTCGCCATATCTAAAAACCCTGTCTATGGTGGCCAGTGTGAAGCTGTTGCATCTTCTGGAAGCCTTCAGTACACCATGGTTTCTGTTATCGGCTCCCAGTAATCATCATTTGGTGTTTTTCCTCTTGGAGATCTTCAACAACATAATACAGTATCAGTTCGATGGAAACTCGAATCTAGTCTACACCATTATACGAAAACGCCATGTGTTCCATGCCATGGCGAATCTCCCGACCGATATGGCTGGTATAGCAAAGTGCCTGAGTGGCCGCAAAACAGGTGGAAAGTTCAATTTGCCGCGAGTACCACAAAGGAGAACAACAACTGTTTCCCAGGAGCTGCCCTCGGCCCATGTTCCGGAAGAGTACAACGAAGATGATGAAGATGAGGACGAAGAAGACACGATAAATGAAGAGCCCAAGGCGGAAGAGGATCTCGAATCGGAGACGGAGTCTCATGAGCGATCTCAGGCAGGGGAGTTGCAGCCGGAAGTTTTAACGGCCCAGCCAGCCGAGCCGGGTACACTTAAAACTTCCCTGCTGGACACCCCGGGCATCAGCCAGATGACCGAGCGTGAGCCGGCACATCCAAATGACAAACCGCAGTCGGATGATTCCACGGAGATTGTACCCTATGACAGGTCAGCTGCATCGACCCCAACTGGTGATCAGAAATCCGTCTCGCCCACAGAGCTTTCCCGTTTGTCGGTGGCGCATAGAGGCAGCATTCGAATGGTCCCAGGCGAAGGGGATCGATGGGCACCAACGCCCGAGTGGATCGTCTCCTGGCGCTCAAAGCTACCACTGCAGACTATCATGCGACTGCTTCAGGTCCTTGTGCCCCAGGTGGAGAAGATCTGCATAGACAAGGGACTGACCGACGAGTCGGAGATTCTTAAGTTTCTGCAACATGGAACATTGGTGGGACTGCTGCCTGTACCGCATCCCATACTCATTCGAAAGTATCAGGCCAATGCAGGGACAACGGCCTGGTTTAGAACCTACATATGGGGAGTCATCTACCTGCGAAACGTGGAACCAGCTATCTGGTACGATACCGAGGTAAAGCTCTTTGAGATTCAGCGGGTGTAGGTCCGTATGTGGACTCTAAACCAGACACAAGCGAAACCGTAGCTCCCACGCTTTGGCATTTATTGTAGTTAATTTATTTATTGCATATTCCATTCCAAAAGTCTTTTGTGAAAATATCAATGTATAATGAATTCCCCTTACCATATGTCTGCTTATCGGTTCTCCATGTCTTTCGACTTTGTGTCGAGGCGAGCCACCCCAAAAAAGAGGCTTATCAGTTGTAACGATATAGCGTGAGTTCCTTTTAACTGTTTTGTTATCGGCTTTTAGCATTGATATTTAATTGCTCTTTCCTAATTTAGAAGTTTATACAACTCCAAAAAACATTGTAAGCACAAAGTGTTTGAATTTTAGTTGAAGACTAAATTATGGAACAGTTATTGTATTTACTTTTTTTAATCTGTGACACAAAATGTTCCTTGTGCCGTATTTTTAATGCATTGCTTTATTTATTTATTATTTTATTTTAATATTTTTACATGTTTACATCTTGTATGTTTCAAAACCAAATTCACTGCTATATTCGTATGCTTTTGCTTCTGATAACCAATAAACTTATAAATAAACAAATTTCTTTCCACACTCCCATGCTTCAAGCTGTTAACTTAGTCTAGAATTCCCCTAATTGACACCATAGAAAGCTTTATTTGCTCTTGTAATTAATATCAATTTTTAGTTGAGTCTTAGGATCTGCTTTTTAAAATAAATTCAACATAGATATTAATTATAGAAAGGAAAAAGTGTAATAATTTATGGTCTACGTGTGCTTAATATATATACATAAATACAAATACAAAAACAAACTAAAGGTAAATTTATCTTTAATTACGAAATAAACCAATGACATCTATACAAGTCAGTTCAGAAAGTCAATAAACAAAATAAACATGAACCCAAACTAAAAGAAAAGAAAACTTAATAGAAAAATTGCATTATTATGGTATTTTATTTGAGAAGATGGTGTAATTTTTACGAAAATTATAAACAGTAAAACAGTTATTATGAGCAATAATCGGGATTTTGTTCATGCTGGCTATGACTATGGTGGATCCTCCTTCTTTATTCTTAGCTCATTATTTGGTGTTTCTTTATGTTTGTTCCAGAGTTTCATAAAATGCTGGTGCCAGTAATAATATTTTAGAGAAAATAAAAGAAACAGTACTCCAGTGGTGACAATGGAAGTGGTATTGATTTCGACTGATTTTTTACGTTCCTTTCTTACCCTCTCAGAAAAGTGGCGGGATGAAATTTTAAGCACGCAATTCTGTGGGTTTCCCTTTGCCGTGCTATAATCATGGCGCATCCGAAGCAAAGGCGTTAGTTGTCAAGACTGGGCTGTGTTTGGATTAGCTGTGACGACAGGTTGCGCCGCTACAGGGATTATGCTGAACTTGATGAAGGTGCTCTTGCTGCGTTTTTGGACTATTCTGCCAATTAATTGCGGCTCCTTGATAGTCTGTTCGATCGCTTTTACTATTCGTTCTGTACTGCTCTCATCAGATCCACTGGGACTTCCTTGGATGAGGATGCGCACTTCGTGGCGCTTGGCTAGCCATTTAACAATGTTCTTGAGCCTCGAGGAGAGGTCATGATCCGTGATACGTGTACCTATAGTTAGGGACTTCTCCGACTTTTTGTCCTTGGTCTTTTCGCTAGTGAACTTCGATTGATCCGCTTCATCCGATAGAATTTCTGCATTAGTCACTAGCCTGCAATATATAGAAACTTAGTAATAATGTCTTACTTCTGAGGATAAGATACGCACTTAAACATGGGTCTTCCGGTATCTGTTTGCTCCAAGCGCAACAGGTGCAGCTCCCGCCTCTTTGCCAATTTCTGAGCCTCCTCTAAAGTGGTGATGCTATGAGACTCATTCTGCTGAATAAGGGTGATCTTCTGGGCGCCCGTCTTGGAACTCCTGGTATCTTTGTTTTTGGGTACTCCTGGGTTTCCAACCACCGGCTTTTGGTTCTGGGCCAAATTCCATTGGATTGACAAGGGGCGAAGTGGCTGCCGCTGTACTACTGCTGCTCCAGCATATTTTATTAAACATCTCAGGCATTGCATGTTTGTTTTTTATATATGGACATACGTATATTAACTTTTGCTTTTGTATATTGCGATTTTCTTTTGCTTGTGCAATTTTTTTTATCAAAGAGTTGCCAAGTAATGTGAAAAAGCGGAAGCTAAAAAAGTAAAAGACACGATGTTTGAAAAATTACACTTTAATTCAAATTTTAATTTTTTTTCGTTTTAATTAAGTTTTTTTTAAGACTTAGGTCTGGAGATTTTTGTTTTTTGAGCCCATCTTATTTGCACTAATTTACCCAGCTGTTGTGCCATGTTAACATCAGCTGATAAAAATTGTAATGCTATCGATAATCCCAACCTATTATACCACTATCGAATTTTGAAAATTTGGCGGTATGTGGTTTCAACGTTTCGAAAATAAATATTAGTTTTTTACTTTTAGAGCAGATTAAAAGATTTAAAAGAATTAAATAAGTAAATTTATTAATTTCACATAATTATTTTGACGATTTACTTATTACTTATCAATAAAATATGTTTAAAATCAAATTAACATTCTTTAATACTCTTATTTTCACTTATATGTGAGTTTTTAGCACTCATTTATGTTTGATTTTAATTGTATTTGTAAAAATACTAAATTTTCTATTTAAAGTACTTAAAATAATCATAAAAGAGTTACAATATATGACTCATAGTATTTTTAAGTACATTTTTATAAATTACACTAAGACAAAAATCAAACCAGTATAAAATTTTCATTGTTATTTATTCAATTGAAAAACTAGACAGATAAAAAGACTTTACCTTCCAGAGTACTTCATATGTTTTGTTATTTGACAACGTTATTGTTATTTAACTTAAATTACAAATATTTTTGTAATTTTTTTAATTAAGAAGTTTCGATTATTCAATAGTGTATTTTTGTAATATTTAGGTAGTGTAATAGGTAATATGTATATATAATCAATTTATTGCCGATTTTACCAAGACATTTTTTTCTGTGAGCTTCCATTTTTTGAGGGTGTATCAATTGCCTGAAAAAATAAAATGATGACTAAATGAGCGAGTACTAAGTCAGTCTAAGTCAGTTCCAAGACGCAAGTCAACATGAAATTACTGGTGAGTTACTTGTCTCGTAAGCAATATATTCAAAATTAATTTTTTGTATCCTTCAGTTAATCCTTTTTGCCTTGATTGTTGCCGTTTCGGCTTATCCCAAACTGCAATGCAGATGTTCTACAACGTACCAAGGCTTCATTGAATGCAGTGACAAATACGGTGTTGTACGCTATAAATACCCTATATGCGAAAAGTGCAACTGCCAGGAGTTGGAAAATATCCGATTTAAAAGAGAACAAATAATACAAAGATATAATTTGGTGTGGTGGGTTCCAACTTCAGTCCCCTTTCCCAGTCCAAAAAAAGGGTAAAAGACCAGGTAGACTTTATTAAAGTACGTTGACTATTATATTAAATATTATATTATAATATTAAAACTTAATTGTTTTAATCTTTTTTTTTTGGTTCTCAAAGTTTTAGCCCGTCACCAAAAACCACTAAGGACTATGGGAATCATATTAACCTCATGGAATACCAATATCCTAACCTACATTCGTCTAGATGAGACCCAATATTTTTCTACCAAAACGTAAAGAAAGGGTCGATTTAAAAGGGAAAGAATGAAAATGCAAGTCTAGGATAAAAATTAACTTTAATAAAATATTCTTAAGTAAGGAAATTTAAAGAAAATGTTGCAATAAATAATGTAAACTGATGATTAAAAAATTAAAAATTCATTATAATAATATGTAAAACGGTTTACAATATATGACTCATAGTTATACCCGTTACTCGTAGAGTAAAAGGGTATATTAGATTCGTTGAAAAGTATGTAACAGGTAGAAGAAAGCGTTTCCGACCCTATTTTCTTGATTAGTATCAATAGCGAAGTTGAATAAGCCATGTCCGTCTGAGAGTTGAGATTAATCAGGCAGATTCTTAAGGTCCCTACGCAGCGCAAGTTTATTAAAGTATCCTGCCACGCCCACTCTAACGCCCACAAGCCGTGGGGAACTGTGACGTAATATTATAGGGTAAGTCTTCGTTTGACCTTGAATAACATATTTTTCAATATCTATCAATTTGCCAAAGATTTTTTATATCGAAAAATTATTTCGCTATTTATGAAGAAATCTTGGTAATAAGGCGTTACAGTGACGTCATTGTTGGTTACTCAACATGCTTTCTCTGGCAATAGGTGGCACTCTGTGAATTTTCGCTAACAAAATAAATATTTTAAAATTGTGTAAAACAGTATAACGGGTATCCTATAGTCGCGACATTCGACTATAGGGTTTCTTCTTGTTTTTTAGTACAGTTTTATAAATTACACTTAGACAAAAATCAACCAGTATAATATTTTCATTGTTATTTACTGAATTGATTAATTAAGTTTAAATTTAAAAAACTTCATCTAAAAGAGTACTATTGATATTTTTACATTTGACAATGTTATTGTTTTTTAACTTAAATGAAAAATATTTGTGTAATTTTTTAATTAAGAAGTTATTATTTAGGTAGTTTACTGCTGATTGTAGTTACTTTTTAAGAATTTAATCATTTTATTGTCGATTTACCAAGACATTTTTTTCTGTGTTTTTTTTGTGGGTATATCAATGTCTGAAAAAATAAAATGATGACTAAATGAGCGAGTACTAAGTCAGTCTAAGTCAGTTCCAAGACGCAAGTCAACATGAAATTACTGGTGAGTTACTTGTCTCGTAAGCAATATATTCAAAATTAATTTTTTGTATCCTTCAGTTAATCCTTTTTGCCTTGATTGTTGCCGTTTCGGCTTATCCCAAACTGCAATGCAGATGCTCTACAACGTACCAAGGCTTCATTGAATGCAGTGACAAATACGGTGTTGTACGCTATAAATACCCTATATGCGAAAAGTGCAACTGCCAGGAGTTGGAAAATATCCGATCTAAAAGAGAACAAGTAATACAAAGAAGTAAGATTGTATGGAGTTCTCAACATCTTTCCTTTCCCAGTCCAAAAAAAGGGTAAAAGACCAGGTAGGCTTCATTAAAGTCCGTTGACTATTATATTATATATATTATAATAAATATTAAAATTTAATTGTTTTAAATTTTTTTCTTGGTTCTCGCAGTTTTGTCCCGTCACCATGCAGGACTATGGAATAATTATCTTAACCTACATCCGCCTAGATAAAACAAAATATGTTTCTATCAGGTCCTAAAAGATGTTCGACTAGGAAGGGAACGAGAAAATTATTTTTGTGTGTCTAGGATAAAAAGGAGCTTTAATAAAAGGATTCTTAAGAAAAAATATATAATATATATACTTAAATAATTTGCAAAATGGTATTTTTTTTAGTGACTCAACTTGGAATAATTTCTAAAAATATTTAGATAAGAGCATTGTTTTATTTAAATATATGTATGTGCAATGTGTGTACATAATCGTGTATATGATAGACAAATAGGGCGTGACTAAGGCTTAAGATACTGGCAGTTAAATCTGCAAATGATTTAGAATGAAAAATTAATTTCGTTGCCTATAATTGTTGTATTTACGCCTCCTGTTGGATGGACGCTTCTCTGCCTGCCAAATGTTTCGAAAATTCTGGCATTCCGCCGAGTTGGTGTGCATCTGCTGCAGTGCAGCCATTTCCGGCTGTCGGCACCTTTCGCACTCCTCCAAGCGTCTGAATTTGTTTATATTCCGATCGCACGGATCCGTGGCAAACAGCATGCACTCGTCAGCACAGAAATTATAGAACCAAAACTGGCCCGTAATCGTTTGATCCTGGCAACGTGGCTGAGCCGTCTGCACCATTTGAAAGCATTTGTTGGATAGTGTTGAGTCTACATCTCTACCTGGTCCATAGTTATTTGCCCCTTGCCATGGCTCTCTTAATGAATATTCTTGTGTATCCTGTAGATTCGAGTTGTATTTGTCGATGGGCCTTTCGCGTTGCCAGGGAGATCTTTCTACATCATCCAAACGCGGATAACTGGAACGTGTTTGTCCAGGCCAAATTGGTGGGTCTGTCCTGTCTGGTTGCTGGTACGTTCGTCCATAGTTTGACAGCCTAATAGACGGAGGATCTCTACTCAAGTTAGACTGAAGTTCAGGTCTCCTTTTCATGGCCCAGTTCCCTGTGTCGCCTTTGAGATTTCCCACCTCGAAACTCGAAATAGGTCCGTTTCGTGGATCATCATAGTCTCCAAAAGTCTCAGCCTCCGGTTCAAGGTGTGACCCATATGCATTATATCCAGGGCGTCCAGGTGAAGACTCACCATATGGACTATCCATATTATTGTAGGATCCTGGTAAATTACCAAGACATTCTCCGCCGGAGCATTTTCGAGTTTCCTGTAAATCCATGTAATGAACACTCTGGCATTCCGTTTCTGCCTGAGGATTAAGATACTGCCGCTGGCGCATTTCGTAACCATCGCCACATGTGACGCTGCAAGAGCTCCATCGCCCCCAGGAACTCAATTGGCACTCGGCGCGTCGCTGTTGGTTTGGTTGATAGCTATTTCTCCTGTTTTCCAGCTCCAGATCGTCAAATTCTTCTGGTTCCCGCATCAAAGTGTTTTGACCACACATCTCACCCTGGCACTCACGTTCCGCATATTGCGATACATTGCAGTTATAGACTTTGCCGAGCTCCGGTTGCTTGTAAACCCGTCGTCTATATTGCATGCCAACGCCACATTTGGAGGAGCAGTCGCTCCAGCTGGACCAAGGATGGGTGAGGCATTCTCGAGGCACATCCGGATCGTTGTTGGCTGGGAATAAGAGAACATTAATTAAGTTTTTCCTTTTTAAAACTCACTTACAATCCTCATCCGCACATCTTCTCTCATAAATTCTCTGGCGCTTCACTGTTAGTATGGCCAAGGGTTTCATGGGAGCTGCTGATTCATCGTAGAATGGTGAACGTGGATCATTGGGAAAATCTGAGCGTATTCGTCGTATAACATCGGGCGGAACCTGCGGTTGGTCGGCTGACTAACAGGAAGAATCAATATACTATTAAGAAATACTTTTATCCACTTACTGTATAGGTAGGACCCGCATCGGTTCCCATATCCCAAGGATAGAGATTGATAACCTTCTCCTCCATCCACGTACAATTGCGTAGGCACAGCTCCAGTCCAGTCACGCCCACAATCCAATCCGGAGAGGGTTCTATCTTGGAGGCAAAGGATAGCATGTGATGTATTGGATCTACCCGCACCGAGGCCATAGTCTTGCTGTTCATGTTGGGATAAGATGGTCCGCGTGCTTTAATAATGGTTCGAATTTTTTGATCCTGTGAAGTATATGAGATAACTTAGATAACTTTCCAGTATAACAGAATATAGATTCACCCTAAAATTTAGGCTAAACTCGCGCTCTAATAGCCGAGAGCTGCAGTGTTCGGCATATTGTTTCATAGCCAAACTAGCCAATGCTCCGGATTCCCAGAAACGATAATCTGAGCTGTGGGCGGCACCTACTAGCTCACAGAAACGAGTCTCCCATCCTCGAGCGGGGAAGTACCTAGGGTGCAGATTCCTGGACCAGACGCCTTCAAATATAAGCTAGAAGTACGAATATCCAGACAGTTAAAGGAATTTTCGAGCATCTCAAACTCGCTCACCTCATATCGCGCCTCATCGCAGGCGCAACAGGGAACCTCTACGGCAGGGCTCGTTGGCTGGCTTTCCACATCATCAGTGACCTCTTCGCAGATGCGTCGCGTTAGGCCACCATCATCCATGTGCCAAACCTCGCGATGCTGCTGAACCGTGGCACGAATCAAGATGCAACCGCTGCCGGGTTCACTGGGAGCTACCCAGGTCAGATGCATGTGCGTCTTAGGGTTAGTATTGGTATTCTCCACCATGTTAATGCAGTTGGGACTGAAGCGGGTCTCGATCAAATCGCTTAGCTCAAAGCGACCCAAGTCGTCTTTGTAGCTAAAGTCACCATTCTCATTTTCCAGGGCCATGATAAAGCTTATGTAGCGATGACCATTGAAGGCATTAAGAGAAACTAAAAAGAGAAGCAGATTGATTTCCAGAACAACAAAACATCCAAAGCCGGCTCCTTATCGTCGACATTGAATTTCAAAGAATTTTGCATAGGTTCCAGATAAGCCTTCAATTTGTTTACTAAACAATAAACATTGCGAAATCTAGTCGTGAGGCCTTGAAATAATCCAATTGATTGTAACGTCCAGGCAATGCTCGTAGCAATCTCCCACGAAGTTCAAGTGGAAGGCCAATGAACTTGTTCTCACCGTTGTATTCCTGGCCGAGAATGTACGTTTCCGGATTGCCCGACACGCTTATCACAAAGTTCTCATCTACCGGAGATTTGGGCGAGCCCGTATTTGCTGGGCGGCGCGTGCAGATCAGGCAGTTAACACTGCCGATCAACAGAGACGCCAGTAAAAGAAGCTCCATGAGAGGAGCAGCACTTGACCGCCACATGTTTTTCGTATAGAACCATTCGACGCGAGTGACTGTGGCAAACTGAGCTGAGATTTCGAAGAAATGGCTTGCCAAAAGCCGCGGAGAGAGACTTGAAAGCTGAGTAAACCCTCTGATAAGCTCGGAGCGTCTTATTTTTCTGACCCACTGATACAAATAGAGTGTGTCGGGTTCCTTATCAGCCGACGATGCCGGAAAGCCGGAAAAAAGCAATTTAAACTCTTAAAAACTTGTAAGGGAGAATCCATGTCAAAAAGTTCTCTTTGGAAGTCATTTAAAACTTTCTTAACTATATCTCAAGAAGTGATTTTTAAAATTTAATTTTAATTTTAACATTACATATTTTTAACATAGCTTATATTCCTTTAACCACCGTAACGTCCACGTCTTGAAGTATCGTATCTGCTTTTTGTCTGAGACATGGGATCTCCAATATCACCGGCAGCTTCGACGTACTGAGAACCATAAGCTCCTCCATCTGCTGGCTCATAGGATCCACCTGTCGTTGGTAAGTTGGACCTGCCCCTTGCTAAGTCATAGGATCTATCTTCTGTTTGTTCATAAGATCTACCACCCGCTTGATCAAACGATCTGCCTCCAGTTTGACCATAGTTCCTTCCTCCCATTTGATCATAGGATCTACCTCCAATCCGATCATAGGGTCTACCAACTTGCATATCATTGTATCTACCGCCTGTTTGGGTTTGGTTATAGAATCCACCGCCATAAAGATCCATAGCATCGTTTTCGGTTCGCTCCATGTTCATTTGTGGCTGGAGACAGGTGCCCTCACAGGCCATCAGGGTACGGAAGCGGTTCCTATTCTCATCACAGTTATCCGTAGTGAAGATCTTGCACTCGTGATCCTCATGGTCGTAGAACCAGTAATTGCTTACCACCACCGGATTGGCCACACAGGGTCGTGTGGATGCATAGGGTTTCTCGAAGCAATAGTCTTGAACTACATTATATCCATTGCCATTATTATCGTTAGATATGTTCTCCACATCCTGTTGCTGACTGGGATACCGACTTCCATAGGGAGAGCGTGTGGTGAATCCAGGTCTAAAGTTCGATGTCCTATAATCATTGTTGGTATCCCTATTGCCATAGCCCTGATTGAAGTCACTATAGCCAGGTCTATTGCCAACAAGTTTATCATTGCTGTAGCTATTTGCAGGAGGAAAGCCCTTGTTGTACCTATCCAAGTTGTCAGATGGATTGAAAACGGGACGTTGGTGATTTTCTATCTGACCAAAGGGTGAAATCGGTGACTCCTGCGTATTGTCTCTTGGATTGTAAGATGGCCTATCATTTCCGGAACTAGGACCCGCTCTATTCCACGCTTGGTTTCTTGAACCCTGGTTGTTACTCTCCTGTCTGTCTCTCCATGATGTGGTTTTACTATTATAGCCATCCTGATCTGATCCAAACGAATCTGGTTCCGGAAAAGCATCGAGTTCACCATTATCCGGAATGGTCCCACCACAATCCGATCCCATGCACTGTCGAGTCTCTTCCAGCGGTAGCCGCATCACGGACAAACAACGTTGTCTAGCCTGCGCATTGTAGTAGTCTCGCGTCCGAGTTGAAGATCCTCTGCCGCATGTCTGCGAGCATGGTGACCATTCGCCCCAGTTACTTAGCTGACATTCGGCCATAGATCCAGCACCTGGTGGATTCTCCATGCCCAAGCCAGGATCTTCGCCTTCTAATTCCTCCTCCGCTGCTCCACATTGAGTTCCCTGGCATTGGCGAATCTCCTCCAAGCTTCGTTCACAGTTAAAGTTTGCCGCCAGACTGGGATTCTTATAGCTACGCTGACGTTGGGAGTAACCCTGGCCACATCGTGTGCTGCAGTTCGTCCATTCGTTCCATGGATGTACAGCGCACTCTAGAGGTCCTTCCTGGGGAACTATTTTCAAAGATAAGTAAATTCACTGCCTACATTATAAGTAGTTAGCCACCTTCCTCGCACTCCCGGATGTACAGCTTCTTCCGGGTAACATAGAGTGTGGCCAAAGGTTTCATTGAGGCGCCGGTATCATCGTAAAATGGAGAACGATAGTCGCTGGGATACGATGACGTTATACGGCGCACCACATCAGGTGGCACCTGTGGCTGATCTGACGACTTCAATGGGAATATATAAAATCCAAATTAATAGCTATATTACCTACCATGTAGGAAGGACCCGAATCGGTGCCAATGTCCCAAGGATAGAGATTCAACACTTTTCGCTCCAGCCAAGTGCAATTGCTCAGACAAAGCTCCAGTCCGGCAACTCCCAGTATCCAATCGGGCGAAGGATCTATCTTGGCTGCCAGTGAGATCTGATGATGTACAGGATCCACTCGAGCATTGGCCAGCGTTCTTCCAAAGGCATTCAATCGATGGGCAATGCCAGGTGCTTTGATTATAGTCCGGACATCTCCATTCTGATGCAAAAATCGTGATGAAATGTAGTTCGATTTAAGAAATGAGTTTACTGACTTGAGTATTTTGCCTGATCTCATTCTCTAGGGTGCGGGTTGCTCCATGCTCGGCCATCTCCTTCATCCCCTGGCTAGCTCTTCCACCATAGGCCCAATACCGATAGCTATGGCTGTGGGAAGCACCAATCACCTCACCCAAACGAGTTCGCCAAGCCTCGGCTGGAAAGTCTTTCGCATGCGTGTTCTTGGCCCACTTGCGCTCCAAAACGATCTTGGCGAGAAATGAATTCTATCATCTAAGATTTTTTAAGATCTTCTCACCTCATATTTGGCTTCATCACAGGCGCAGCAAGTCTCCAAAGGTGGCGTCAAAATATTTAGTTCGTCAATCTCCTCGGGACAAATTCGCTTGGTCAAAAAACCATCATCCAGGAACCATACATCACGATGTTGGACAACGCCAGCCTTAATCAGCACGCAACCGCTGTCCGGATGACTTGGCGCTATCCAGGATACTTCAATGTGGATCTTGGCATTTGTATTGGTACTCTCCACCATGTTCTCACAGCCGGTACTAAAGCGGGTGTCCGTCGTGCCCAGTAGTTCAAAGTGACCGGTCATATCCTGACCATTTAAGGCGGCCGACTGATCTTCCGCCTCCACAACCAAAGTAAAGCTCACAAACTTTAAGCTTATTGGACAGGATAACGAAACTGAAGGATATATATTACAGGGTTACATCTTTTGGAATCTCTGAATCCCTCACCATTATACTGATGTTCTGGTACATAAGTGGCTGGGTTGCCATCGATCAGGATTTTAAAATTATCATCGACAGCAGATCGTTCGCCGGTGGCTCCTTGGGGAACTCGATTGCAGGCTCCTTTCACCTCAGAAGCCACCATAATAAGGAGCAAGAAAAGACGGAACATTTCTTCTCAATCTAACCGATCCGTATAGGTCCGTAGCTCAACAACGACTGACCGAATTCGATGAGTCGCCATCTCCATTAATCAATGAGCTTTTCAATTTATCAATTATCCCCTTAAACGGCGCCGTCGCGTTGACAGCTTGTTCCATCTTGATTGACTTGCCGTCAATTAGGAATGGTTTGCTTCTTGGCACGCTCTTCAATTAATGCTCTGAGCCCCGGGTTCTTTGAACTTGAAACCTCCCAACGAAACTCATTTGGAAACTGTTCCCAGTTCTTCAACAGAACTGGGTCAAGGACAAACTGATGTGAGTTGAAATTACAACGCAAGTTTAGTTCTATTTTTATGTATAGTTCATGAAAACCAAGAAAAGTCTAAGGCCATATAATCTGGAATGTTTCGTACATATTTAATGATACCCTCAATAATGATTACATAATTAGTAATGCAACTAACTCTTTTAGCTGGTAAGATAATCTACCACCGCTCTGGATCATCGTTGCTAGTCAGAAGGCACGGCATCATCACACACTTCTCCATCCGGACACGATCCTTGCACTTGAAGCTCAGATCGGTATTCAGTAGAGTTCGTGTTCGTTGGCGAACGGCATTATCGCCACAGCTGGCCGTACAGGGTGTCCAGGCGGACCACTCTGAGTAGCGGCATTCATCACGGAGCTCCGGTTGTGGAGCCTTAACCACATGTCTACGCTCTCCAAATCCCCGACTACTGATTGAGTACATGTCATCACACCGTTGGTAGCACCGATCCAAACGCACCAAGTGCTTGGGACATGGTTTTCCTCCATATTTGGGAGTTCTTACCACGCGACGTGTACGCAATTGGAAGCCATCGCCGCAGGAGGCATTGCAACTGTGGGATACCCAGTCGGAGACCATACAATCAATAGCTGGAGTGCCATCGTGCTGGAGTTCTTGTTTGTGGCGCGGCAGGCGACAAGTCTCTTCGCACTCCTCCTTTGACTTGAACTTATTCCGATTTTCATCGCAGCGATCAGACCAATAGATGGCACACTGGTCACTCACATGGTCGTAGTACCAGAAGTTGGCCACATCGCTATCCCGACATGGACTATCGGTCAGCTGATCGTAGCAGAAACCTGGAACAATGGTGTCGCAACTTGGATTCGTGCAGTTCACCTCCTCGTGAAGCTTAATGTGCCGACAGGGATCCTGGCCATCATAATTGGGATCAGTTACTCCATACACCTCATTGTTATTCCAAACCTTGCGGATGCGTTGTCGTTTGCCATGACCACCGCAAGGTCCCATGCAGGGCGAGAAATCCGACCATGGTGTAACCCCACATACCGGTGGTATGTAGTCCTCCCGATGTTGACTGTAACTTTCAAAGTTCCGGAAAATCGAACGTTTCTCGGCGGATCCACCCTCACCGCCACCACCCTGCTCCTCCTCCGGCTCACCAGCACCATCACCATTCTCGATGTCCCCACCACATTCCATTGCCTCGCAGATCTTGGTCTCATGTAAACGTGCCTTACTTGCCTTCTGACACTTCTTCTTGGCTTTCTTGTTTAGATAGTGACGGGAACGCGTCATCTCTCCGGTGCCACAGGTCACTGTGCAGGAGGACCACTCGGACCAGTCAGACAGTCCACATTGCGGATCATCACTGCTACCAGGAGGGGGTCCCGCTTCTGGCTCAACACCTTCGGCTGTCTCCTCGTTAAATCCTGCGCACTTGTGTCCCACACAGTTCTTCTCCTCACGCAGAGCATTGTTGCAACGATGACGCTGAAGGGTGATAAAGAGGAGAGTATCCTTGTTGGAATTCTACCTTTTCCATGCCCCATTTCTTACCGAAGCCAGTGCTGGATTCTTGAACTCACGGATTCTGTACTGTTTGCCGGGTCCGCACTTGGTTGTACACTCATCCCATCTGGACCAAGAGTGTGTGGCACATTCCGCTGGCAGCTGTTCCGCTACAGGATTAATGCAGTATGATCAATGCACTATTTTAAGTATGAGCTAAGATACTTACAATCAGAGGACTCGCAGTTCTTCTCGTAGAGACGTCGTCGATTGATGTGCAAGGTGGCCAAAGGTTTCATCTGAGCGCCAGTGGGATCGTAGAAGGGCGAACGTGGATCGTTGGGGAAATTTGACTTGATGCGACGCACTACATCGGGTGGCACCTGTGGCTGGTCAGCAGACTAAAAAAAATTAAAAAGTAACTATCGAGTATATTAATTTATAAAATCGATTTACCATATAAGATGGACCACTGTCCGTGCCTGCATCCCAGGGATACAGATTGTGCACCTTGTTCTCCACCCAAGAACAGTTGGGCAGGCAAAGCTCCAGACCGGAAACCCCAACGATCCAATCTGGCGAGGGATCCACCATTGAGACCAAGGAGATCAGATGGTGATTGGAGTCCACACGGAAGACGGCGAATGTCTTGCCCGTTACATTCGGATAGGCGATTCCTCTGGCCTTGATGATAGTACGTATGTGCTCGCTCTGATCCTTCAGCTCACTCTCTAAGGTTCGTGTGGAACCATGCTCCGCCACCTCACGCAGACCCTCACTGGCCAACTCCCCATATTGCCAGAATCTATAGTCTAAGGTGTGGGATGCTCCAATTATATCGCTGAATCTGGTGCGCCAGCTATTTGCTGGGAAATCCTTTGGATGAGTATGACGTGACCACTTGCCCTCGAAGGTAAGCTGGAAAAGTAAAGTTCAGATCTATGCCCATTTCAAAACTCACCAAAACTCACCTCATATTTGGCCTCGTCACAGGCACAGCACGGATCCACAATGCTGGGCTGGGTGTCAATATCATCCACCTCCTCCTCGCACATCCGTTTGGTTAGGAAGCCATCGTCCATGAACCAAACATCGCGATGTTGCATCACTGTAGCTCGCAGCAGGATGCATCCTTGTCCTGGACTGGATGGAGCCACCCAGACCACATCAACGCGGCTCTTTACATTTGTATTGGTGTTCTCCACCAAATTTGCGCAACGTGGACTAAAACGGGTCTCGGCCAGATCTGCAATCTCCCAAGTGCCCAAGGCATTGGGATCGGCATCGCTATCTCCCGTCTCCGAGTCCAGGGCAAGCATAAAGCTTATAAAAGTTAAGCCCGAATATGCACTGAGGCTTACTAGAATGGAGTTGGAAACCAGAATCTCGGCGTTTCTATCAATTTAAAGTGATTTACTCACCATTATACCTTTGACCGGGCACATAACTCTGGGTATTTCCGTTTACGGATAGCACATAGTTATCATCCACCGGTGACTTGGCTGCCGTGGCTCCCAGTGGAGCCCTATTGCAGCCCTCGATCCGGGGCAAAACTCTCGCTAAAGCCAGCACCCATATGAAAAATTTCAGGGCTTTCATTGCAAAGCTGCAATGAACAAATTGAGTCGGAAAACAGTTTTAGATTGGTTTAATTCTGGCACGTGGTTGGGGACAGGCTATTTCTGGTCCTCATATGCAAAGCACTTAATTGCCTTAATTATCCGCATTTGAATCGAATGTCAATGGCAGTCCGTTCTGAATTGAACTTGAATTCGTAGAAATAGCCTTCAATTAGTTGGCTTTATTTGATGTCATAAAAAGTGCATTTGTTTCGCATATTTTCCAGCAGACACTTTCCATTTCCTTTGAGATCCGAACTATATATCAGCGCAATTGCCATGCGGAACTTGAACTAGGCGGCTTGGTTGTTTACCCCTTGAAAATCGGATCGCATTGCGTATATATACTAGTATACACTATATAGACCGTCTACGTCACTGATTAAATTCAATTGAAAAACGCGCCGACTGTCTAAAGCGAAATAGCAGCCCGTAGAGGGTGACAAAAAACCATTCCCATGGATTTAATCATAAAACGCACTTTAAGGGCTTCTCTTCAGTACTGCCCTTATACTGTAAAATCCATTTTCACTTTCAAACTCATTAGATTACTGCAGTTAAACTAGTTATTTGTACTAATTACTGTAGTTTTAAGTTATTTCATATAGTTTTTGGGCACTTAAACTGCTTAGTATTGATGGATCTTATGTGAAAGAATGTGTGAATATATTTCCAGAGGGAAATTATAAACTGAGAACTTACTCGGAAGGCGGACGAACCGAAACTGAATGCAAATTTCCACCGAGTCGATTATTGGACAGACGATGTGCATCATTCGGGACCGACGAATGGACTATGGAGAACCCCAGAGAGAGAGAGCATCCGACGCTCTACTTTTCTCCCCCCATTTAGCTTATCATCCGTTTCATCCAAAGATTCGCATTTGTTGATGATACTTTTTGTTTTTATACGTCTATTCTAAACAAAGTTCACTGGAAAACGCCGGCTAGATTGGAAGTGTGTTAATCGGGTTGAAATTCTCTAAATAGTAGGCTATGCCTTACAATTTAGTAAGCCTTCAAAATCTGTTACGTTCATTTAGTCAGTAAGCATTTTTGTACCATATACTTCAGACCTCGATCAGCTTGAATTGTTTTTGACGAAATTTTTTATAAATATATATTTTTGTTCATTGTCTTAGATAAGTTCTAGTATAAAAGGATACCAACATGTCCACTCCATACCGTGGTAAGTGTAGAAATTTAATCAGTATAAGTGACTCCTGATCTTACGATCTCCCTGCTAGTTAATAAAGCTTCAAGGCTAAGGGGAGAAGCAAAAAATGCAAAGCCCATCCAAAACACTTCTAATTGGGTGAGTTAGAACAACATTAGCTTCTTGATTAGCATCTTATATATATCAATCATCAGACTCCCGCCACTAAATCCGGTGGAATCTTTGACCCTCCGCCCATCATTGATGCTAGCTGCCGCAGCCGCAGCCGAATGGCAGCCAGTCGTATTCCGATATACCGCCTTTCTACAAACCGTAGTGCAGTATCTCTAGCATCTCCAACTCGTAAAACTTCCCCCGTGCGCTCTACTTCTTTAAATAGACCCCCCAGTGCTAGTTCGTGTTCGTTGCCCAATCCACAGGCATCCGAGCAGGATCCGAAAACTGAAATAGATAAGGTTTCGTCGAAGCAAAATGTTGCCATAAAAGGAATAAAAACCGTGGCTGGTAAGCCTTTGGCACAAACATCAGGCAAGTTATCCCTATTGTTTTTGTATTCTGAGAAATCTTTACATGGATGTCTCCTTGCTAGGAGGTGCACGTAAGGCAGAGAGATCGCACCAGCAGGTTCTTGAACAGAACCAGATTAAGGCTTTCGAGGCATTAAAAAATAAACTGGAGTGCATGCAGTCCGAGTTTATGCATAAGCTGCGATCTGTCGGTCCCCAATATCACAAGAAAACTGTCTATAAGTTTGTGGCTGTGGTTGTAAACGATGAATGCAAAGTCTTGGTCCATACCGATGATATGCTCCGATTACCCAAGAATTTTCGTAAGTTAAGATTTATATTTCTTTTTATTTGGATATATTTCTGAGATTTATTTTGCTTAGCCCTTGAGAGTATTAATGACCTGAAAAATCGTTGCCGTAACATTGTGGATTTGGGATTTATGCTGTTCTACGAATACCTGCCGTTTATTCAGAAGGCCAAGAATGAATTTGAGCTTCGTGACAAGCAAGAGGAGATTCGAAATAAGTTATCAGCTTTAGTGGTACGCTTTTTATCATCCATTTTGATCAGGATAGTGAGTTCAACTCTTTCTATTTATTATAGAACAAAAAGATGAACTCCGTTGTCGAGGAGATTGACCAGTTGTGTGGTCCCAGCGGCAGTAGAATTGAGGCAGCCAATAACACCCTATATCGGGAGATGGCTGATCTGCGATTGCAGAAGCAGCAAGTGGAAGGACGATACTTTGAAGTCAAGAAAGAGCACGTGGAACAGATGAATCGATTGAGGGCCGAGTACGAGCTAAAACTATCTTCAGAGCTGGAAAAACGGGATCAGACCATCAGTGAGCTGAGGAAGAACCTTCAACGCAGCGAAGAGCTGGTCAATGAGCATACCATTCGCCTGGCCGAAAAGAATGCCACTCTGATAAACGAGGATGGTACCATCGATGAATTGCGAAACGAAGTAACGAAGCTTAAGTCTGCGTAAGTTCATCAGGTTACCTCAGTTACCTGCAGATATATATTTTTATATCATAAATAGCAACAAACGAATGATGAAGCAACTGGAAGAGGCAGATGTTGGTCTGGAGAAGGCTCGCAGTTCCGTCGATAAGCATGTGAAACAGGTCACTTACTTGGATGGAGAATTGAAGGAGGCCCGCGAGTTCATCGTTAATCTGCAGAAGCGTCCCGATGTTATGGACAAGGGCATAAAGGAAAAGGACCTAATCATTGCCGATCTCAAGCTGCAACTGCAGAATATTGAGCAGCACAAAGATGTTCTCAACAAACAGGTGGCCAATGCCTTAAAGCAGCATGCTGACTTCGAAGATATCAATGGAAAGTATAAGAGTGCTGTAATGCAGATAAGGTATTGGATGGTATAGCCTTTTTTATTTAAAAATTTCTTAAGAAATGTTTATTTTCTTTGAAAAAACAGAGAGTTAAAGGATGCTCTTAAGATCTCAGCCACCAAATCGGAGAAACATTTCAAGGCCGAGGAGCAGTTGCGCCAGGAGATAGCCAAGATGAGGGAGCAGATGGATCTCGATAAGCAGATGCTGACCGCTCGCAGCGAATTGATCAAAAGTCTACAGAAGAACGAACAGGAGAACAGAGCTAAGCTAGACCAAATGTACTATCAAATTAACGCGAAAGAAACGCAAATTAATCAGGTCCGCCGAAAGGACATTTGACAAACCCCGCTTATGCTTATCCATTATCTCGTTGCAGGTAAACAATGAGCTGGCCTCGAAGAATGAGGAGTTTGCCAATCTCTTCGGGACTCTGACATTCAAACAGACCGAACTTAGAAGGCAGGAGCATGTCATCCAGTTACTGAAGGAGCAAAACTCACGGGTTTCATTGTTGCGAGCCGATCAGGACGAGCGTAATGCCGCTATGCAAGATGAGATAAAGACTCTCAAGAATACCCTGTAAGTTTATTTACATATCGAAATGTTTAAATAAAAGTTCGTGAGCTTGCTATTACTTTCAACATTAAATTCCCCGGCAGATATTCAGTTTTGTTAGGGCAATATCCCGCGGAGGGTAATGAGGTTGCTAGCATAAATTGAAGTTCTCGTTTCCACTGGCCCGATTTCCAAACTTTGTGAGTAAGTAATGGCAAATGCAGCGAACTTTTAATCTAGTTAATAAATAATTAATATTCTGTACAAATTTTAGTCATGAATATGCCAGAGTTATTATTGGCAATCATGGTCAACATTTTTTTGAAGTTGTGCCATCCGGCGAAGTGGAGGGCAACAGGAGGAGCAGTCGTAGCCAGCATCGTGAAGATATTCCCATGTGCAATAACATGACCTGCGACCTACATAGACATGGGCAGGAGTCTAGTTTGCAAGTCCAGGAAATGACTCAACAACATGGTAGATTCTTTGAGGCACTGCAGCAGCAACTGTTGCGCCATCAACAACGACAGCTTTTACCCAGGCTTTCAACACGCTCCCGTTGTCAACTGCAACATCCCCGTAACCGTTATCAAACTTCTAGTCACAGTAATCAGAATCTTCAGCCTTCTTCTCAGTCTCCCCATCAATTGACCCGAAAGCAGCAATCTCGAGACCAGCTCTAAAAAGTAACAATCAGAACAATCAAAAACGAAAAAAAATCAAGCTTGCAAAATTTTAATGATAGACAAAGTAAAATTAACTGTGATTATTTGCCAATGGCATTACTTTTTTGTACCACCATCAGTATTAAATAATTGTAATAGCTGGTTAAATCTCGTTTAGAATGGCGGCTTGATGAATCGCTAAGCTTCGATTGGTTTAGGAATCTCAATCTGGAGCAGTTAATTGAAATGATTTGGATTTTTAGGGCAGGGTCGGAGTATACTTGCAGAGCTCTTAGCTATATCTAATGTTTTGCGGTTTTAGTTGTATTTTTGGATTAATCACAATGGTTTTTGGCATATATTTTAAATACTGGGTCTCCAGGCAATATAGCTCATAATAGCATACAATATTATGAGAGCAAGCGCTGCTCATCTCGGCATTTGTCAAACGCTGCTGATGTCGCTGCTGCGTGGATTCCATAGGTTTCCTAGCAGATAATCTGTTATATGCCAGTTAGTCGCATCCAGCAGCTTGTTAAGAACAGTTGACAGTTCACTCTTTGAGAAGTCCAGCTAGATACTAGTGTATGTTGAAAAAGTGCTCATAATTTTTAATGAATGTGTGGTGCTGGTTGCAGATCAAATAGTTCGTTTTTTGTTAGAGATAAAAAAGAAAAGAAATTGGTACCCACAAAACTTTGGGTTTATAGCTTGATCCCAGAATACTGTGATAAGACAAGTGAAACACCCAAATCTTCTCCAGAGCTTAAGTCAACAGAATTCGTCTAGCTGTTAGATTTTCATTGAGTTTGACGAACTTTTGTGTACATTTGGTTGCTAACACTTCTCAGTAGACCAGCATGCGTCCAGATAAGAGATTCTTTTGACAATTCTTCAGATTCCAACAATTTTGGGACATACCTTGGTTGAAAAACTTCAGAAAATGGTAAACATTTCAATTCCTATGATTAATGATCACATTGAACTCTGAGTGATTGCAAATTTTTGCCTATCAGCCAAATCCAGCAAGACCCATAAATTATTTCTGGAGATAAGTGCAATTTATTCTCAAAAGCAGATTTGTGATCTGAATGTAGGAATGAATTTATAACCAGCTTGAAATAATATATATATAAACAAATTTTAATATTAAAAATTAGAATAGAAAGAGCTAGGGGGGGGCCTGGCTTTGTCACGATGACTAGATATGCAAATTTCTGACGGTATCGGTCAACATTAACGGGGATTAAGTTCGAGTTTCTATTTTTAAGCGTTTGCCATAAAGTTTAGAGTAAACAAATTCATAAACTAACGAATTAACGAAAATCATTTGACGTCGATGACTGACACCTGTTTAAAATTTTAAGCCGATTAGTTTTTGGCGAAATCTGAATAATTTGCTCACGTGATATTGACTTGATTGGCCCATAAGGGAACTATGCTAATTCTATATAACCTTGAACTTGAAACATAAAAAAAGCTATCTATAAAAAGCTATTGTCTTTTGGGTATTTAGGTTGTTATGTAACTGCTAAACTGAATTCACCTGAGCTTTTGTGTTGTCTTCCGCTTGCATTTCATTTATTGTCTTGTATCCTAAAATAGCTTTAATCAACAAATATGGATGATGCTGCAGAATATACAAAACTGGGAAGAGGCATGGAGGAACCTCAAGGATCAAGGTCAGAACAGCCAGGATCGAGTACTGTTGTCTACACAACGGAAGGCGATGAAGTAAGAACTCTAAAAACTATTTCAATATAAAAATCATTTAATACTTCCTATAACCAAAAGCTAACCATAAATTGTGAGGTGGAGTCGCAGTCGTCTGGCCAGCGAGATCAGTGGAGCAAAGGAGTGGAGTTCCTTTTTTCCTGCATTGCTTTATCTGTGGGTTTGGGAAATGTCTGGCGTTTTCCTTTCATTGCTCTGGAAAATGGTGGCGGTGCTTTTCTGATACCCTATGTGATAGTACTTCTGCTGATTGGCAGACCTGTTTACTATCTGGAGGTGATCATTGGACAGTTTTCCAGTCGTGGATGCATCAAGGCTTTTGACATGGTGCCGATCATGAAGGGTTAGTAACTTGTTATTGATTTTAGAAATAATTATAATGAAAAATTTAATTTCAGGCGTTGCTTATGGTCAGGTGTATTCCACTGCTTTGGCTACCACCTATTACGCCTGCATTATGGCTTTGACCATCAGGTATTTGGTGGCCAGCTTTAGTGAGGTCCTACCTTGGACCTATTGTTTGGTAGAGTGGGGCAGCGGTTGTGTGGCCACAGGAGCCACAGCCGCCAATGACACATCCATTGTCCAGGGTATCTCCTCGGCAGAGCTATTCTTTACGTGAGTTTAAAAGAAATGAGTTCGAAACATAAATTTTAACTAATTTCTCTTACAATATAGACAAACAGTTCTAAGGGAACCAGAAACCTTAGATGACACTGGCCTAGGGACTCCCAGCTGGGATCTGGTGTTGTGCCTCTTCGCCACTTGGGTGATCATAGGCACTGTTTTGTCCAAGGGCATTCGTAGTTCCGGCAAAGCTTCCTATTTTCTGGCTCTGTTTCCCTATGTGATTATGATCATCCTGTTGATCAGGGCTGTTACTTTGCCAGGAGCTTGGCAGGGAATTGTCTACTTTTTGAAACCCCAATGGTCCCAGCTGCTGAATCCACATGTGTGGTATGCAGCCATAACCCAGATGTTCTTCTCCTTGGCCATTTGCTTTGGCACCCTCATCATGTACGCCTCCTTTAATGATTTCAACAAAAATGTGCACAAGTAAGTTAGTTTGTCGAATGCACTTTCCATTCCTTAGTAATCTAATCTAATCCCTTCCAGAGATGTGATCATAATCACCACCATAGATTCCCTAACATCCATTCTGGCTGGTTGCATCATCTTTGGCATCTTAGGTAACCTAGCTCATGAGACCAACACCACGGATATCTCGCAGGTGGTGAAAGGAGGAGCTGGTCTGGCTTTTATTTCATATCCCGAAGCCATTGCCAAGTTCAAGTATCTTCCCCAGCTATTTGCCGTGCTGTTCTTCTTCATGCTCCTGATTTTGGGTATTGGATCGAATATAGGAATGGCCACTGCTGTCGTTAATGTGGTTAAGGATCGATTTAACCATTTACCGCACTGGCTGCTGGCTGTGGGTGCATCGATAATTGGTTTTCTATGTGGCCTGGTGTACATGACTCCCGGTGGACAGTTCGTACTGAATCTCGTTGACTTTTATGGCTGCACTTTTATAGCCCTCGTCTTAGCCATTGCGGAGCTATTGGCCGTGAGTTGGGTTTATGGCGTCAAGCGCATCTGCAGCGACATAGAATTTATGTTGAATATAAAAACCAGTTTCTACTGGCGCATTTGCTGGGCCATTGTGGCACCTGGCTTGATGTTCCTGGTCCTGGTGTACATGCTTCTCAGCTACGAACCTCTGACATATCGAGGAGTGCAATATCCTCCAGAATATTATATGGCTGGTTGGATTATCTGGGGACTGGGTGTTCTCCAGTTGCCCTTCTGGGCTTTGGTTACGATTTTCCAGCAACCCGGAAAGACCTTTGGCAGTGTAAGTATATAGAATATATATCCTTTTGGAAACTATAAATAATAAATGACATCTTTTACCACACAGAAACTGAGAATGGCCATGCAACCCACTCCCAATTGGGGTCCATTGCAAACCCAAAAGTACGAGGCCTACATTCTACATCGGAAACGTGAGGTGGATTTCAAGAGCCAACGAGGCGGATACTTGTTTGACAATATCTTTGGCTAAAGAGTCGCTTTTATGTTTATTTTAATTTTACGCTTTATTATTAATTCTAAAACACGCCAAACGTTTGTTTGCTCCAAGCTTGCAGCTTAAGATGTGACAAAAATTTCGAACATTTGGTAATTAATATTTCCTTAGGCTTTAGGCTTTGCATAAGCATTGAAAGTTTTCTTCGTTTTAAGGTTATCTAAATAATTGGATTAATTTTGGAAAAAAATGTAAGCCAGAGATCGGTGCATCTTCAATGGCAGCTAAATTATATATTGTCTATGACTGGGTGAAATTAAGTTCTATGGCTGGGATTATCCATATATCGTATATATTATATATTGGATTTGTTTATGTGGCTTTGCTCTGCTTTTAGTTTATTTATCACAGCACTTTTTGATTCTGTTGTTATTGTGCAAAATTATATATTTTCTGAAAGACAAGCTAGTGGTGCCTGGCATGCGTAGTTGTGTGTGTTTCTCGGAGCAAGTGCCTTGAAAGTTCATCAAACTATTTACAATTGTTATAAATTTATGGCTATTATGTAAGATATATTTCCTAAGGTGTATGTGGCAAGCTATAGCCAAGCATTATTTAGTCAATTTTTTTGATTGAAAATCTTATTTGGCTTACTCATTAGCTTAGGTATGTAAAAAAATGTAAGTTTTAAACAATTGTTTGATTCAAATTAAGATTAGTTTTTTGCTTGTGTCTTTGGCAGATATCTGTTAGATTTGGGCAAAGTTAGCTAGACCCCCATCCCTCTGATGAAACCCTTTCAGTGTTCTATACTTTTCCCCCAGTTTCTCAAACGATTTATTTTAGGTTTTTTTTTATGCTAAGAATTGACTTTTGGTTTGCAGATTTCATAGCCTACATTTCAGCGCAAAATTCAGCGTTTATATATTTGTGATTAACTACTGGGATTACATCTATGATATATATATATATATATATATATAGGTATACATATTTAGTTCCCACTGAATCTCTCTATTTGTTGTGGCTAAAATGGAAGTTTTCTTCGCTACCAACTCACACTAGATATGGTCCTATTAATTGGGCTTGCCTCTATATGATTTATAGAAAAATCTAGCACACGATATGGAGTTACCTTGAGTATATTGTCTACTACTTAAGTTAGTTGTCTAATCCGAGGGTTACCTACCTTCTCCCCCTCACTTGTTTTTTCTAGCTTTTATCATAGCTTAGTTTGACTGTAGCTGGAGAGAGTTTAAAAATTTGTTTAGGCCTAGTAAATATCGAATTAGAATCACTTAACAGGTGCAGTTTCTTTCACATTGCAGTGTTTGTTTCGCATTAGTTTAGCCCTAGGTATAGCCCTAGATCCACTATATACAGGAGTTAGAAAAAATATGTGTGTTTTCCTGTTGACTAGAAGGCCTGTATTGGTCGATAGAGTCCAGTGTAGCCACAGAGTCGGGCACGCAGCGCCGGAATCAGGAAGGCGGCCAGCGAGATGTCCTTGAGCAGGTCGGCACACTCGCACACCAGCAGGTACATCTTGTCGCCCTTCTGCGAGGTGCTCTTGTGAAGGGCAATGCGCCTTAGGCCGGCGGCACGTGGCAGGTATCTGAAAGGAGTAAGAAAAAGTATAATTTATTTAATAATTCTTAAGACTTTTCTTAGATTCCAAAAGGTGTAAGTAAATATATACAAAAATCCCACAAAAAAAACATGTTAAAGATATTTATTTTATGGACTCCTGTTTTTAGTGTTTCTCTCAGTGTACCTGTACAGCATCCGGGCGCCTGTCCAGTACAGCCAATTCTTTTCAAATCGTTCGCCATCGTCGCCCTCGAAAACCTGCGAAATTAAAATTGAATTTTTCATGAAAATACTCCAATTCAGTGGCCCTAACCAAACTACCCACCTTGAACACGCTTATAATGTAGCCTGTGGCAGCGGTCTGTGATTTCTTAAAGCTGCCGGCCTCGTTGGAGGGCAACACCAATGGCGGGCGGCAAATGGCGGCCACCTCGCTGTACAGATCCAAAGTATGGGCGGCAGTGTATCTGGAAATGATTTCGAGACGAGATTGGACAATAAATAGGCAATTGGCCACCTTGATTGGAGCACTCACTTGAGGGCCTTTGGCTCAAACTTGGACAGCGAGGAAACGCGCAGGCCAGCATAGAAACTGGAAGGATCCGTTTGCAGTGTATTGATCAGGTAGTACGAGATGAAGGGGAACTCCGCTGGTGATGGATAAATCAATCAATATTAGATATAGCTAAGGGCTATAATGGTTATCTACTCACAGTTCTTCTCCATGTTGGCCAACAGCATTCCACCCACAGCCGTGTTGGCCTGCTGCACTTCAGTCACCAATTCAGCGGCAATAGAGCGCTGCTTAAGTAGCGGATGCGATAGTGGTGACTCCATCACCGGATCAATGGCCTCCAGGGGACTCATCAAATGCACCAGGATGCACAGCTTCGGATCGGAGACTTCCAATACGCTTAAAGGACTTGCGGTCTTGCCATCGGCACTCAAGGCGGGTAACTGAGAAGGTTAAATAATAAGTTAAAAGTTTAATAGGAATAAAGATAGTTTTTATTTATCTTTTAAGCTGAAGAATTACTCACCGGAATGCCAGCTGGCAGGAATCGATCGACACTATGCACGGGAATGATGAAGCAGTCGCGATCCAAGGTGGCCAAAGAGATGGGTTCCGCTCGTGCCACAGCCGAGTTGGCGCCACTACCAAAGTTCACTGTAAATTACAATGAAATATCATTAACATAACATTTAAAGTGTAGACAGGGATTAAGTTAGCTATTTAGTTTTAGAAAGACATAAAAACTGTTTAGCTTTTGGCAAGCTAATGATGATCGCTTATAAGCTTCGCCTTAAGAACCTTTGTAAGCTGCGATTAATTAGCATTTTGGCTGGAGATTATACGAGATCGATCCCAGATCCCTTTTTGTAGTAGTGCATGTGATTCCCCTTTGTTGAAGCTTTGCGAAAAAATACTGAAAGCGAGGCAAAGCTGTTGCGGCGTCTCCGAGAACATGTCTAGCTTTCAGTATTTTCACTAGTAATCACCAACAATCAGATGTAGAAAACAGAAAACAGAAAAGGAAATAGAAACAGAAACGGAAACGGAAACAAGACAGAACTTGCAACAGTCAGATTGAAGTATTTTTGGTAGAGAAAAAACTCTTAAGGTTAGCTACGTTCAACGTGCAACAAACATTAATTGGGTGGGGGGAAACTTTAAGTGGGATTAGGGTGTTTGGGTTGGTTGGGGGGAGGAAAAAAGGGTGCAACACATTTAGGGTATTGTTTGAGTGTGTCAGTGTGTTTGTTTTTGGTGAGCTGGGCTGGGCAAATGACATTAGTGTTGATCGAGTTTTGGGCAGCAACAACAACAACTATAGTTGAGATCACATCAAATGATTATCTCAATTCGTTTTTTTTTTCAGAGGGGTTGAGTCAAACCTTGCCGCGTGGCTGCAGCTGCGGCCGCTAGCAATGTTGTTGTTGCCGTGGCCACTGTTGCATCAGCGTACCCCAGTGTTGTTGCTGTTGCTGTTGCCAATTGATGTTGTTGCTGCTGTTGCTGTTGCTGGAATTGCTGTTGCAGTTGCTGTTGCAATTGTTGCTGTAGTTGCTGCTGCTGCTGCAGGCGAATCAAACTGTTACTAGCGCTGTTGTTGTTACTCTCCGTACCCGGTCCGCTGCTATTCCAGCGCATCAGGGAGACGGATGGCCGACGGTCGACCAGCGGCTGCGGAATGTCCAGCTCGTAGGGCAGATTGCCGGGCAGGGCCAGAGAGGGGGTGGTGCTGGACAGCGGGGTGCTCGGGATGCCTGACAGGGCGCTACATCGTTCTGAAAATTGGATTCTGTCGATACTTTATATGCACACAAAACACAAAAAACACACACACAGCAAACAGAACAACACATAACCGGGAGGAGGAGTGGGGGGAAAATGAGGGGTGTTTGTGTGTGTGGCAAAGTCTTAAACGTTGTGTCTCGGTTGCTGCTGTAAAGGATGAGCGGATTTTGATCTTTGAATGGAGATTATAGGGGTGCAAAGGTTACCTTGGGAATATTTTAAGTTTGTCTGTTTATTCTATCAAATGGAAAGGATAAACTGAACTTTAAACTTTGATTCTTTCAAGTGATATTAGCCCTTGTTATGGAAAGTATTAGATAGTTTTAAGTTTGAATTAGTTTTCTGTTTTTTAAGTAGGTTTATATCAATTCGATTATAAAAATAATTTAAAGTTACTGAAAGAATGTGAAATAAAGAATAGTAAACAGGATTTTATGAAGAAGCAGTTTCATAATTTAAAGAAAACATTTCAAGATATTCTAAAGATAACTCTTCACCCTTGTAACCTTTTTCAAAATCAACCCACAATATTATGATGTGTAAAGTGCCGGGCATGGGGGGAGGGTTGAATTCCTTTTCGTTTGCTGATTTTATTAACAGTGTGGTGGCCAAAACTAGACACATTCATCAGTTTCGTGGGTTAGTAGTAGGCTCGGCTGCTGATGCTGCTGGAAAAACTTCTTAGACCTTGGTTTCCGGCTTACATTCAAGGCCATTGCCACAGGCGTTAGATGAGGAAATATATATGTATGTATGTGTATGTAGTTAAGAAAGGGAAATCAAATAGTAACTTACATACGCTCTCGCTTTTGCTTTCTGTGTGCGCTCTGTGCCCCTTAAGCCAAGCCAACTGGAAACTGGAAGATTAGCTGATGCTGGCACACTCGCACACTCACCTCTTCAGACGCACAAGCACACACTACTCACACACACACATCAGGAGCAGAGCTTAGAAGGCGGAAGCGATGCTTCGATAGCAACTAATATCCACTAACAGGTGAACCCCTGACTTGGATTAGTAATGAGTGAAAGTTGAAGTACCAAATGGTATGGGAGAAAACTTTATCATTTAAAATTTTAATTTGTTTAACTAGTTTAAGTTCAGAGGCCTATAATTAGGATATATGATTGGTTTTTAAACATATTGTTAAAGAAAACTTGTAGGCTATATATGGGCTGAGGTCTCAGTTATAAACTTAAAATCAAAGTCTTCTGTCTACAAGTCCTACTTCCATTTTATAATCTCTTAATTGTAAAAACCTTGCCCTACTATCACATGAAATTCAATTTTCTATTACCACCCTTCAATTGTAGTTACACTCTAACTGTATTAAACAACTTCCGTTCATAAATAATAAATCGTCGATTAAACTAACCCTCAATTAGGCCATAAATGGCGGACATAAATGGTCCCACCTGCCAGTTGGCTGTTTGTAAAATTGATGAAAACATTTCAATTGAATGCCCTGCAAATGGCTGAAATGCAAATGCCAGGTTAATGGAGCACAAGTAACTAAGGGCCAGGCTCAAGCGACTACAAAGGAGCCAAAGTAATCAAGAGAGACAGAGAGAGAGACAGAGAGAGAGAGAGAATGGTACAGAGACGGCGAGTGGGACAGAAAATGAGCCATGTTTGTGGATGATTGAAATGTATGCTTGGTTTGGAATGTCTACAGTGAACCATCGAAAAAGGGAACGGGGTAGTAATCAATTTATGTTTATTTAAAATTATGTTATAACCGTTTATTTGTTAAATTCGCTTTTTAATTAGAAAAGTTTTTTAGATTAAAAAATAATTTAAAATAATGTATTCGTAGGTTTAAAGTTGCCTAAATATTTTATATTTTAACTTATGCTCTATAATATAAAATATTAACTAATTCACTCATTCGATGGTCTACTGTACTTTGCAATGGCATTGTTGTTGCTACTGTTGCTGTGGTTGCTTTTGCAAGGCGAACGACAAATTTACCTTCGCCCACATCGTACCCAGGTCGGTTGGGCGAGAAGAACAGGTGGGTCCTGTAGTGGATCTCCTCCGGCTGCTGTACGAGACCCATATCTCGGGAGCGTTTCGTCCGATTCGCCTTCGATTGCAGCTTACCGCCGCCGCCGCCCGATTTGCTGGCCCCCTCGCGGAAATTCTTGCGAAACATTAAATTCATGGTGAGTTCGGTGGTTCGAATGCGTCTGGTGGGGTGAACTTGTTGATGTTGATGTCGGTAGGTGGTGGTGGTGGTGGTCGCGGTGGTGTTGTTGTTGTTGTTGGTGGTGCTGGTGGTTCTGTTGTGGATTTTCCTAATTGTTGACCGCTCTCAGGATGGGATGTTATGTGTATTTGTCTTTCTGTGTGACGGTGCGTGTGTCCTGCCTCCTTTTGTTATCTGATTTGTCGTTACTGCGCCTTCATTTGAATAATTTTCTTTGTTTTTTTTTGCTTTGTTATTTTTGGTCTGTATTAAATTTAATTTCTGTTTTAAAAGACCAGCAATTTGTTTGCCTTTGCCGAGGTCACACAGCCAGAAGGAAGATAATGCTAATTATTAATTTTGACTTTCTGCGGTTCTAGTCGGTGATATTAAAAATAATAATATTTTATACTTTACAAATGTGTTTTTTATTTTAATTTTTAATATAATTTTGTTTAAATGTTGATAATAATTTTATTATAATTTTAATTTTGTTTAAAATTTGTTTTTATTTCAAAATTTCCCACTTTTGCTGTTGGTTTTTCAACTTAGCTCGAACACGCGAATTTCTCTTCAGCCCGCTGAGTTCGTTGACTTGTACATTTGGCCAACAGAAATGGCTGAGAAGGTTCTAACGAGCTAAGTGAACGTACACGAGTACATGAAAGTGGGCGCGAGTGTGGCAACGGCAAGCGGAAATTGCCAGTTTCCGGCTCAAAATTACTTAGCCCAACCGAACTGAACTCAACTCACTTGCAGGATACGTGAACTCGGGCTCAAGTTACCCCCCCCAAGAAGCGCAAAAATTATATAAAAAAAAGTGGGGGAAAGAAAGGCTAAAATAAAATTCCAAATGCTCGGCAATTACTACTCAGTGTTGGTGCGAGTTTAATTAGTTCAAGACACGGCGCAATTAGTTTTATGGTAGCTTATTGATTGCCTCGATGCGATAAATTTAGACAGCTGTTCGCTGGTACAGCAAAGGGGCGTGCCGGGATACGTGGGCGTGGAATTGGGTTGCGGGGCGCTAGCACATTGGAAATTGAAAAGTGCTTAGCTAACAATGTGATGGGGCCATTTATAAACAGCTTGCTGGCTCAATTCAAGCATTAAGCACGGCAAAATCAATTGGAATTGTTTTGGAAAAGTCAGCAAAAAGTAAATAAAAGCGAAATTATGAATAAATTGGCTATTTTCAAAACAAACTTTATGCAAGATTTCACTTATAACGAACAGCTTGCAATAATTCAACAGAAATAATTACCCCAAGATTTCATTAGCTAATAATCATTAGTAATTTTTGTGAGGAAAGTCAGCTAAGAATAATAAGAATTTCGCATGCCAGATTACTCTTAAACTTTTAATGTTCTCGCTGTAAATCAAAAAGTGATTAACCATCCTCTGAATGAAAAATGTTTTTCCTCCAACAAAATGAAGACCAGATTTCATTCAAATACTTAATAAAATCTCAAAACGTTAAGATCAACCCATAAAGTTAAAGGCTAATGGTCTTGCTGAAACGATATTTCCCAGCCAATCATCATATCACACATACGCCCCATGGCGCGAGTGGCTGAACTGCCAAAATGCATTACTTAGGCATAATTTCTTTGGCAGCCACTTGGGCATTTCCATCAACTTTCTATGACCTCCATCTGATACCCTTTCCCATAGCCGAGT